TAGGAGGTCCAGTATGAAATGGATTGCTGAAGTATGTGGCAGTTGGTGTATGAGCACTAAACGCAGGTGAAGGGTGGATAGTCGGCGAAGTTACAGTGGAGTGACTCGATGATGGGGCAAGCGAGTAATGGTGTGGGTCAGATGGTCGCAACGCGGGGGAGGGGTTTGCCGAGTAGTGCCCGTTGTGATCGTGGGGCATGATCGCCGGAGATGTTGTGGTGGAGTGGGTATATACACTTCGGTCTGATGGGCAGATTGCAGGTGACGCATTTGCGAAAGAGTACCTGGACTGGGAAGCGGGCTGCTCCACGTAGGTAGGTGACACAGCATCTTCCATTTCTTCGTCCTGCTCCCTGTCGTCTTCATCCTCGTCATGAATTCGTCTAACAGGTGGCGGGGGCAGTGAAGATGTAGTAGATGATGGCGAGTCGCGTCGTGAGTTTGCAGTCTTGAGATCCGAGACACATTGCTCTAGATAGCGCATGTACTCAATAGACGCCTTGGAGCTGTTAGCGCATGCGGACGCGTACTATAGAATACAAATACACACCTGCAGTATAGCAAGCTTGTGCATTTCCTGGCCCCTACAAGCCGGGATCATGTCTTTCAACACGCCGAATTCTTCATTCATCTTGGACCGTCTCCTTCGTTCAATCAAGCTGTGTGCCGTTTTTCGTGCAATCTTGCGTCCAGCGGCAGTGGTGTTGCTCGCCTGCTTCTTCTTGCCGCCATTGGCAGTTGCGCTTGTGGTCTTTGCATTCTGCGATTGCACTGAAGCCTTGGGTGACTCTTGAGTATCCTTGGGCTTCATCTGGATGATCTTCCGCGACCGAGTAGGCGGAGGAGGAAGAGAATAGTCGTCCCTGGTGACAACGCTGTGCTGAGCTGCGTTGCTGGAACGCTTGCGCGAATGGCTCGACTTGGACGTCGCTACCGGGGACGATGGAGACAGCGGCCTGTATGAGGAGTCTGAGGCATTTTCTGAGGGACCCGAGGAGCTAGCCACACTGCCTCTACCACCCAATGCCGCAGGCGGTAAGTCGAAGCTGCTCTCCAATTGAGGGGCGTTGGCGGCATTTTTGCCTGTAATGTCGGTCGACGGTTGTGGAGTAGGTGGGAGGTTTGGGCGAGGCATGATTGGAGTGGAGAGACGCTCGCTCACGGGACGTCTCCAGGATGCATCGAGGGGAATAGGAAGCTCGGAGAGTGGCTGTGAGGGGGGACAAGGCGATAAAAACAATGTATGGCGCGCATCATCACTGTCGGGGGGGTGTCGCGTGGGCTCTTTTGTGTCGCAGCTTGAACAAGCACGACCACGCGGTGTCCTGCCCCCTCGTGATTGGCTGGCCAGATAGGTCAATCGATGGCGCCGGTCATCTCACCTCGAATGAGAGCGTCACAACGGGAGCGTGGGCGTCGTAATCATCGTCTGTAGGCCTCTGGAAGAGCGCATTCTCTAGAACGAGTGGGCCCAACGGCAGACATGGACGAGTTGCAGCCGGTGTTGTTGATGCTCAACCTCAACCTTGAGCACGTGCTGGCCTTTCCCCTCCGCCGGCCGCTCATTTGGCAGTCGGGCGAGCTTTTTGGTGTGCAGACAAGAAAACTATCCGGAAGAATCGATGAAACTATCCTATAACGCTTATTTTAGGGTGAATGGGACAGCTTGGGAGGCTCGTGGACTCAATCGCATGTGAAGACGGTGGCCAACAATGAACCCTGAGTTCCTGGTGTTGGCGGACCGCGACGACAATCGCCCCACCATTGGGGCGTGACATTCCAACCCCAGACACGAGCACGTGCTCGAGTCAGGTGTCATGATTGAAGTGTTATACATGAATCATGCCTAGCTGTCCATCTAGGTGTCTGCGGGCGATGTGCATTATTACCTCACTATCTAGAGTCAAAAAGTACCACAGTGACTACCAGTTTGGTAAGGAAGACAAAGCAATCTTATCTCGTGAACAGAAATGACGTACATCAAAGAACTTGTATCATGCTAAGGCTCTTCTGGTGAATCAACCTCGTCCTACTCCTCCAAATGGGACATGTCCGCCAGGCTACCTATACCATGCTCTCCCTCCTATACCTCGATGAAGCAACATGCCTGCGTGTCACGGAATTGATACACCGATGGTCCAAATTCCACGACCACGCTATCCCAGTTTGAGTGACCTGTAAATGTGACAAAAAATTGCCTCATCTCGAACTGTCAAAGATACATATTTAGTGGAAGTGAGTCCGAGAAGCACAACTTGGGTCTCTTTTCCATGTGACAAGCATCTCGGCTCCCATTTCCGATGCTACATATCTCAGACTACATGTTTGCTATCCTGAATCACGCCACTTGAAGTCTAGAGCAATGTCGAGCCGTCAATTATGTAGCGGTGCATCTTCTTTCTATCAAGCATATATCCAGTATGGAGCCTCCACATGTGACCATTGATTCAGCAAATCGCAAAGGAACTATGTTTGACCGCTTCGGAAACCACGATGGAAGGTTTTCAGAATTAGGTGGGCGGCTCCGCAAGGTACTCAAACTCCCAATCTATGCCACTCATTTCATAGCTTCGGTGAGTTCCGTATACTTACCTTCTACCGCTAGGGTGTGATACATACTACGCCGCACACCTCAATATTCTTGATATCCGCGAAAAGTATTCCACGTAAGCTCTGTTGGGTACAAAGACCGTAATGTGACACGAAGAGTCCGTTGCACAGGACTCAATATAGGTTGTTTAAGAAAATAGGCATATCCCCACGCTCTAGAACCAAAAACTAGAAAAGAATAATGAGATGAAAAATCTTCTTTCAAAACTGTCGCCGAAAATGAGAGGTTTAAACATTATGCAACCAAATCTCTTCGATGAAAAGCAGTGAGGCCATACAAAATCTGACATTCTGATCGAGCATCACTTCCCACCCCACTCATATAACCCTACTTCAAGGGGATTTCAACAAATTCTTAATTAGTCTACCAGAAACGTAGTCTTAAGCCAATCATGCCAATTATCTTTAAACTAATCTAGCCCGCTCGTATAAGAATCACCTCAATCCCCTTATGCACCAAGCCAGCCCACTACAATAAGAAGAGACACAAGGACAGCATCTATGTATCTATCTCAAATTCTATTTTTCCTAAAATTTCCCCAATCAATACAGAAAGCATTAACCTGGAGCAACCAACATCACTTCCTGCTCTCACAAATGCTACCCAGCAATAAACAATCCTCTCGACCAAACATGGAATTTTGTTTCTGATGTGGACGTAACATCTTTGATAGCAAGTATGAGTAGCAGATCTTTGTACTAATATAGTTAGCCCATTCGTGTTCAATCTGTGTGAATTTATCAAAGCCTGAATAAGCCGGTATTGGAAACTTAGTAGGGCGGTCTGAATAGTCGGTAGCACCTTTACCTCAGAGAAGGACAGCAGTAAATACACTCCATAAAGCAAGACATATGAGCAGAAGAAGATGTAGGCATGTTACGCATGATGTTTAGACGTCGACGACTAGCCGTTTATTTCAAAAGTCCCCTTGCCTCGCTTGAGCAACGTGGAGATACACAGTGCAAGTGCACCTAATCAGTCTTCCAAGTTAATCACATTGTTCCTTGAAACTACTTCAGTAGTGTGTGGTTCTCGAAAGCACGCATTCCAAACCTCAAAAACGTACTGAAATACCCCACCTCAAATTTATCTTCCTCCACACCCACAAATTCCACATCTTTCTCTCTCTTTTCGTCATCTACCTTTCCTTCAAACCCCTTGGGTACAAACATACTAGTACTAGCAAACCCATTCAAGCCACTACGTTTAGACTTCAACTCAACATTTCGATCACCCAAGATTTCACTTCGGCACGGAAATCGTAGTTAAATCCAACTCTGCAATGTCACAGCCTGTACATGCATTCGTGTGCAAACCGAGAGATATTCCAGTACTGGTCCATAACCCAGTCTGCTACTAAACAAATACGCAACACACTAGCTCCAGACCCTTAATCATGTCTACTTGCTTCATACATCGTTGCTCGCAACGCTACGCCTACCAAAATAGCGAAATGAATAAAGCACTGGAAATAGTTGAAGCTAAATGAATATCTGTTCGCGCAGGTAAATACTACTTACATACCAAGCTCGTTTCTGTCTATTATCTTTGTTCCAAACGAGTCCAAGATGAGAATGGCCCATAGACTCACCTCGCATATATATATGATCTGCACTGCTACCAACCCTATATAGGTCAGTGACCTGATCAAAAAAATCGCCTAAGCCATTCTTACCAGGAGGCTATTCCCCTCCATAACGCCTCTTTGGAAGTCACACAGGTAAGCGTTTCATTCGTTTCTAGTAAATACAATAAGTTACTTGGTATATTAAATGTAAAGATAGGTAGCCAGTGTATGCTATAGGAACAAAGCACGTGTTTCAAGATGGCTATAGCATAAGGATGACCCCTTTTTTTTTTACCGAGTTTTTTCTCTCCAGGTATCAAGAAGACAGCAGTGATACCTTGCACGACGACATGAAATGAGGGATTCATGTTCGGCAGTTCGCAATGTGACGCACATGTGTTCAAGTTACAGAATAAATGAAGCGGCAATCTAGCTGCTTGGTGTCAACAAGATGAAGAAGCATGTGTTGTCACAGCCAGTTGGTCCTTATCAAATTTTGCATAATGCGTTTATACAACGCAAAGACATGAATAGTACCCTATCCTGGGTGTTGTCGGTGTGCGTGTTTAGTCTGGCTTTTGCTGTCGGCGTTTAGCCATGATGCCACTACGGCGGTGAGCGCCTCACATAATATATGTAACTAACAGTGATGCTCCAACAAAACTGCAGATCAAGAGGCCATGAAGAGCGGGATTATAACCCACAAAAGCGGGGACTGGTCTGGGTTAATCCAAGAAACTTGAGATGGGCCTTCCAACTTCTGCAGATCTGTGAATACGAGAAATATGTTTGAGATATCTTACCACAACCACATATTAGAGATGGACATCTAGATATGTGCTATAACGTAAAACTACCAAAATGCAGTATATATATATTATGCATGAACCCTCCCAGAATACATTCTACTGCACAGACAATCTCGGGATCCGACACGAGGAACGAAGAATAAACACGTTTCGACCAAAAAAAGGCGAGGCAAGTAAGGCCGATTTCCCCACACTACCGCGATTCCAACCCAAGAGTTCCACCTCGTATCGCGTGATCACCTGCATAATTTTGGCGCCCGTGTACACTACAGTTGTATGTCAAAGTTTGGAAAGTCGATCTTATCAATGATCTGTACCGTAGCCTTTTTCCGGACCGCAGAAAATAAAAAAGAACCAAAAAAAGAAAACTTGGATGCATAGACAAAGTCGACTGCCGAAACCTGCAATCTAGTAGCAGCATAACATAGCCCAACGCAAAGAAGAAGAAAAAAAAGAGGCTGGATGGATTCGGGTGCGGGGTACTTATTACCTAGACGGAAAAGGGAATAGAATGAAGGGAATTAAGGCTGCCTGCTATGCAAGTTCGGTACTTTGTTTGATAGTAAAAACTTTGAATTTTGCTCGGCGCAAGCCCACAGAAAGTTTGACCATCAATTCCGGTTCTCGTCGAGGTGTCACCAGTGTTCCGTAAAATGCCGAATACTCACATTGGACTAAGAAAGCCCGTACATACATCACGCGGTGTTGAGTATCGCCTCACTGCTATACCGGGTGGACCCAAGACTAAACATCGGTGAGGCGGCTTAGGTCGAGCTGATGAGCTCCTGTTGTGCGTGTTGGGACACCCAAACGTAATCAATGACTGCTTTTAGTGGCAGCCAAGCTTCATATCTTAGTAGTTGCTTGACACGTGCCGCCAACACCATTTACACCATACAATCTTGCGATAAACATATGTAACCGACCATTGCATTTTATCTTTTCCAGCTTGTCGCCATCCCCACAAGTCATATTGCTATTGGCGGCCGGATGTTGGGAGATGCTCCCGGCAGCAAGTATAATCGAGCATCGTGGAGCACAGTCGCTTTCGTGCTGCTCAATTCCCGCAAAAGGAAGAAAGACCGTTGTGCGCATCTCTGCGGGTACTATGTCGATGCGGGCCATGGAGATCTCTGTCGCTTCATTCAAGTTTGCTGAATTATTGGAAGATATAAGTGGGAATTCTTGCAAAGAAAGGCATGATTGACTGGCGTGGAAGCAGGTACAGGGAATGGGAACCGCCGCCTCGGATAGTAGCGAACGACATGCAGAGGACCTTGACTTTGCTCACCGTCTTTCAGAGAATCAGCATTTGAGCGCGGTAACCGAGGGTCCTCCCGTTGCCGGAACAACATGTTCAGCGAATGGATGGTGTTGATTTTGTACTGGTGGCTTGCAGAACCTCGTGCAATATGCATGCTTCAACCTTGCACCTTGGAAATATAGCGGTGGACAAGAAAAGCTATGACGCGGATACAGGTCCCAACTGTCAAGATGTAAAACTGCTTGTCAATGCGTAATGCTGACGGGTGAGGCCCTGTTGCTCGTGTGCTCGCTAAACGAACAAGCTTGTTCCCTATAGCATGACTCACCGCTCAAAAGATGTTTTTTTTACCAACCGGCGGCTATCGACTCGTGAGCAGGCGCATTTACAGAAAAAGTTCTAGTGATTAGAGGCAACATCTATAGACTCAACAAAGCAGCTGATTCTGCCTCGTGATTGACTGTGGATTTTTGTATTGTTTGAGTCGTTCAAGTTGTAGGCGTTTCAACTATGCAGTCCAAGCGGTCAAATCGGGTATCAATAAATCACCGGCGGTAACAAGGCCGATCGATAGAGGCGACGCGCGGGGCGAAGCGGATCCAGGATCACAGTGAAGGCAGCCATCGGACGTCAGCCCAAGACTGCCATGGGCCGTCGGCGGAGAAAAGAGTACGTACGTATTGCGTGTTGCATGGATCAATTCGTCCGTGATGTTGAGACGAAGCTTCGCCACAGGGGAAGAAGTTATTGAAGTCTCGCTTGTGGCGGCATCCCTGCAAGGTAGATCATAGAATCATAGCTGGTGAGAGAGCATGTGACTCGGAGCGCCCATGCCAAGAACATGCACCGCCACACCGCCACACCACCAAAAAACCTAGCTGCGCAAGCAGTGTATTGCGTTCGGAACGGGCGAGCAATTCGTTGGGCCGTGGGCGATATTTTGGGTGGTGCGTTATGCAGCTAGACAGCTCGCAGGTAGGCGGCAACTGCACTCAGCCTGCAGTGTCGTGGCAGACTAACGTCGGCGTCCAACGAATGTGCGACGTTGCTGTGTGATGTCTGCAGACGATAGGGCTGCGCAAACCTGAGCGATGCGTCATAGCGCTTATGGTTAGTATGGATGGGTGTCGCAGTTGCTTCTAGCCCACCCGGTATCTGGGAGGTGCTAAAGAGATGGGTCTTTACGACGACAAGTGTACGGATTTATTCGCGCGTTGCGCTGCATACAGCAAGCAGCTCCACTCGGAGGGGCAGCTTCACTTGGAGACGAGTCCATGACGATGGCGACATACGAGGGCGGAGTAGAACAGTTCCTGCAGGTCAGGAGGAGTCATAGCAACGCATGATGCTGGTGGATGCGAAGGAATACGCACGGTGAGTTGTCTGATAGCAAAGTGGGACCAGTGAATTTTGAACATGCAAAAATGCTGTGTGTGCGGGTTCGGTAGGGAGGCAACCCGATGAGCCACTGGGATAAGGGCCGATGCGGTCCAATAGGGACATACAATTCAGGCAAAAATGCCAGTGAGAACTGTGTGCCGAGAAATTGCAAGGAGCATATTGACGGGAGAAACGAGGCATTGTGCGACCCGGGCGTTGGCTTCATGCGCCCCACGGATGTAGGCGTTCCGCAGCAGCCAGTCATAGGCAAGCTGGAAGGTACTTGCGCTGCGAACTTGCTTTATCAAGCCGTAGTGAGTGTGCGCGGGGAGATCAAACCATGCTGCCGCGAGTATTTGCTTTGCTGTTGACGGATTGCTATCGAATCATTGTGGCCCCGCTGGTGCGATATGCAGCCGTAGTGGGCCCATGGAATAGAGTAGGATATATGCCTTGGAAGAGAGTGCAGTAAGGTCGAAAGTAGCGGTAAACAACAACGTGCGCCACAAGCCAGCAACCTGGGGGTGAGCTGTGAGACATTGGGGAAAATTTTTTCACGGGCGGGAAATTAGGCTTAGGAGAGTGTGCGAGGGAAGTTCGAGAAGGGATCCGAGCGAGCAGGACGAGTGCGGCTCTCAAGCGACGACAGGGCCTCCCTAGCAGGCGATAGGCTTTCCCCCAAGCGCCGCGGGACGACGTTGAATTGGTGGACCTTCGGTTGTTTCGGATGGATGGGCTGGAGAATGAGTAGCCGGGTGCCGCGACGAGAGGCGACGAGGGGCACAGGATAGCGTTTGTGCTAGGCAAGAGATGGTGTACCAGAAGGTGGACAGTGAAAAGAATGGTTGACAGGCATGGAGTGGCGCAGATGGAAACGGTAGATAGATGATGCTGGTCGGGAAGGTGGTCGGTCAATGCGGAATTGGCTGCGTACGACAACCATGTGGGAGTACGGGCGCCAGTGCCAGGGCGCGGCCGGCCACCCAGAGGGCACAGGCAAAATGGGCCGTGCTATCACATCCCATCCGCACTGCAGCGAGCCCAAGGCGGGCCTTTGCTGTTGCTGTAGTTGCGGTTGTTGTTGTGATGGGGGCATGGGCATGGGCTTGGGCTTGAGCTTGGGCTTGGTGGAGTGAGTGCAAGGAGCGCTGGCGGAGGTCAGCTCATCAGCAAACAAGAACTGCTGCAGCCCATGGCCGGCTGAGTCGAGGGCGCTGGGAGCTGGAGGAGTTGCTGGTGCACAGCATGTGTCGTGGGCGGGCTTTGGCAGAGGCGGTCCAGGATTACGGATATATAGTAGTGCGAGCAACGTAGTATGTTTCCAATATTACCCACCCCAAACAGAACAAATTCAAAACAGGCTGAGCGCAATGCCGCCCGCTCTCTCCGCCGCCACTCTACCTACTACTAAGACCTCTGTGCACATCAGGCAGCAATGCAACGCCGCCGTGGCCGTGGTGGGCGGGTAGGCTGGCAGGCTGGCTTTTCTCTCGCACAGCCATCCGTAGTGGGTTGGCGCCACGGCAATGGCATGGGCAGAGGGCAAAGGGGCCGTGAGATTGGGGAGAGGGCGAGGACATGTAGGGTTCGGGGTTCGGTTTCCCAGAATACTATACTGGTGGGCAATGCTAGACCAAGTACGGCGGCGAGGCCTGCATGTCAATCTGACCCGGCGACGGGGGAATGGTCAAAGCATGGGAGCCCTTGGCCTGCACTAGCTGGCGAACGGCGTGACAGGGGTTGTGCGTTAGGGTGGATGGGCGCCCGCTGAGGTCCGCGCGCGGAAGGAGCGAGTGACGGCTCTGGTTTGAAAAGCAGGCTGAGCCCGCCGCCGCTTCCTCTTTTGCCTACCCGAACATTCACCACCCCATTACCAAGCACTCCAGACGACCTCGTCTACACTCGCCCACACTTCAGGATCCTGCCCTCTGGATCCTTCCGGCATACTCTAGCATCTCCTCTATTCCACACCCAATGTGCAGCAGCCCGAGCCGGATATCCCCTCTCCTCCCCTCCGTCGCTGCAACTTCCTCCTCCGCCGCACTATACCACCGCGCGCGAAGAACCTCGTTTGCTCTGCACATTCCCAGGTGAAACAGGCACCGGCCTGAGCCCTCGCCCCCGCTCCCAAACTACCATCCCACCCCCCGCCTCGCAGTCACGACTTCGACGCCATCACCACAACCTCGAAAAATATGTACGCACCACAGTATCCCACGCCTCCTCCGGGCTACATGCCCTACGACTACCACCGCACCACGCCGCCCATGTCCCCCGGCCCCGGTGCCAACTACTACTCTCCCCGCCACGCTCCTCAGATGGCCACACCACGAGCAAGCCCAAAGGTCTCTGGCCACTCGCGCCGGGCATCGCACGCCGTGCCATCGACACAATACCAGCAATACACGGCCTCACCCCGAGGAGGAGGAGCTGTGCCCCACTATGGCGCTGCCGAGTTTGCTGCCCCGCGCACCCACGCAACGCCGCGAGGCACCCCCGAATATGTAAGTTATTTCGGTTACACTCTTCCAAGTCGGCATCGCCGCGACTCAGACGTCCCGCCTCTCAAGCGCAGTCATCGCGAGAGGAAGCGTCGTCCGTCGCAGTCGGCACGTCAGGTCCACACCAGAGTTGTCTACGACGACCGAGGCTACGGCTACGAATGCGACTACGACGTCTACGATTACCCACCGCCGCCGTACGAACAGTACGCGCGCCACGACATGTACCGAGGGGATGCTGATCGCTATTACTATGATCAGGTCCCAATATATGATCCAGAACCAAAGTCTAGCCGTCCCCGACGAGCCTCCGCATCGACACGACAGCCAGCCGCCTCTCCCAAGAAGCCAGCCCCAACAAAGACTAGCCCCAAGGCTACCGAAGAAGACGCGCGCCGCGCTGGCATTCCTGCCGGCTACTCATACAAGAACTGGGACCCCACCGAAGAGCCCATTATGCTGCTAGGGTCCGTATTCGACGCAAACTCGCTTGGCAAGTGGATCTACGACTGGACCGTCTTCCACTACGGTCCTGCCACGCCTCTCGCCGAGATGGCAGGTGAGCTGTGGCTCCTTCTCATCCAGCTCGCTGGCAAAGTCAAGAGAGCCGACGAGACGATGCCTAAGATCCGCAAGAAGGAGAACCACGAAATGGTCGAAGACTTCCTCGAGAGTGGCGAGCGCCTGTGGGTCCGCTTCGCTAAGCTTCTCAAAGTATGCGAGGACTACATGTGGAAGGCGGCCAAGAAAGAGAGTGGCAAGGAAAAGCCCGTGTCCATGGGCAAGAACAGCGGCAAGGAGTTTGTCGAGTCCATTTTTGGGCGCGACCGAGAGCTCGAGAAGACGGAGAAGCTCATGACTGGAATGCGTCTCTGGTCGATGCGCTTCGACGCCAACTGCGAAGACATCCTACGATACCCATCCGCCTAGGATCGATAACCTTTTTTCTTTACTCTATACCTGGACGCTTTTGCGCTGGCGTTTTTCTGTCTTGGTATACCCCTTCCATTACCGGCACTGCTTTGCGCGTCACTTTGACATTACTGCGAGATACCCTTTCTTGCTGTTACTAATTGTTAATCTCGCTGCACGTTTTTTGTTTCTTCGTTTGCTTCAGCCATTGTACAACACTACTGGGTCTTTTGCGCATTGGGCGAATCACAGGAAAAAGTCTGCTTTCTACTATGATATCCCCCTTCTCTTGCATCTTTTTTTTGTCTTCTTCTCTCTTCTCAGTTTTCAACCGGGTATTGTCATTTATTGTTTTGGTTTCTTGTTCTGCAAGGTGTTCAGGTTGTGTTTGGTACTGGGTTACCACGTCTTGTCTTCTAGGTTGGACCATCTAGATTTGGGAGATTTCTTCTTCAGACAGTCTCTATCACGAGACTGGTGCCTCACGGTCAAAACTAGGATACCCGCCATACCGCTCTATTGTTATGTAACAAATTTTATTTACTCTCCCCATTACCAAAGCCGTCTTTTGCGTGTCTTGTCCCCTTGCAACAGGTGAATGTGTCTGTGAGTCATGTTGTGGCGACCAATCAAACTGTGAATGTCGCATTCCTCCCACCGGTTGCGATAGTTGTGAAGGGTGAATTTTGGGGTTGGGCAGCCCCTGCATGCAGCACGCACAGCAATGCGAGACACCAGGCAGCCTATGGCACGCCCGAACGGTCGACTGCCACGTGCTTTTTCTTTCTCGCTGCGTGTCCAGCACAGCCGTGCGGTGGCACACAGACACACTTAGACACACGCACGCACACAGACACACCTACCCTTACCCCTCCTCTCTTGTTTTTGAAAAGTTGAAAGAAGGTTGCCTGGCGTAATAGGCTTGTCGCACCATGATGACTCGCACCCTCATCATACTCCAGCCAGATGAATCATCTGTAAGCACCCACCCATGATGATGCACGGCCAAAACCCAACCGTTGTGCCTTTGATCCCCAGTGATTGGCCATGCCAGCCCCCCGTCAGCGCATTCTCAGCCTCAAGGAAGAAAGCGGGCGTGCATGGAAAAGGCCTGCAAGCCCCGGCTGGGCCAAAGAAGCAATACACTCGGGTAGGTGTTGTTATTTGCTTTTCCCCCCTCCTCATCTTTCCTTGCGTCCATCTCGTACCGCCCTGCCGCTTCTCGCTGCCCTTGTGGCGGGTTGGCGCAGGCGGCGGGAAGGAATGCACCAGAAGGTGATAGGCTAATGCATAAACGGTGAGAGAAAGCAAAGGAACGCAGCAGCAGCAGGAGCAGCAGTTTGCTTGCTGTTGGTCCTCCTTGCTGCTGCCTTGTCTTTGCCCTTTTCCCGCGCCCACCCGCCCGCCTATCGCAAACTAACCCTTGCACTCATACACACACACCCCCAAAATCAAAATGTCATCAATCAGAAGGAATACAAGATTGCGTATTCCCGTATGAGGGAGATTGTCAATGTGATTAGTTGTGTGCCGGGGGGGGGGCAAAAAAGATTGATTGCTCTATTTGCGGGAGGAGCAAAGCCGCTTTGGGGGCGGGATTTGTGTGTGAGGGGTGTGGCGAGGCCCAAGGGTCCTTTGTGCATGTGTGTGTGTGTGTGTGTGTGTCCTTGTGTACACTGTGTCCTTGGGGCCCAATCCCACCCTCCTTCCTCGGTGCGCAGTGCCAAACGGGCGCATACTTACTCGCTCTCTCTCTCTCTCTCTCTCTCTCTCTCTCTCTCTCTCTACTACTCTGACTAGGATTTTAACACCGACCTGCACGAACAAAGTTTGGTAGCCTCCTACGACTGAAACCTACTTGCGCGGCGCCACAGGCCACCACGGTCCTGTCTGTCCTCTCTATACCTACCTCAAGCGGTCGTTGTTGGTCTTCCAGGGATCAAAGAAGGTTTACCGTCGTCGCGGCCGCATATGCGGCGCGTCCTTCCCTTGCGGTTATTCAGCCTCCTTGCCACCACCACCACCTTCCAACCCATCCCCCTTGCCCTTGCCAAGTGCAGGGATCGGGGATGCAGATTAACAGTGGTCCGACACGGGAACCCTCCGTTGATAGGCAACTATTGCATTTACTGCTTTCCTTGGTTATATTTCCGCCCGCACCCCTTTTGTTCCCAGGACATCCTTACGTACCCCCAGGTGCTAGGCTGCAGCTTTGCGCAGTCGCTGCGTCACAACCTGCGTTTGTTGTTTCGGAGCTGATAGGAACAGCTGCAGCAGTAGCAGTAGAGGGAGGAGGGAAGGGAGACATGGAGTCTTTGATTTTTTTTATTGCTCCTCGGATATCAGACGGGAAATGGTACGAGATGCGTGTAAGACCGGACAAAGATGTCTTGCAAAGTTTCACCCAATCCGTCTACTGGAACACGCCGCGGCAGTGGCTCTGTCGCTCCGTTCCTGTCCGGATGAATGGCGCGTGTCACATGCCGATGGCAAGCCCGTTGGCCTTGCACGTGCTGGCCTTGCTTGTTCATGCTCTTCTCTGCGGCTGAGTGTGATGATGCCATTGGCGCATGCCCAGGAACACATTTCCATGCTTTCTCCCTGCTACTGCCAAACCAAGGTCGCCGCCTGCCAATGTCTCTCTCTCAGATGACTTCTGCAGCCTATGCACAGCGTCCTTGTCCATCCGAGCATGTCGCGGCGCCATGTCCCGGGCGGCTCGTCGTCTGGTGCCACCAACATGTCGCGGCCAATACGCGGCACGGTACATGGACATATGGTAGGTAGTACGGGCGGCTAGGCTAGATAGCTGATGCCCTGGCTACCTCACCAGATGCGAACGCATCTAGCGTACCGACCTAGACACATGTCAAAACTTTGGCCGGTTCCCAACGCTCAAGTCCACCAGCGCAAGACCAGCTCACTTACAAGCCTAGACCATCTGGTGCACGGTGTGTTTCGAAACGCTTGGCCGGTGCTTTTGTTGTCGTGCATGAACCCCAACCCCGTCCGCGTCACTTTGCTGGACCCCTCTTCCTTAACCCATCACAGCAACCCAAGCGAAGCCGAACCTCCATCGCCGGCCACCGACCTCCCGCGCCTGGCCAATGCCCGCGCCTCCTCTGCCTATGACGACCGAATGACCCACCTCCGAACCCACTCTTGTCTCCTCCATTACCCCGCAGTCTACATACCTACTAGACACCATATTTGCTACAGTGACCCGCTCCGCGTGAACCGCCTGTGCCTATGCCCATGTCATGCTTCTTTCATGCTACGTGGTTTTGCTTGCTTGTTGGCCCGGTCCTGGAATTCATGCGCCTTGCACAAGAGGGAAAGGGGCGAGGGGGAGAGAGGGGTAACTTGTTGCAAGACGTCATGGGCCATGGCTTCATTGCTCCAGCTCCCCCACATCTTCGATTTACAACACCTGATCAATACTCTGCTAGCATCGAGATTGCGCGTTTTTGTTCTTTCTTTCTTTCTTGCTTCCTCATGCGCCCTCTCTCCCTCCCTGCTCGGGCGGTTCCGATGCAACACTGTGTGATGAGAGGGGTGGTTGGATCGAATGGCGAGGGGCAAGTCCTTAGAAAGCGCGTAGTTGGTTGCGAAGGGTCAGCAGGACACGTCTTGTTTGCTGGAAGGGTGTGCTCGGGCTGCCAAACCCGAGCGTTACGCGCTGTATGCCGTGCCTTTGATTCGTCTAGTTTTCTAGAAATCGCAGTTTGGATGTGTAAAATGCCAGCCATCATGAGAAAGCAAACCGTCGGTAGGGAATCTTGTTGAGGAAGAGGGGGTGATGGGAAAGACAGCTTTCCACCCGAGATTCCCCTTTCGCAAGCGTCTAACCATGCATTCCATTCGATAGACCTCCTCTCATCGACTATCCGCGATATCCTAGCATTTACCGCGCAAAAGAGACTTTCGGCATCCCCCGATAACGGGTCACGTTCAAAGTTCCAACAGGGAACAATGGTTGCAGCATCTCTAAAGTCTAAATCATCTACTACTATGAAATCGCGCGTTGCACCTAACCCTGTCCAACCCGAGTCCTTACTCAAAATTACTACGTCACCAGGTACATTTAACGATAGTCTGGCCCGCTTAACCCCCTAGTTCACCGAACCGTCTACACACCACTAGGTGTGTACCGCAAACCACTCACCATCCTTGTTTTCCGAGGCTCGGGTGCGCCGCAAGGCAAGCCAAGGGAAATCCCGCTTCCCTTTCCTTCCTTCCTTCCTTCCTTCCTTCCCCCTCCCTCACCCACGTGCTGGGCTAGTACTAGTAGCTGGTTTAGCCCCGAGAGTCCAAGAAAGTTTCCCGCTTGTTATCACTTTGCATAAGCGCCGAGCGAGATGATAACCCCTCCTCCCTCCATCCCACTTGATCACTGACCATCATGTTCCTTGCCATGTATACTTGCATGTAGAGTGAATGCAACGCAAGGATCGATGCAAAATCAGCCGTGCATGGAAAACAAAACAAAACAACCTTGAAAAAAATATTTAGAAATCAACATAGCCGCTGATGGCAAAAAATAGAACTACTCTTTGCTTACTACCCTGGGTCCTTTTACAAAAAATAGCAGTAGCGTAGATTTACACAGCATACTGTGACTATTTCTATTTCTAGCAGCTGTGGTTACATACATATATACATATATAGTTACATAGTTACATGCATATATCCTACATGTAGTAATGAACTGCATGCACTGCGCATGCGAACACCCTTCTAGCGCTTACCACCCTTCCACTCCTCTTTTTTTTTCTCCCCGCTTACGCGCTCAGCTCTCAGCTCGATAGCAAAAAAAAAAAAGAGAGAGAGAGAGAGAGAGGCAGAGATAAGGCCAAGGGTGGGTAAAAGCGGCAGGGTTTGGTGTGCATCATCATGCCCCGTTTGCGGTTTAACCTCTCCATCCTACTAATTCCTTCGCGTCAGCCTTAGGCGGGCTTGGCGGCATCTTGATGTACGGATTACGTGCGTACACCACGTGAGGGGTAGTATGGTGGGGGTGGGGTGGGGTAGCTGAGGTGGGGACGAGGCTGACCTTGTGAGGGATGAAAGAGGGGGGGGGTTTACTTTACATGGAAGATTCGGTGGGGGGTGTAGGTGGGTGAGTGGGTTCACTACTATTATGTAACTTTTGCTGTATATAGATTACGGGCTAGGGTTGTAAGCATATTGAGTGGTTTTTCCTTCTTCAAGAAGGGGGTTATATGGGGTTATGATAATATACTGCAGTTAGGAGTAAGGTTAGGGCTTGGGCAATATAGTATCGCTTTGTTTGATTTCTCCAAGTAGCTATTATGTACGAATAGGATTTATCTGGATGTGATGTGTTAACATCTTCAAAACAACATTTTGCGCTTTCCATTGGGATACCATTTATCACCCTTACAGTGCTGTAACTGTACTACTGTATTAATATTCCTATCTGAAATGTACATTTCCAAAAAAAAGGATTACAGACAAGACTAACGTTTCTACTCTCAAAGTGCTTGCAGTCACACAAGAACTAAACAACATCTTTTTCACATCTTCTCGTCATATCAGCAGTGTATTTGGGAAGATAAATCACACACTACTCTATCTTCATACAAGAAGAGTAGCCCCTCCCCCCCAAACAACAACAACAACAACAACAACAACAATAACAACAACAACTTGATCATATACCAAGAACTTTATTGTCGATTAGCTCGGGGCATATGAATCATCACATTTGCTTCACTCTGCAACCACTCATCGGGTACCAAAGAAATGCATCAATACGCATCTTGAACCCTCAAGAGCACGATGAAAAACTAGAGTCTTCGCCATGCACAATTGACTGTTCTTGATGCTAAGTAAATCGTTTACAGCAACCATCAGTATGTATGTAGTAAAACACCGCCGTGCATACGTATACAGCAGACTCAGTGAAGATATTCAGGCGCAACATAATCACAAAACCTCAAACAAAAGCAGTCGTGGCTGCAAAACCAGTGGATCGTATGGTTTTGATTTCAAAGACACAGCCGCCACAAGAACTCCCTCCTTCATAACCCTCATCAACAGTATGCTAGTTCCTAAACGACTTATCCTACCTTTTTGTTTTCGTTACTTCCTCCGTCCCACACCGTGGGTTCGCCATCATTCATCCTTTCAACCATCTATGTACCTTGAATCCAGAAAGAAAAGGGAGCCATACCTGTATGGGCGACACCACAGGTGCCCGGACTGGCGTATTAGTCTACATACGATATCCATGTTGAATGAGGAGTTCCTGCCCGGTAATCGCTTCAAGGCACTTCCCATGCCTGATAGGAAACTTTTGATCAAAGCAAAGCTTAGGCAGCACTTTCCCGCAATCGCTGTCGCTCGTCTTCGTTGAGCTGGTTGAATTCTTCAGCGAAACCCGGCGAGGTAGCAGCGCGCTTGAAGAATTCAACGAGGAAACTCTGTGTCTCGTCGTCGCGTTGACGACCCCCACTGCCAGGCTCCTCGGCAGCGAATGCCATGAGTTGCTCTTTGCTGAAGCCGCTGCCAAGGTCGACAAACGGGTTGAGCTCGTCTTCCCAGTCGCCATCGTCTGAACCTTCCTCTGCGAGGTCGGCGGCCGCAGCTGCATCGAGATTTGCACCAGAGGCCGACTGGAGCTCTACTATGAGGACCTTAAGTATCTTGAGGGGCGCAGGTACTATTGTATACTTGTCAGGATCTGATTTCCTTGTCAGTGTGTGGACGGACCCGGGAGGGATTTGCGACACTGAATTCTGCAGTAGTGGCGCAACAGCCTACACACGCTCTCCACAACATGACAATGGCTAAGTAGCAAAGGGACAAGAGATACTTACTGGCTTTGGCGCGACTCCTAGTCATAATACGACCATCTGTGTTCGGGATTAAATCGCCCTGTACCTGGACCTGTGCAACCCGAGGATCCTTTAGATCATATAGTTTCGAGAGAGCAATAACACTAAAAGAATAAAGTTAGTGGCTATCCATAAAGCTAGTGGATATAGGATGAGAAACTTAACGTACTTTTGCCTAATCTCATCGTAGCCAGCAAAGTTGATCGAGTTCTCGAGCCACTTTGCAAGCACGACTTGTAGTCCATTCTCGCCGTCAATGTCTTGGCTAGCAAGGAAGTCCACTACCTCAGAGGCATGGTTCAAGCTCAAGCGTGCAAAGACAAGTGTCAGGCTCTGAATGAAGTTCGCCTGGCTTGCTTGCGCCAGACGCACCGCGACACTCCGCAGGAGCTGTTCCAGGTAAGGGCCAAGCCGCTCATGACCAGCCTTTTCTACTACTTCAGCAGCAAGGGCACCGACCTCGCCGGCAGCGTGGTCACTGCATGATGACAACAGACGCGAGACGATGATAAGAGCCACCTCGAGACCAGCCTTGCCAGTGTCATCTCGCCATTCAAAGAGTTGATGGTGATCGTGGGAAATGATGTTCTTCACCGCAATTGTAGCAGACTTGAGTAGCTCCTCGTCAGTGGATCCAAGAAGAAGTCTTGTGAGTTTCGGCATGGTTGTAGCGACGAAACCAGCAGGGAGCGGCTCAGGTCCATGTTCAGCAAGCACAGCAAGGAGATCGGCAGCGAAGTTGCACAGAGCATTCTCTTCCGTCAAGCTACCAACATCGAAAGCTCCCGTGAGCGACGGAAGAACCCTTGCACAAAGCTGAATGTACGCATCACCTCCCATGCGAGCAATGGTTTCTGTGACCTCTTCGAACGCTTCAACAACCAGCATGGTCAATTGGAAGTTGGAAGCTTGGTGGCTGGCTACTCGGAAGAGCATATCAAGGCCGTTATCCGTGATACAGATCCGGGTGTCAATGAGAATAGCGTCTCTCAGGGTCTCGACCAAAGTGATCATGATATCGTCGCCGTCGTTGAGTTCTGACATGTCCTGTGCGGCAAGGTAATTACTAATCGCCAATATGATCGGGCTTTGTAGAGGCTGAGTAACCGAATGTGGGAGTGCCTGGAGGTAGTGTTGTAGAGCTCGGATGCAAGAAACCTGGACAACGTCGGACTCGTCGTTTGGAATAGCCTGCAGATTTGCCTCGAGGAAAGATGTAGCTAGCTGTTGAAGGGCGTCTCCAGATGTTCTTGTCAAGCTTCCAGCGACCAGGTAGCCTCGTGCTCGAAGGAACGTGTCAGGCTGTTGCATGGCATACCGGATGAAATCTACGTAGCCAGTCGCAGCCTCGGGGCTGATTTGCTTGTCCACGTCCTGGAAGTCGCCCAGTAGTTGGTTGAGAACGTACAGAGCGGCCTCTTCTGCTTTCCAGCCTTTTGACTCAGAGTAAAGCGCTCTGGTGTAGGTCAACAAGCCATTAACCGTAGGCTCTGTCAGCCATTCGCCGAGCTTGATAACGAGATCTCCACAAGCCGTTCGAGGTGTGTAGTTTGCTGTAACGCTAGTCTCCTCACTCAAGAAGATATTGACATCGACATCCCATAGTCCCTCCTCTTCAGTAGTGATTTGTGCGTAGGCCACGGCCAGCTTCATGACCTGGGTAACCCAAGAATTTTCGGGTGCCTGGTTCTGAAGTTCCTGTTCGAGCTGACTGCGGACCGGTGGTGCACGGAGACATGCTTGCATGAAGTCTAGCTCTTCGAGGATGAGAAAATCCAGGGTGTATGGCAGTCCATCGGCGTCCTCCAACCTACTCTGGCGGTCTTCTTGTATGTACATAAGAGAGTATGCGGGTTCGAGTAATGAAAGTTCTTGCCAGCATGCTTGGAAGAGAATAATACTTTGCGGCGAAAGAATGGCGGGGAAGATGGAGCGGATGCGCATGAGGATCTGTAGAATATTCAGTATTGCGACAGGCGCTGGTCTTCATTCTCAATGACTTACCTTGACCACCTGGAGCTTCAGAGCAATCTGACCCTTGTACAGCGTGGCATTGGGCGCATCTTGATCTTCTTCCTCAATCGAAGGCGGGCCTGGTAACCTCGTATTCAAGACATTGATGAAGAAAGGCATCCAGTCCTTGAGCACCTCGTCGGCAAAATTCTTGACCATGGCCTTGTGATCATCCATGACCATCTCAAGTATGTCGAAGCAGCCGTGGAAGACCTTGCATGCCAGCGCCCTCAGTGTCGGCTTCCTCTGGTCGTTGGTAGCCACATCGTATAGAATCTTAATCATCTGCGGTGCCACGCTAAAAAAAGTGGTCTCGTTGAACGAGTCCTCAACCAGCTCGCCAAGCACCCTGAGGGCGCCATGTAGTTGGCCTTCCGTCGCATTGGGTATTAGATTGAGCAGGTTGTCGAGCAGGTCGGGCCATTCGATGGGGTAGTCGGCGGCTGCGATCTTGCTGACGACGAGGCCTGCGGCGGCCTTGAGCTTGCGGTCGATCTGGTCGGACGTGGCGAGGGCAAGAAGCTGCTGTCGTAATATAGCCTTGTTCTCGTCTGTGATCAGGACCTGTCCCTTCCAGCCTTCGAGGCTGTCACTCCATCCCGCCAGGACGAGGTTCTTGAGATACAGCAGGGCAGCCTGGCGGATGTTGAGGGGCACGCTCTCATGGCAGGATATTCCAATGAGGCCCAACGGGAGCTCCTGGTGGCCATAGAGCGAGAGCAGCTGCTGTTCAGCCTGTTTGCGCGTGTCCTCTTGGGCCGTCTGGGTTGCGGAAAGCAGCTGCACTAGTTGGTCCTCCATGGTCAAGGTCAACGTGGGGCATGCGCGTACAGAGCTAGTCAGCACGTCTAGCGTTGCCCAACTCGGTTGGCGAGAGGAACTGTTTGGCGGGCGACGCGTTTGTTGTTGGTGTTTGCTGGGCGACTGAATCGGAGGAAAAAGAACGCGCTCGGGGATGCGGGGCAGCTCCGTGAATCTGTGTGTAGTGGGGTGGCCAAGCGGCTGCTGTGGCGGGACAGCAATGTTTTGACGCCTTCACCTCGAGAGTAAATTCGATGCAGCTGGATAGAGAAAATTAAGGTTGAGCATATGGGTAAGGGCTGAATTGAGTGGTGGCGAGGTGGAAGACGACCAATGGCTTCACCTGCACTGGCTCACTGTGCAGAGAGTCCGTCATGATATCTCCGGGGCGAGTAAAAACCAGGCACTTGATTTCTCCCTATCCTTCTCTCAATCACCCAAGGCCGGGTATTACCTGCCACGCTGTTATCCCCAACAGTGCCAGGGGCTCTCGACACAGCATTCACACGACAGTCGCTATACCGATCAGCGACTGCACTACCAGCCCTGCCCTCCTATGCACGCCTATCGACGCCTATCGATAGCCTAGCGGGCTTGACACGCGACGAGACGCGTCTGCGTCATGCCCTTTGTCCACTATACCCCCACTACGAGACTTATGGGATAGACAAGTCGGAACACCTGCTAGGTGCACAACGCCCTGTCGAGTAGTGGTTACACTGCCTGTCCTGTCGTATCCAAGCCCGCCATGGCCCCAACCTACCTCGAGACCCTCAGCCACTTCACCACCTTCCTCACAGCTTACACGCATACGCTTCTCTACCTACGCACACTCTACCCGCGCGCCTCGTTTGTCCAATCACGCTTCCACAATGCCTCCGTCTACCAGTCACGGCATCCGCTCGTCTGCGAATGGATAACCGACGCCATCGCCTCTGTGCGCGAACAACTCTTGAACGGCAGCGTCGCCAAAATTGCTATCGTAGTTTTCAGCTATGAGGGGGACCAGGAAAGTGCGACAGGCAGTGCAAAGATAATGGAGCGATACATGTTTGACGTCAGTAGCTTCCCAGTCGTGGACAAGGGAGATCGCAACATGGAAATTGAGTGGCAAGGAACACCTGACGTGTCTGATAATGAAGACGAGAGTGGCATCTTGAAGCGAGGAAAGACAAAGGCATTGGATACGGATGTACATGTAAATCTCTCTGAGCAGTTTCGCGCGGCCTTGATTGCCCTCGCCACACGCACTTCCACACTTGCCCCTCTCCCGCCTAACTGTTCGTTCAACATTAGCATGGAGCTCAAAGATGAAGGTGACGTGGATCCGCCAATTGGACACCCACAGCCGTGGATCCCAGTCCAACCCAGCCTACAGAAGACGGGCAGAACGGCAACCATCCGAGAAGAGTTGGAGGAAGAAGAGTTTGAGTGCGGCAGGCGGTCAGAAAAGGAGGGAGGGGATTTGGGCGGTGCAAAGGTAACGCCCATACGCACTGTGCAATCTGGTGTCTTTAGATTCGAGACTTGGATAGAAGAGGCCAAGGCAAAGTTACAGGCTGATAGCACAAAGACGAGCCTTGCAAGCTCAATGTAAATGGAATCATGATAATTCATTATCCAGTTATTGTTTTTTTTTATGAAGTCTGTGAATAAACCGATTTATATGTGCATCCGTCTTCTCTACATTTGAAAGGAATATTTGCGAAAAATGGATTCCGCACTTACCCAACCATATTTTCAAAGCTCTGCAAACTCTTGTGTACATAGTTCCTCGGTTTGAGTATCTAGTGGTGAGAAGTGGCAGTAGTAGCCGCGGCTTGGTCTTGGCAGGTCCTGTCCCCCGCATTTCAACTCACCAAAGCGATCTTCTTCAGGAGTGTTTTATTTTTCGAAGATATTTTGCACAATTTTTAACTGGTCTGGTACATACGACCATAGGAAACTGAAATTTAGCCATCCCGTCCGATCTGGCATATACAAGCAGTTTACCGGCGGATTAGTAGTTAGGTGGGTGACCACTAGCGAATCCCCGCTGCCGTATGTTTTTGTATTTTGCATTTTTTTGCCCGGGTCACGTGGCACAGATGTTGCTGCAATATAACCACAGTGTTGACAACAAAAAAACATATATATGAGTAATGCAGTACAAGTAGCAAGAAACAAGACATGCAGTCCGCCTCACCTCCATTTTTTAACTAGCGGTACCCTTTGAGTCAGGGAGCGAGAATCAGGCAAAGAATTTTTAAGTGTGGTCTTTAGAATTATACTTGTATATTCCTGAATCTATTATTTGATATTATCCTATACCCTTTTCTCTTCCAATAGTCTTGAAGTAGCGTTTGAAAACAGCACCCTACTATTTACTTAAGTCTTCACGATCTAGTTCATCAAATCTTCCTACCATTGTTTTAGTTATCTTGTGTACTTGTATTATATGACATCAAGGTATAGAAACAATAGAAATAGTAATTTTTGAATATCCAATTCTAGCAGGTTGAGGTGAAGTCTATTGTTTTTTTTTAAAAGAATAACAACCTAATATGCTATTCTCCAAACGAACAAAAAAAGACAAAGTTATAGAAAGAGTAAACCTGAAGGGTATAGTGGCGTTGTATCGCGTGGTTAGACTGCGGATATATATTGGGATTTCTTTTCAGAGTAGATAGACTACCTTTTTTACTTAATGCAACACAACGATTAGACGTTAGCTCTGTTCTACCAGCTTGATTACGGGTCGCCACTTGATCTTTCGAACTCGATCTTGCATCGTGCCACGATCTTTATACAAGGATACAATATAATGCCCTGAGAGGAACAATATCGTGCAACACACATATATATATCGACTATTCCAACCCAGAAACTATTCGGACTAGGTCAATGCATGGAATGAATGCAGCTCGTACCTAAGTATATGGAGGCGATAATATTCTACAACGGTATAATATAATAGTTTGATATCTAGATGACGACTTGGTTCTCAATTCTACCTCAGCCTCTCAACAGTGCTAAAATAGTCCATGTATGGTATCGTGCGTGGGAAGCACTCGATATTTCGATACCCGTTGTGCATATTCTCGCTGACTCCATCACACATGTGAGTGATCTCGCCTTCTCCTTCATCAACGGAAGACATATCCTTGGGTGCCAAGACTAAACATGTGAACTTTTTGATACACGAACATGGATGCCTGCTATCAAGCAAACCGATTATTGCATATCATCCAATAGATAGACAAAATCATTCACAAAACAAAACAGCATGCACAAATTCCCTACCCAATGCAGCTATGCTTGCGCTCAACCACAACATCCACTTTTCCCCATGATCAACTGAGGTACGCCGATTTTGCACTCAATCTTGATACGGGCCAACCAACCACACCACCCAATTGCAATGCGTCCCCAAACGGTAGTATCCAAATGCGACAATTCCTCGGTACATTCAGCGCAGCATCTCGGAGCTCAAAGCAGGTGCAGGACAGCGTGCGGCACGTGAGTTCGCAATTGGCAAACTCTTCCCATGGGCGACTGCAAAGTCTGCACCGTAAACGGGTCCAGCGGAGTTCACCCTCACTCACCACTCTTCCATACTAATCTGTGACCAATCACTCACTCTCACCCGCGGCCAAGAGTCGGCAAAACAATGGACCCGTGAAAACCTTGCTGCAATTTTTCTGCGCAACGCGCCCGTGCGCTTAGTGGACTTGGCGTTGACTGCCACATACTTAAGCCCACCGTTCTCCATCATTTGGAAGCCATCGATCATGCACGTTTTCCCCCTCACCCCCTACATTTTACAACCACTAACAGTTCCGCCAGACTTCATAGAATCATTTCTAATAGTATGCATCTCTCTCTGAGTTACTCTAAGTAGCCACAGAATCTCCAACCTGGTTGATGACTGAGAGCCTCGATGTCCCGGAGTGAGGCCTTATTTACGATTGCTTCGGCAAGCGTGGCGATGATCTTCAGCTGACTGGCTGTGTACTTCGGTCACACCGGAAAGCAGGACGTTGATGGCAATCTGACAGGCTTTTGTTTTTTCATTAATGGTGCTGGCCTGGCCAGTTCATTGAGGAAGGAACGCATGAGATGGCGATGGATACAAGTGGAAAACAACATGTGAAGAAATTATATAGATCTATGAACAACGTCTGCTCGCTGTGCTTGCGCATTCAGTCTATGCTGTGACGTGCATGGCTCAGCACCACGCGTATTTCTCGTTGGCTACCCAGTCGATCTTATCCGCTACCGGGCCTCGGTGCTCCGGATACCACCTGAGGCTTGGGATACTATCGACGTCCCTGTGAACGACATTGGCACTTGGATGCAGTCTCCTCGCAGCTGTAAGCGCCGTGGGTGGAGGCGACCACATCTCTACTTTCTCCATCTTCCACTCCTCTGCCTCTCGTTGCGCCATGGCCAGCAAGGCCGCAACGGCATCTTCGTGGCTATGATCTCGAGCTGTACCGTTGGCTTGGCTCGATGAGCCCTCCCAACCACCATCCTCAATTACCAATCGCAGAATGTACAGCGTGTTGCCCTTTGTATCTGCCGGGTCCTGATTATACCACATGCGCGTCCAGTAGCACCATACGCGTTTGCCTTTTTCCGTGCCCACAATGGCCCCCTTGATCTGAGGTTTCTTGCTGTGAAGCTCATTCCCCACAAATTCTTCGCGCGCATGGTGCCAACGGATCGTCTCAATATTGGGAATCATAGCGACAGCTGTGTTACTTCCCTTTGGCCGCGACTCTAGGTCTCGGCGGACAAGAGCCACGTCAGTACCGCATAGGTCTTGCAGATCTTCTGCATAGAGCGGTCGCGCTGTGGGCAGACTGCTGATGTCTTGGCTAACGGTACCGGGAATGGAGACGTGCGACGATGAGAAGGGCTCCCAGCCGAAGGTATTGTAGAATTTCTACCGTCGTTAGCTGCTGACGAGTTTGCATAGCAACAAGTACTCACCTTTCCAATATCCGAATACAGTACCGAGAATAAACATTCCGTGCCGTCTTCTGTCTGATATGTTTTCAACATCTCACCCAGCTCTGTCATCATCCTCTGTGCATAACCACGCTTTCGCAGGTGGTTGGCGCAGAACACGCTTCCAACGCCGTGACAGATGACTTCCTTGAGCGTGCCATCTTGCCATACCCACGCCTTCTTTCGGTATGTTTCACAACTCGCCAGCGGTAACCTGGTCCGGGACTGTGGATCCAGCGGATTGTTGGGCAATGAAGTGTCGACTAGGATCCAGTACGAGATGCCACCATCACGGGTCATCTCAGTCGCCGCGAGGACATCTTCACGGCGGAGATAGGCTGGCAGCTTAAGAGCACCGCACCATTCCTCCGCATTGAGCTTGAATTGGATCAACTTCTCCGCATCAGTAGGGTGGACGAGTGCCAGGGAGGGAGAGTCGCCTTTGGGGAGGTTATCGGTGATGGCCATGGTTGCTATATTGTTTTGCAAAAGGACCAGGTTGCGATATGGCCTTGTTCTTTATAACCTTCACTCGTCCAACTTCCGGTGACTACTTGTCAAGCTGTCGTAGGGCGTCGTAGGCATGCACTCGGCCCAGTTCCCATGCACGCTCGAAGCAGGGACGATACCGTACGGAGTAAGCAGTGGGCCCCCGGGTGCGACAGATTGGCTATGTCGGTATCAAATGACGGAGTGCTAAGCAGGAAAAGGGACTCGCTGTCGGTGGGTCTCTGTTTAGTCCAGAACACCCCGCGTCCCCGTGGCTCCATTCCGCCTTGGTTCTCCGTGCAAACTTATAGCTAACCCCGGATTCTCACAAAGACACTCGGACGGGTACGTGACGTTGGGCGGCCCGTTGTATGCCGTAGCAAAGCGAGTTCGGATGCCACTGCTTGCCATGGGTCATGTGCCGCCGTCCGATTCGCGATTAGCTTCAGATCTTGCATGAAGCCGGTCGCCTGCTCACTGAGAGTTACGGGCTAGTGTCTGCATTCATTGTTCATTTATTACGATCATGGCCATGACTGGTGGTCACGAACATTGCTTTTTATCGGTCCAGTACAACACGAGGGCAGGCTTATGGCAATGCCTCGTCATTAGCGGCAGTTCAGCCTCGCTAGCCCGCGGTGCCAGCCTCAGACCAGTGGCGCCGTCGCCAGGGCAAAACCACCGTCTTTTAACCATCACCACTGTATCATTGCTCAAATTCGATATGCTCTGTCTGTTCCGCTCGATGATAGCTGTTCCGTAATAACCGTGCATTCAAGTGTGCTGTCGTGGCACGTAGCTGTTGCTTCAACTCACCTTTCGGTGGTACCATTGCCCGCTCCGCTGTCCCTTCCGCGATAGCCCCCCTAACCTCCGGCCAGCTTACATCTAGAATATTCGCACCACTGCACACTGCATCTCAACTCGAACCTTGCGCTCACTCTCTTCGTTTTCTCTTCTTCTTCACGTTCACTGCGCATTGGCTGTGGAAGACGCTGAGGGTCGGTAAGGTACCTGACGAAGGTGCCCGACGAGGCTACCTCCAAGTGAAGCTGAACTGGTCTTGTTCACATAAACGCTACGCACCTATGACCCTCGCGGTCATCTCCCTTCATCAGACCACGTAAATAAGTACACATTAATGTCTATTACTTGGTGCTCTCCTGAGACCCTACACACGGATTCGCTGTCGATCAGTCTGAGCACTGCTCTGGTAACTACACATTGCGAGCTCAGCCTTTAGAATCAGCACCACATCACCCGATATCTCCTTTATGCGAAAAGAAACAGACCCCCTTGAGATTTTGAGATTTCAATGGCTCCACCTGGGTTTCGCGTGAGTCGAGAAATTGTTGTCCTCTCTGATAGTGAAACAGAAGATGAGGGCCACGCAAAGCAGGAGTTGGGGGATCTCATTGCAAAATCGGCAGTAGGGCCCGCGCAGAACAACCCGCACATTGACGGGAATATTGCAGAACCCCGTGGAGGCATACCAGTCATTGGTCCCGAGACGATCGACTTGACCGCCATCCCAGATATTGATGTTCCGCCCTCAGATCCCGTCGGGTTACAGGGCAATGTACCGCAGCCTGATGGCCAAGCTTCTGACCAGAATGCACATAGCTGTATGATTACCGAGACTGTCTGCCTACAAATGATTCTCAGCGTATTGCCGGACATCTCGGTTGAGTATGTGCTCAAGCTCATCAAGGAGAAGACAACAGACGCTACGCGAACAACGGCTCGATGCGAGCATCTCATCGCCGAGCTTCTAGAAGGCGAACCATATCCAAAAGAAACAAACGAAAAGAAGAGAAAGCGAGAAGACGATGCCGAGCATGAGCTGAGCAGCTATGAAAAGGGCGAGCGTGACCCACAGGTTTATGGTTATGAACACGACGCGTAAGTACCCATTCACAGCTGCTTTAGCGCAAGTAGTATGCATACCTACGTGTAAAATCCGATTCAAGAAGTGCGACGTTGTTTCTAGACAGAGCTTCAAGTGCGCTTCTTGTAGCAATACATGGAATCATGAAATACTCACTGTAGACATAACACTTCAGTCATGGAACAACGCAAGACTGGCACCTTGAAGAGAAGAAGCAGTGCTTTGATAGCGCAATGCAACCTTTTTGCTTCGTCATACTGACAACACACTCTGCAGCGTAGAACTCCTCAAGGATGAATTTCCCAACGTACCTGTACGACATATAACGATCGTTTTGCAAGAAAAAAAGACACTTTACAAAGCTTACGGTGTTATCGAGAAACAAGTGCGCGACTACGGGCTCATTGCTGGACCATTTTCCAAAACCACCAAAACCCGCAACAAGCGCGGCACTGAATTTATGCTGATTGAGAAGGGCAGTCAACTGCCCAAGGAACTACACGCAGCAAAGAAGAAGATTGAGTTTGAAGCTGGTGAGTGCTTTTTGCAAAACCAACTAATAAGTAGATCATGCTGAGGGGTAACGTCACAAATGTTCAGTTCCTAGTGTGGTGTCCATGGCCACATTCTCTAGCTAACAACTGCCAGCAAAACGCCGCAAAATACAAGAAGCAGAACAGAAGGAAGAAGCCAATCTACTCGACGCACGGATGAACAACCTGATGGGCGAGTGTGCATGCTGTTTCGACGATTTGCCTCTGAACCGCATGATCGGCTGCAGTGGCGACATGGTGCACTTTTATTGCAAAAACTGCATATGCCGACAAATCGAGACGCAAATGGGGCAATCTCGTTGTAGACCCAAATGCTTTGGGGTCGATGACTGCGACGGGACTTTCTTACGCAGACAGTTACAAGGTGTGTTGAGCGAAAAGACATTCGAACGACTGGAGCACATGCAGCAGATGGAGGACCTGAAAGCGGCCGGCTTGGACTTTCTTTCTGAATGTCCGTTCTGCGATTTCAAAATGGAGTGTCTGCCCGTTGAAGTCGACAAGGAGTTTCGTTGCCAAAACACCAAGTGTGGAGAGACAAGCTGCCGCCTCTGCCAAAAGGAATCCCATATACCACTAACTTGCGACGAGTTCAAGAAAGACGGTCAGATTACGCTAAGACACATAGTTGAAGAAGCCATGTCGGCAGCCTTGATACGTCATTGCAACAAGTGCAAGCATCCGTTTATCAAGGAACAAGGCTGTAACAAGATGACGTGCACGCATTGTAGGAATTTGCAGTGGTGAGTTGAAGTTTTTGGTTCTCAACAAGAGACATACTGACACTGATTCAGCTACGTTTGCTCCCAAAACGTGACCGACTATAGACACTTTGGTGATGGCCAGGCAGGCAGGTGTCCTCTGCATGAAAATGTTGAAGAGCGTCATGAACAGGAAGTCAAGAGAGCAGCTGACGAAGCTATGGCCAAAGTCCAAGCTGAAAATCCAGGCTTTTCAGATGCAGATCTCATGGTCAAGGTATCCGACCAGGTCAAGCAAGCAGAGGAGACACGCAGAGGTCGAGTGCGAGCCGAGGCGCACGCATTTCCTTATCATATGGTTGGTGATCAGCTCCACCGTGTTCCGCGTGCTGGTCAAGCAGGTGCACCGCGACCTCTGGTTCCAGTCCAACAACCACCTCTACCACGACCAGCACCTCAGTACGTACATCCCCGCCCACCTGTTTTCCAAGCTCCTGGTCTTGGGCAGCCGGAACACCCAATTCCATATCAACCCATATTTCCTGTTCAACCCATGAACTTCTACGGTGCTATTCCACCACAGCAACCATATGAGTTTCAGTTCTACCATCCTTTCTTACCACAGTGTCGGCGCTGTCATCTGAACCATCCCCCTGACCAGCGTTGTTAGACCTCAAGCTTACGCTGCCCTTCGTAACTTGTTACGCGATCGTGTCATTCCAGATGCGGTTGAACATGTCCAACCAGGATACGATGTAGCTCGTTTGCAGGCAAATATAAATGAACTTCGTCGAGCGACAGAACTAGCGCGGCGGGCACATCCGGTCGAGTTAAATGATTTCATGACACAGTTGGCGGAGAGGCGCCGCAGAGCAGCTCTTGAAGGAAATGCGAGGAGATAGCATGGCTTGTGATGCGGGATATTCTTTTGTTTGCATTGGGAGGTATTTCCAGCATATCGATTAGCAGCATAGTTTATTCAAGTTTGGACCTGTATTGAATCAATTTTCAACAATTGAAAAGTATCATGAAGACATTGAGTATCACATCATCTGTGATTCGGGTTGTGACATTCTCAGTGACGTTTTGCAAGATAACTTGTAACCAGTAAACTAACAGACAGCAATCCACTTCCAGTCGCCAGTGACTGGGACTTCGATACTAATTCCTGATTCACCTTGAAAGTGATGTTTGGTTGGGACAAGGCTACAGCGTGTTTGTTGATGTCACTTTGACTTACAATCACAATTTACCGCGACAAGCTGGAAACTTCTAGCGTCCTAGCAGTTATATAAATCCCACATCCCCTCTCTCCTCAACTTTCTTTTCTGTATCCCACATTCTTCACATTCTTACTCTCAAACATATTCTTTATACCTATTCGGTTTCTTATTATTTCTATCCTTATACTCCAACATCAATGGGGGTACCCATTTCCACATTAGTGGAATGGGCGAACAAGCCCTAATCGAAGTAAGTCCCTAGTGCATTTGTTTCTTCCTATTTGCTAATGACTATAGACATTACGCGCGCAGAGGCAGGAGCCTCAGAAGAAGACCGTTGGGGACTAAGGTCTCAGTGTAAGTCACTCACACCTAGATATTTATTCACAATTTTTATCATCTATGTTAGAAAAAGACCATTCGTAGAAGGGCCCAACGGGCCAAGAAGCCTGAGTTCAAGGCCCAGGCCAAGCAGACTAGCCCTACCACCAAAGTAAGTGCAACTTCCTCTCCGTTTCTATCTCATACTAACCTTTATTCTAGTAGAACGTCTTGGGCGAAAAGCCCACCAACCCGCCCGTCTTGGTACAAGCTGGCACTACGTCTCAGGCTGTGCCTGCTACACAGGTTGCTGATGAGCAGCTTGTGGTAGCACAGCCTGGAAATCAAGTTGCTATACGAGAGGAGGACGCTCCTGCGGCTCAAACCCAAGAGCCCTCCAACAACCTTGTGGAGAGATTCGCCGCCCTCTGTTTCTAATCATCACCATCAACATCATTTTTGCTTCTTCCTTTTATCATCTTTTTCTAAAAGATCAACTCTTCTTTAAAGTTACGAGCGTGCACTCTTTTTCGAGATACAATTCATATAGTCTGGAAATTTCATTATCGCCATTTCTTCCTAGCCATGTCCCTAGTTTCGATTAGTTCTTCTTTCAATGTACTACACACGATAACCGTGTACATAACATCATCCGGGTTCGGAAATAAAACTAACAATCATCTTGTCCTGGCTTCAAAAACCACTCGACGTGCTATGTCCCCTCGTCTATTAGATTACCTAACGCTAGTCACAACACCCCCTTCAATCCACAAGAGATCCAAAAGCCTCAAAACCCGTAAAGAAAAATCACGAAGTACTCCATGTATGCACTCCGCATCACCCACCCCATCATCCGGACACCATCGGAAACCCTTATCACGTGACCATTACGCCCCCGCACTGCTTTTCGGCCCCCAGACTTGAATAATAAACAACAACATTCTTCATTCCCATCTCTTCCGCTACCTATTCATCCCCAAGTAAATCAATCGTCATATCTCCCATGTTAGCCACCATATCCCCCAACCTCGCCCGTTGCCTCTTCCACTACCCGCCCGTATGGGGCTTCCGCATAGCATTTCGTCTTGGCATGACAGCGGGATATCTTGGGCGTAGTCTGCGCACTGGGTTCAATGGGTACTTTGAACTTCGCCGGTTTACGCGTTTGAGCTTGGGGAGAAGGCGGGGTTGAGATGGAAGGGGGAGTATTGTGTGAAGCGTGTACCGTGGGATGCGATTGCTTTTATGAAGGAGTTCTGGGTGGAAGGGGAGGCCGGAATCATTTGAGTGTGCGTTCAATCGGCGGCTTTTTGGATGGGTGGCCTCATGTTATTTTTGCGTGTTCGTGCTGCTTGAGGGCGATGGTTATGAACTTTCAAGCTGGACTTGATTGCAGTTGCGAATGGAAGTATTCTGTTGGTGTTTGTGGTTGTGGTTGTTGGTGTTACATCTTTTAGGAACCATGGAGTTAAGAAACATGTTGGTCATACTGCTTTCGGGTATTGAAGTGCCCTTGATGCTTGCCCGTTTGATAGAACCCGCGGACGGCAGGCAAGATCAGGGCTTGCATAGAATTAGATGGCTGGTTGAGAAGAAGACCCTTCCTATTAATAGTCTTGACAAACATATGTTCGCTATAGTGGTGGGTGCCCAGATCTATCAATTATCTTTTGAGCATAGACTGAGTACTGCAGTGAGCTCCTGTGACGACTTTACATACATCACCCCACTATGGAAAACATGGGCTCGAATAATCATTCAGAATAGTCCACCGGCTATTCGAACAGTCTATTCAGTAGACTTGTGATGCTGGCGAGCAGATTCTTTTCCTTGTTAGGATGGAGTGATTGCGCCGACATCGCCGCATGATGCAGGAACGGAGGTGGCGGGGGGCTTGGTTTGCGCGTGGCGGGGCAACGGAATGACTGCGGCTGCCTGTGATTAGAGCGCAAAGGCCCTGAAAATACAGTCCTTGTTCGTTCAGAAGAGGTGATGGGGGCAAGAAAACTAACTTTTCATCATGCATCAGCCTAGACGCCTCGTGCATGCGTTCTGGAAGCTGACGGGACGGGGCAGTTGAGTGGTTGAGTCAGTCAGCGATTCCGGAGCTACAACAACAATTTTCCCCACGGGGACCTTGACTCTACATTGTCCCCAAGTCGGCATCTTGACTTTTTACTTTTCGTTTCTTTGGACAACTGCATATATTTAATACCATGTCTTCACATACAGCATCGCAGCGCTACCTGAGCACCCGTGGTGGCTCCTACGACGTAAGGTCAGCGCAGACCGTAGGCGCAATCGCATGCTAACATGTGCAGTTCTCATTTGAGGATGTCGTCCTCAAGGGCCTCGCTGCAGACGGCGGCTTGTTCATCCCTGAAGAGATCCCTACGCTTCCCGAAGACTGGGCGTCCAAGTGGAAAGATCTTTCCTTCGCAGACCTCGCCTTTGAAATCTTCTCCCTCTACATCTCCCCCTCAGAGATCCCATCTGCAGACCTAAAAGACATCATCCGCCGTAGCTACTCCACCTTCCGCGCAAAAGACGTCGTCCCTACCGTCACACTCGACAAGGAGAAGAACATACATTTGCTCGAGCTGTTCCACGGACCTACATTTGCATTCAAGGATGTTGCTCTGCAGTTTCTCGGTAATCTGTTCGAATACTTCCTTGTGCGCAAGAACCAGGACAAGGAGGGCCGCGATAGGGAACATCTGACTGTCATTGGCGCTACAAGTGGCGACACTGGTTCAGCCGCCATCTATGGTCTGCGCGGAAAGAAGGATGTCTCCGTCTTCATCATGTTCCCGCACGGCAAGGTCAGCCCCATCCAGGAAGCACAGATGACGACCGTCATTGACGCCAATGTCCACAACTTGGCCGTAGACGGCACTTTCGACGATTGCCAGGTATGTACACAAATAATAGATTACAAAACACTACTAACAGCACCAGGACTTTGTAAAAGCCCTCTTCGCCGACCCAGAAATTAACAAGACGCACCGCCTCGCTGCTGTGAACTCCATCAACTGGGCCCGCATCCTTGCGCAAATTACCTACTACTTCTACGCCTACTTCGACCTCATCAAGAAACCCTCTTTCCTCCCCGCCTCCACCGTTCGCTTCGTCGTACCAACAGGTAACTTTGGCGACATTCTTGCTGGCTTCTTTGCAAAGCGCATGGGCCTGCCTGCTGAAAAGCTCGTCATCGCAACCAACGAGAACGATATCCTACATCGTTTCTGGGAAACCGGCAAATATGAGAAGCACCCTGTGCACGGCAAGGAGGCCGAGGGCGGCATTCCAGAAGACGGTGCGAAGGCGCACGAAGGCGGAGTCAAGGAGACGCTGAGTCCAGCCATGGACATTCTTGTCTCGTCAAACTTTGAGCGCCTACTTTGGTTCCTCTCGTACGATGTCTACAGCACAAACTCGGATGCTGTATCGCAAAGGAGAAGTCAAGCAGGCGACCATGTACGGAACTGGCTCAACGAGCTCAAGTCTCAGGATGGTTTTGCAGTAGACAAGCAGATTCTAGAGGCTGCCAAGGCCGACTTTTCCTCGTACCGTGTCAGCGATGAGGAGACTATTGAGACCATCAAGTATGTCTTTAACGCGGAGTCGTCTAAAAACTACGTCCTTGATCCGCACTCGGCTATTGGTATTGCGGCAACACTGCGCTCGGTACAGGTATCAAAGCCTCCTAGTACACACCACATTGCACTTGCGACTGCGCACCCGGCCAAGTTTGCAAATGCGGTTGAACTTGCGCTGCCGGAGCAGAAGGAGTACTTCCAGGCGAAGGTATTGCCGGATGAGTTCAAGGGACTCGAGGACAAGCCCAGGCGAGTCAGCCATGTCAAGAAGGCTGAAGGTTGGCAAGGCGTACGCAAGGTTGTTATTGCGGAAGTAGAGGCGGAGCGACGGGCTGCTGAGGGTGCGTAGTAGAGTTATATAAGAGGTTGAGGTTTTACACTGGCGTCGACTATATTTGGATAGATTACATGCTGGATATTGAGTACAGAAATGGGAGTCATACATACTTTCACCATATTAGTCACTATTGAGGTTCTCATTGTCACATGGCTATCAAGCGTACCCCACTTTCATCCACCACCTCCTTCTCCTTCTCCTTCTCTTTCTTCTCCTCCTCCCCCACCCCATCCCTCCGTCTAACAACCTCACTCTCAAACCCCAACCCAGCCCTCTGTCTCAAAACCCCATATACTGCACTACTATCCGCCCTCCGCCCCCTCCCCTCCGCATACCCCTTGGCTTCCTCCGCAGCCTCAAGATACATCTCGCCAATCCTCAACTCGACCCCCTTTCCCCTCGCAACCACAACCCCATGTCCCACATCTTTAATCCCCAGTTCCAGCCCTGATGCCGGCGCCTGCCCCACAGCCGGAAGATACGAACCCGAAGTTAGGCGCCGCGACACACCGAGTGCATACGCGCCAAAGTTTTCCTCGATAAGGGACTCGAGAGTGGAAGCAGCGAGTCCAGATGTCTCGGCTAGAACGTGGGCTTCAGACAGCAATGTCATTAGGCCTGCGGTGATGAAGTTGCTCGTGGTTTTGAGCAGCATGGCTTGCGAGGCTTCATCGCCGACGTGTAGTACGCGGCGTGCCAGGACGCCTTTGAGCAGCGGCGTTACACGCGTGATTGCTTGGGGCGGTCCGGCAACGGCGATGAGGAGCTGGCCTGCGATTGCTACGGGGGTGGCGCCGAAGACGGGGGCGGAGATGTAAGAAGCGTCTTTTTGAGTAAAGGAAGTAGAGATTATGGTTGTAGTGGAGGGGTGGACGGTGGTTGTGTCGATTATTATTTTTTGGGAGAGGGGACCGCTGTTTTGGATGGTGGTGGTGAGGGTGGTTATGGCTGTGTCGTCGCTGACCTAAGGATTCTCAGTTATGTTCCTGTACGGAAGATGGGTACTCTATGAAGAAGAGAGGGAAATGGGTATGTACAGATATGAAAATGACATTGCAGGTTTGGACTAGATCGGCCACTGTGGCACACGCCGTGGCACCGAGCTCTTCCAGAGGCTTGCCTCGTGAAATTGTTCGGTTCCAGTATTTCAACTGCGGATAAGCGTCTTGATGTTGTTGTATGTGTTTTTGGATGTTCGTTGCCATTGCTAGACCCATTGACCCTAGGCCTATCCAGCCCACGTGCAGCTTCTCTGACGAATCCATCTTGAAAGAAAACGGGGCAGTAAATCTGGATCGAGTTTTCTCTTTACAGGTTTTTGAAAAAGGTAGTCATTGTAATGGCAGGGTGATGCAAATATGGTATACATGCACATGAATTAGTGCATCGCACTAGTGTGCATCAGGCAAGTGAGTAAATCGGATATCCGACGAGACTTGATCCTCAGACTATCTTGAAAAGAGTCAGTCAAACATTGTTCCAGAAACTGGCATGACTCGACGACCAAACATGTCAATTTCTCTCGCCAAAAAAGACGTTGTAATACTGAAGATATGTATACACCAAAGATAAACTCAAACTCCGGGCTATGCTGGTATCCAATAATTTTGAGAGCCAGATACGGAACCAGCTGAGTAATGATACTATGCTCTGGCTCTGGCTCTGGCATGTGTGATATAATCACCTCAAAGGAACATCCTACTCCTCGTCGTCGTCGTCATCAACCACACGTCTCCGCTTTGTCCGGCTAACCACGACTTCGTCATCGTCGTCGTCGTCATCTGCTGCAACAGCCCCGCCCCTTGCTCTCTTCGGACTTGGCGCAATGCCCTCATCTGGGTCGTCGTCGTCCTCGACAATCTCCGGCTCCTCGTCACTAGCAGCGATAAAATCATCTTCCTCATCATAGTCGTCCTCACGATTCCTCCGAGGGCCGCCATAGTCTTCATCGTCGCTCCAGTCACGCCGTAGGCCACCACCCTTTCTCTGTTGCTGTTTCCTAGGGGCGCGGTCTTCCAGTCCATCGATATCGAGTCCCCCTCCTGATGCTCGTCCGCTGCTGCGGCCCATGGTGCGGTTCGCGCGCTCGGCCTGGCGGGCTTCATGCTTCTCACGGGCGCGCAGTTGCCGCTGCTTCTCTTTGAATGTGGCTTCTTCGCGTTGTCGGCGTAGCTCGGGATCTTCGTCTACATTGATAAAGGAAATAGCCTGATCGGCATCGTCCCGGCCCTTGGATGCCACCTTTGCAAGATCATTTTGCAGCTTCTCCAGCGCGGCATCTTTTGTGTTTGCAGCGGGCACTACGTTTAGAGATGCAGTGAGCTTGTTGGTCACACGCATAACATTGGCCTCTTCGTATGGGGCCACGAGATATGTGTAACTCTCCTTCTTCGCGCTCGTCTTCGCGCCGGTTTTGTCTTCCCTGACTGCTGTGGGGGTGGGAATCTTTGGGTTTATCTGCGGTGGTGCAAGCGTGTTGGCGTCAATGTCGAACTGCACGGTAGGGTCGCTGGCGAGTTGGAGGGTAAGAGAACCGTCGGACCACCTCAAGATGCGAGCATTCGACTGCAGGACAGCGTTGCTCGAGGGTGAGCGCCGCCATCGGATTGTGGTCATGGCTGTGTTATAAGCGGAAAAGTGTTCAGACGCGCCGACCTTGGAATGGTGATCGGTGGTTGGTGGTTGGAATGTCCTATGGTCAAAGGCTTTGTCCTCGAAGGAAAGGAAGCGCGGGACCTTGAGCAGGTAGAGTTCATTATCGGTGGGCTCGGGGACTGCATGGCGCGCCAGGTCTGCATCCATGTATGCGAACGTCTGCTGCTCGACCTCCTCCACGGCCTCTGCCTGCCTGACGCGATCGGTGCGTCCTTCGTCGTCGCCGGAGTCGAGTTCGGCATCGTCAAGCTTGCGCTGCTCACTGTGACACGTCAATTGGATGTTACATACTATTCTCTATCGCGACGTACGCTTGCGCATCGTGTACATCTCCCTCGGCGTCATCGTCCGCGCCGCCGTCGCCAAAGAGGTCATCGTCGTCGTCGTCAAGGCCATTCTCCTCGACGGTATTCAGCGGCGTGCCTCCCTCGCCATCGTCAGCAGGAGTGGCATGGCCATTGGCCTCGTCGTCGGACAGGGTTGGATCGTGGCCCACGTCGGACATGGTCGCGACAAATGGCGGAGGCTGTGTTGCGTTGTTTGCGAGGCGCAGAAACACGGGCGTGTCGGGACGTGTCAGGGCGTGTCAGGGCGACGGTGAAGGACGAGACAAGCAAATGCCACACGTGATGATGGGACAGCAAAGAACGGCGGAGGACTGGAACCCAGCAGCTGCACCGCTTCAAAGTTCCCAGCGAGGCCAGCAGCAGGCCGTGTACTGGGCGCTATGCCGGATGCGGCAATAGCGCCCCGCCCCTTCTCGACGCAGGCCCAAGGGAGTGTCGAGTGGGCCCAAAAAGCGTGCCCGCTTGAGACGTATCACCACCTCCTCCCCTTCAATTCTCTTGCATACTCCTCAAGCCGGCCCTCTCTAGGTGCATCCATAGCTCCCGTCTCGCCGCTTGCAGCCCCTGCACGCCCATAACCAGGACCCCGCAAACAAATGGCCTCTTTCTTCGCAAACGTGTAAGTTGCTTGGCACTTGCTCGCCCTCGCTCAAGTGCTCTCTCCCCTTCCCTCTAGTACAGTCCAAACACTCCCCCTCCCTGGTATGTTTCAGGCAAATTTGCTGCATATCCTCGTACGGCTTCAATCTCGCCATCTCCGCCTCACTCTGGGAAGCTGCGATTTGATCACTTTTGGCCTCCCAATTCCCGCCCGCCGAGGCCCCAAAGGTGTTTCCGTCTTCTAACAACTTCACCGATAGTCGCCAAGGACTGGCCGGCCGCTCCAGCAAAGGCCAGCAAGGCAAAGGCGGCTCTTCGTCACCAACGGCTTCATACTCTGCTTCGCCAACTTCTCAGCACGCCCCAAACCAACCGCCTATGCCTGGTTCGCCTGCTCTGTCATCCAACATGTCGTTCGAAGGCCCGCCATCGGAGGGGTCCGTGCCATCTGGCTCTCGCAGACCGCCTTTCTTTTTCCGCGAGGAATACTCCAACTTGATTGTCAAGGGTAATTTCATGACGCTGGCTGCAAAGCCCAAGCTCGTTGAGGAGGGCGAATGGCTCGCTCATCAAGGTAAGCGTTGCCACGTGTGAGGTTCGGCCGGAAATGGCGCTAAAAGCATGTGACTAGTTGTCGAGCAGTACAGACTGCTAGAGCAAATGATTGAAGTCATCAAGGTAGTCGATGACCGGACAGGCAAACCCATCTGTAACCCGGATGTCTGTCCTACCATGTCTGCCAGTGGTCACACATATACCTGGCTCGACAACAACAAAAAGCCCATCAAGATCCCCGCCATCCAGTACATCAACCTTGTACAAAAGTGGATCGTGGGCAAGATCAACGACCCAAACATCTTCCCTACAGACACCACAGCCATCTCAATTGGAACGACAACCTATGCCTCTGGCTCCCTAACTCCCAACTCGACGCCACAGCCTCTGGGACCTACATCCCTCAACCAGCCCGTATCCCAGTTGGCCGGACGCGAGTGGCTCGGCAAGTCATCCGGCTTCCCTGAAACCTTCGAGGGCGACATCAAGAGCATCTACCGCCAGATGATGCGGTGCTACGCCCACATCTACCACGGCCACTGGCTGGAACCCTTCTGGAACGTGAGTGCATACAAGGAACTCAACACGTGCTTTATTCATTTCATCAATGTTGGCAAGCTCTTCAACCTCATTGGCGACAAGGAGATTGAGCCCATGCAGCCGCTGGTCGACCTCTGGGCGGAGAAGGGGCTGCTTCCTCCCGTTACTGCTGCCAAGGAGAATGCTCCGCCTGCGTCTTGAAGATAGTTCTGTCTACCACTACTACAATTACCTTTTGAATTTGTCAATCGACCAAAGAATAAGCATGTGGGTAACCCCATTTGACATGGAGGCCCCTCCCAAAATCCATACGAGGCCGTCCATATTTCTGCATTGTACATGTAGCCCGAAACCGAGTCAAAGGCGAGGACGATGATGATGATGATGATGACGATGATTGGCGTTCTGGCATGTCTTACCTTGCCATTTCCGCAATGTGAGCCTTGGAAATAGCATAGAGTAAATGAATCTTTTTTTGTCCTCCTTCAACATCTTTTGATACAACCAATGTCAGGTTAGACGACACATGCAAGGCACGACAACTAGCAAGAAGAGGCTCAAATTTGATAGTACCACGCAAAAGCAACCAAACAACTCTTGTCCCCCAACCATAAACCCCTCCTAGAAACGCAATGTCATAGCCCCATTCCACACACGCACTCACAAAACTCCAATGGTGACACAGACAAGAGAATCCCAGAATCTCCGCTCCGCTCCACCATTTCCGTTTGACATTTTCATCACCAATGCAAATAACACTTCATGGGTCCGTGGCATGCGGGACGCGCGTTCGTTATGGAGATGCCTGGGCAGGGACAGGCACTTGACATTTTTCGTGACTCGCTACATTACAGCTCGCCCAAGAGGCGAACTTACTGGTGACCGGCCTTGCGGAGGGAGTTGCTCAACCACTCGAGACCCTCGTACAGACCGTCACCAGACGTGGCGCAAGTCGACTGGATGTACTGCATCGGGTTAGTGGGGACGCCCTAACAAAGTGGGTCTGCTTGCAACTCACCCAGGCACGTTGTCGGAGGCTGTGGAGACCAAGCTTGTCGGTGATTTCAGCAGCGTTCATGGCGTTCTGTCACGAAATGGTTAGCCATTGTGCAATTGCAGAACTTGCGAACGATGATGGAGGCTTACAGGCAAATCCTGCTTGTTGGCAAAGACAAGGAGGAGAGCATCCCTGAGCTCGTCCTCGTTCAGCATGCGCTGGAGCTCCTCGCGCGCCTCGACAACACGGTCGCGATCGTTGCTGTCGACGACGAAGATGATACCCTGGGTGTTTTGGAAGTAATGTCTCCATAGAGGACGAATCTTGTCCTGACCGCCGACATCCCATACGGTGAACTGGATGTTCTTGTACTCGACAGTCTCGACGTTGAAACCTGGGAAAAGGGGCACAAAAGTCAGCGCATTGTCCATCGCAATGGTGGCCGTATGCAGCGCAACATACCAATGGTTGGGATGGTGGTGACGATTTCACCCAACTTGAGCTTGTAGAGAATCGTCGTCTTTCCGGCAGCGTCGAGACCGACCATGAGAATACGCATCTCCTTCTTTCCCCATAGCTTGTCGAAGAGCTTGGAGAATGTGAGACCCATGACTGCGGTGGGTGGATGTGCGAGTGTGAGGAGGGTGAGTGGGAAGGCGGTGTATAGACTCTCGAACCTGTGGCGCTAATTGTCAGGACAGTACTGAGAGGAGAGCCATGGCGTCATGTGCGGAAAGGACATGCCACGACGGGCGTGGTCCTCGCTGGCGCAGAGAGGCACTGGGGGGCGTGGCCTGTTGCCAACCCAAGTCGCAGCCCGGAGGAAAGCTGGCCTCGGAGGAGGCGACGTAGGATAGAACAAAGCAATCACAGGAAAAAACAAGGCGGCGAGGGACAACTTACGGCTATGTTCTTGAGAGTCGGTGGTATTCGGGGATGGGGCGGGTGGATGTGGATGTACTCTAATTGATGCACAGGAAGGGCTGCGTTGAAGAGATGTGGTGGAAAGCGCGGCGAAGGCTGGGCACTGTTCGTAAGCTGGTAAGTGCCACTACCGCCGGCACGTGACAACTATCAGCGATCGCTTATCTGCGCGTGTTTAAGGACTTGCGGTGAGAGGCGAGCGTCTCCTTTACATTCTTGGAACTGCTCTTATGCACTTGCTCGCATCTTGACACGTTTTGGCTCTCCTGAATGTCCAGAGCGGGAATCCAGGCAGCCATTGGCCTCCGCTTGGCCGATCCCCTCAACCGCCCCAGGATTGCGTGAGTTCCAGGACCCACAGCTATCCGCACTATTCACTGACGGGGCATCCTGTCTTCAATAGCGGTTCACGGCGACGACGCATATTGCAACACTTTTTGACGGCCTCGTTTCCATGCCCGCCCTGGCAGAGTCGCTACCGAGGCCGCAAGACCTGTCCCACCAGTTTCGCCCGACTCCATGGCGCTATTGTGAAACTACCTGCCGCTACCCAAGACGACCAAAATATCCGAAGATTGTCCATTTGTAGCAACGTCGCACAGTCGCCTTAGGCAACAATGTTTTGTGCAAGACAACATTAGTGCATCATTAACTGGACACGGTTGTCATTGTTTCAAGGCAGACATAATTGACACCACTGCTGTTCCGGGTCCCCCCATGTCCTCTTCTCTCGCCATGTGCACCACCTCACATCGCCCTGTGCACCTCTTTTGTCTTCCTGTCACTCATAACCACTGCAGCTCGAACGAAGATAGGCAAGCACATCCAAACACCCGTAACCCAGAGCGCGCCGCGAACATGTGAAGCTACCGAAGTAACCGTGAGCAAACAACTCATTGTACAAGCAAGTCGAACAGCAAGAAACGAAACTGCAAAGGCGTTGAGCACGTCCTGTGCCAGCCCAGCCATGTTGCCAATGACCACTGCTGCAACGAAAAGGGGAAAACTCTGCCATCTAATTAGATGACTGATAACCGTTATCAAACCTCGTTCAAGACTTGCCTCCATCCCGGTGTGATAACACCCACACATACGCATGTACCTCACATACGACTCTGCAGGAACACGCTGCTTCAACTGCGCTTTGGTATCCTGAGCACGTAGGTTGCTGCTGTTTTCGGTAGGTAGCCTAGCTCTAGCAGCGATGGCGCGAGCAACGGCATGAGGCATCATCGAGACTGGAAGTATCAGTATCGTAGCAATGAAGGTGTGGTATTTACGTGAGAGGGAGCGTATGCTTACTGATGAAATGAATCGGGATAGCCAGGATGGACGTGTTGCAGCCATTAAGGTAGGGCAACATTTCGTCTGGCTATTTGTCGTTGTTGCTTCAATGGTTAGTGGGAGAAGGAGAAGAAGAAGAAGAAGAAGAAGAACATTGCTTTGGAGAATGATTGCGCATTTAAGTCACCCAGAGACTCCTTCCTGGTATGACGGGTGGCTCGTGTAAACAACGTTGCGTGTGAGAGTGAGAAGTGAATGCGGTAGTGGCAGGCAATAGATACAACTGCTCATTAGATTGGATAGTACGCTCCAAGACGCGATAACTAACACAACAAGACATGATGAATCTGGCTACATTCAAGTCTCTCAAGGTAAATGCTTAATAGCAAGCGATCCAACACTTCACACATGCTACTATCTCTGCCACCAAATTCTGGGCACCCCTTACTTCAAATCCTTCGTTCTCTCCTCACTTTCCCTAATCCACTTATCTAACAACTCCCTATTCCTCGGCTTAAATCCCACCTTAAAATACTTAGGCTCCAACGTCAAACCCGTCGGAAGCGCATTCGCCTCCAGACAGTCCAGAATAGGCTCATCCCGCGGATCAACCGGTGGTGTGAATTCAAACGCAGAAATTAGTCTGACAAACGCAGTAAACAGCTCGCGGTTCGCCAAGTGAGAGCCTGCGCACATGCGCGAGCCAGCGCCATATGCGTAGTGTGGTGTTCCTGCGCCATCGGAGACGGCGAGGTAGCGTTCTGGATCGAAAGTCTCGGGGTTGGTGAAGTGAGTAGGGTCATAGTTGCCGGCATAGGCATTCATATAGAAAGTTGTGCCAGCGGGAATGACAGTACCGTTCCATTCGATGTCTTTGATTGAGACGCGGGGCAGGCAGATGGGAATGACGATCCAGTAGCGCAGGATTTCTTTGTACAGGGCGGTGATGTAGGGGACGCGTTCTTCGTTGAGGCAGCGCTCCCAGGCGTCGTTGTTGGGGTAGACTTTCATGATTTCCTCGTAGGCGCGTTGTTGGATCTTTTGGCCTTTGGAGGTCGCCAGGTAGGCGATGCCCATGATTAGATTGCCGGGGACCGTGTCGAGGCCTGCGGAGACCATGGTGAGGCCGATCGAGGTGATTTCGGCTGGTGGGTGTGTTAGCGAATGCCTGATGTAGAGAGATAGAAAAGGGCTTACCTCTGTTTAGCTTTGCTTCGGGGTCCTTGAGGATGTTGCCGGTGATGCATGGTTTGTCTGTGCCGCTCTCGATCTTCTCTTCCAGGATGCTGAGTAGCTTGTCCATGTATATGTCTCGCCTCTTTCGGAAGTGCTTAGCCTCATTGTTTTTACTTGGAAGCAGCCGTAGCAGCGGGATGTAGTCTTGCCAATTATTGCTTGTCGATCTGAGTGATCCTATGCCCCTCTCGACATTCACAATCTCCTTGAGCAGCGGCGCGTTCTTGTTGCCATCAATACGGTATCCGTAGTTCAGTGACAAGGATGTGTTCAAAGCGTATCGCTGCCAATATGCTCGGGGATCGAGATCGATTTCTCCACCTTTGCTGTCCTGGAGAAGCTCCTTGATAGAGACGGTCGATTCGAGGTCGATGAGGGGCATGTATGACTGTACAGCAGGTCGGTTCAGGGCCGTTGCAGCTGCCTTACGGCGAGCTTTGCAGGAGTCGTCCCATGGAGAACTTCCAATTGTGAAACCTTGTGAGGAGGAGACGACTTTATGAAAGGTATGGAGCATAGGCCGTGAAATCATGGCTGCTTGGTTTACGATCCAGAGGTGACGGATGGAGTCAAACGAGTTTGCAAAGACGATTCTCTGGGTTCTTCGTCAGGTTCTCTACTCTTGAGACAAATGATGCTCATGCTAAGGATCAGTGCTTACCTTGTTTCCCATCCTCACCTGGTAGACTGGACCATACTTCTTCGCCCATTGCTGTGCTACCTTTGGATGTTTTGTGCCAAGTTCATACAAGCTTCCAAGCAGAGGAAGCCCAGGGACTTCACGCAAGCCTTTGATGTGCGGTTTGTCGGTTCCATAGAATAGTTTATACAAGAAGTATCCCAACACTGCAACGCCGGCTACGTAGATAGGGATCGTCATGGTTGCAGCCAAACTCAATGTGTGAGAAGAACAGAATAGAAAAAGAAGTGAACTCGCGAAATTTATGATACGAAGGACATGAACTATAGCTTGTAGCAATAGCTATAAGATAGAGCTTGCTGACATTCGGCGAGGCCTCGCAAAACTCAGGCTTGGGCAAGACCACACCCTAGCCTCGGTAACATAATCCTTCATCTGACTAGACAAGATTTTCAGTTTAGTTACGCTCCAGTAGTCCGGCAACATGGAGTTGTTACACCAATCGTCCAGTTAGGCAGACGATCACGTTAGTCAAGGCGGAATAAGGCCGCACGGAAAGTGCGGGGAGGCGCGATGTAGGGTGAGGTCATCGTGCACTAACTAGATCAGGAAGATTTCCTGCACACATCTTGACGACAAGTATTGGAGGCTAATGCTTAGCAGGTTGACACATCATGTTTGGGACAACTGCCAAGAAGGGAACCTGTATATGCCTCGAAATACAATGACTTGACTAACGCACCATGGACGACTTATAACATCTCTGCTTAGGTGCAGTACATCGCTTGCTCATACATACGCTCTGTTCAAGCATGTTTTAGCGAAAGATAGATACGGAAGGTTTCCTTGTACGCGACCTCGCAATGGCTCTATTAATTGGAGACAGGGACAGGCAATGGCTGGAACATAAGCTAGATTTCCCAGAGGAGCCTACGCAAACTCCAATTTCAAGGCAGGTTCAATGCGGCCCACGCATTCGCCAAACCCAACAAGAGCTTCTTCATCGTTGCCGCATACACCTCGAATAGTAACCTCATCACCATCCTCGAGGAATGTTCTCTTCTCTCCTTGAACCGCGATAGAATCTTTGCCATTGTTGCTCTGCTCTAGGAAGCTTCCGTATTCAGCTGGAGTGGTACCACTAATGGTGCCAGAACCCAGCAAATCACCGGGCTGGAAGGGGCATCCGTTGACGCTGTGGTGTGTCAACATTTGTGGGAAGGACCAAAGTAAGTTTCGACCGTTGACTTTGGAAACCGTAGCTTTGCTGCCAGATGATGCTGGTACGTGTTAGTCAAGTGTTGTCTCAAAGGGTTCAGGAGTGGTGAACATACTCTTAAGATCGATTTGAAGATTGATATCGTAGACAGTCTTGTCGTTCTTCTCCCTCAGATAGGGTAGTACTTCAGTATCATTCTCGAGGCCCTTTGTCTTGAATGGTTCCAATGCATCAGCGAGCACAACCCACGTACTGATGGTTGTGCCAAAGTTCTTTGCATTAAAAGGTCCTAACGGCACGTACTCCCATGCCTGGATGTCTCTTGCTGACCAGTCGTTCATGAGCACCACACCGAACAAATTTTCTTCGGCCTTTTCAATTGGTATTGGCGTCCCTTGCTCGTTTGAGCCACATACAAAAGCTCCGAGCTCGAGCTCCATATCCAGCTTCCTACAGGGGCTGAATGTAGGTACCCGTTTCTCTGCCGTAGGGTTCAACAATATTTGGCCGTTGGGCCGTCGAATTGGGGTTCCCGAGGGTACGACTGAGGATGCTCGGCCATGATAACCCACTGGCAGATGCTTGTAGTTTGGTTGCAGAGCCTCTTCTGGGCCTCGGAATATAACACCGCAGTTGTAGGCATGGTTCAGACCCGCAAAGAAGTCGGTGTAGTCGCCAATCTTGAAGGGGAGATGGGCACGAACTTCTTTGAGGGGTAGCAGAGCCTGCTTTTGAAGAGCAGAGTTGTTCTGAAGGACATCTGGATAGGTGGTGTCCTTGGAAAACACACTCTGTATGTACTTGCGAACGACGGAATGGACGGGGCGGCCGAGTGCAGCGAATGCATTCAATGAAGGCTCTGAAAAGACAGCCTGATGAGGCTGGATGACAGAGAGGGCCGAGAAGCCATTGCCGGCTGCAAAGGCCTCGAGATCTAGGGCATGGTCTCCAATGGCAACTGCAACTCTTGGTTTTGTCGACGAGGCAGTCGAAATGACGCCAAATGGAATGTTGGCTAGGGAAAAGTGAGAGCCGCGAGGTATGGCAAACCAAGATCGCAGTGAAGCCATGGCAAGATGTGTGGTGTGGTGTTTTGTTGGGATAGCGGGGATGATTAAATGCAGTATGTACACTACTACATGCGGTGCTGACTACTCTACAGGTCAGCTCCAATGCGTCGGTGTAGTACCGTACGGCCTCGAGAGCCTTGCGAGGATAATATGCAATTGAGCTGTCGGAGTTTGTATGTGCAGGCCTGCAAGGATGCCTTGCACATTGGCAAAGCCAGAATGTCAGCCGCATGAGGACCCTCTTCTTCGCATTCGTGGTTGCCGTGCTTCTGGCCCGCTGTCGGCTTGTGACGGGATCGGGATGGAGGCGGGCAGGCGGGCCCGGAAAAATTCCGTCATTTGCCTGCGGATCGCTGTGTTGGATACCCCGCCGCCTGTGGGCTGTGGGGTAAGCCGATGTGAAGGCTCTCCATAGCCCACCACTACTCCACTTTGATCTCATGATGCCATAGACAACGGGATCAAAAGCCGTTCATTGCCGCATCGTGCAGCGCAGCCATGGCCGAGGCGGAGCTTGATGCTTCCTTCACTAATTCCGTGGGGCCGTTGTACATAGATTCAAGAAGACTGCAGTGGTAGCGTGCCGCCGGGTCGACGCGTACCTAGTCTTTTACTTTTCGACAGAAGCAAAGTTGAACAATTGATCCGCCTCTCACGATGCCGTCTACGCAGTTTGCTTTCAAGGAAAAGTACCGATACCAGAACGGCTTCAACTCGTACCATGAGTACGGATTCCCATTGCTGCCCCGCTTAGTACAAGCTAACGGCATCGCAGGTCCGAAGCAGTAGAGGGCGCGCTCCCTATCGGCGCAAACTCACCACAAAAGCCCCCGTACGGGCTCTACGCTGAGAAGCTTTCTGGAACCGCCTTCACAGCCCCTAGGCACGAGAACCAGCAAACATGGCTCTATCGTATCTTGCCATCTTGCGGCCACAGTAACTTTGAGCCCCGTGAATCGAAAACGTTCAACACAAATCCTGAGAACAAACCATGGGAGCGGATACACTATATCCCAAACCAGCTCCGATGGGATCCCTTCGACCTCGACGAGACGGTAGACTGGGTGCACTCTCTGCACCTGGTGGCTGGTGCCGGTGACCCCACAATGAAGTCGGGAGTCGGGTACTTTATATACGCTGCAGGAAAGGATATGGAGGCCAATGAAGCATTCTACTCGGCTGATGGTGACTTTCTCATCGTCGCCCAGCACGGTGTGTTGGATATTCAGACCGAGCTGGGCCGCCTTATTGTACGCCCCAACGAGATTTGTGTCATACCGCGTGGTATTCGATACCGCGTCACGCTTCCTCAAGGCCCTGTGCGAGGATACATTCTTGAGCTGTACCAGGGACACTTCACCCTCCCTGAGCTTGGGCCTATAGGCTCCAATTGCCTTGCGAATGCGCGAGATTTCCAGGCGCCAGTGGCCGACTTTGACGAAGACACAGAGACAGAGTGGCAAATCCTGGCAAAATTTGCTGGCCACCTTTATGCTGCGAAGCAAAAGCATACACCATTCGATGTGGTGGCGTGGCATGGCCTTTACTATCCATACAAGTACGACCTCGGTCGTTTCAGCACAATAGGGAGCATTTCATTCGATCACCCAGATCCATCCATCTTCACTGTTCTTACCGCGCCCTCGGACCATGCAGGAACCGCAGTTGCGGACTTTGTAATCTTCCCGCCTCGGTGGTTGGTTGCTGAAAATACGTTCCGACCGCCATGGTACCACCGAAACACCATGTCGGAGTTTATGGGCCTTATTGGCGGCCAGTACGATGCCAAGACTGGAGGGGGTTTCCAGCCAGCCGGCGCATCTCTTCATAATGTCATGTCGGGCCATGGCCCTGACGCTGCTACTCACGAAAAGGCATCGAATGTTGAGCTACAGCCGAACAAAGTCGGCGAGGGTAGCATGGCGTTTATGTTCGAGAGCTGCCTGATGATTGGCGTAACAGATTGGGGCCTAAAGAAGTGCCGAAAGATCCAGGAAGGTTACAACGCGGAGAGCTGGGAGCCGCTGAAGCCGCACTTCAAGATGCCTGGCAAGAAGATTGACAATGGCGTCTCGCCGCTGGCGGCAGGATCAGAGGGCGACAAGGGACAAGTGCCTCACTACACGTGAGTGGAACGAGTGGCTAGTTGTACCCGTAGCGACAAAATGGAGAATACTGATGGATCTCCCACCGGATTTAGTACAGTAGTGTCGGTGAGATTCGGTCCTAGTGAGGATGCTTACTGCATTAGTCTAGAGCATGGCGCGTCGGCGGTGTTGGACCAGGTGGGTGCGGTTTCATGCCCCGCAGCGAGCAGAGGGCAGCTTGCCCGCGCACGCTGCTCGGAGTTTATGAAGACATTTTGTTCATGGATAGGGCGTTTAGATACTGAATTGACATGATTCATGCGCAGCTCCTGTATGGCCAGACGTGCATACTAGCAGATTTGCGCCTATCGACAGTGGAGGGGTCGACGTGTCTCAGGCCCGTCCAACTCCATGTGCCGATAGTACGGCGCAGTCCAAGGGTCCACTAGCGTCAACAGGTGTTAGAGCGCGGGGCTATCTTCTCCCACTTTTCTCCCCCTCGACGCCGCTCTCTTATTCTCTTCATCCTCTCCCATCCCTTCTCTCCTTGCCTCCCTCTTCTCTCTATCCCTTTTTCCCTCAATTCCCCCCAATTCACCACACACAACCTTCATCATGTCTGCCCCCGCCCACAAGTTCAAGGTTGCTGACATCAGTCTCGCGGCCTTCGGTCGCCGTGAGATTGAGCTCGCCGAGAACGAGATGCCTGGTCTGATGGAAACCCGCCGCAAGTACGCTGAGGACCAGCCCTTGAAGGGTGCCCGCATTGCTGGATGTCTACACATGAGTAGGTTGCCTCTGCAGATTTGCCACGATCAAAGGAAATTTTCTTGCTAATACGCATTGCAGCCATCCAGACTGCCGTCCTCATCGAGACTCTCAAGTTCCTCGGTGCTGAGCTCACCTGGACTTCGTGCAACATTTTCTCCACCCAGGACCACGCCGCTGCCGCCATTGCCGCCGCCGGTGTGCCCGTCTTCGCCTGGAAGGGCGAGACTGAGGAGGAGTACGAGTGGTGCCTTGAGCAGCAACTCACCGCTTTCAAGGATGGCAAGAGCCTGAACTTGATCCTCGACGACGGTGGTGACCTTACCGCCCTTGTCCACAAGAAGTACCCCGAGATGCTCAAGGACTGCTACGGTGTCTCTGAGGAGACCACCACCGGTGTCCACCACCTCTACCGCATGCTCAAGGGCAAAGGTCTCCTTGTCCCCGCCATCAACGTCAACGACTCCGTCACAAAGTCCAAGTTCGACAACCTATACGGTTGCCGTGAGTCGCTTGTCGACGGTATCAAGCGTGCCACCGATGTCATGATTGCTGGCAAGGTCGCCGTTGTTGCCGGTTTCGGTGATGTCGGCAAGGGTTGCGCCCAGGCTCTCCACAGCATGGGTGCCCGTGTCATCGTCACTGAAATTGATCCCATCAACGCCCTCCAGGCTGCCGTTTCCGGCTTCCAGGTCACCACAATGGAGAAGGCTGCTCCTCAGGGTCAAATTTTCGTCACCACCACTGGTTGCCGTGACATCCTGACTGGCGCTCACTTCGAGGCTATGCCCAACGACGCCATTGTCTGCAACATTGGTCACTTCGATATTGAAATCGATGTTGCCTGGCTCAAGGCCAACGCCAAGTCAGTCACCAGCATCAAGCCCCAGGTTGACCGCTACCTGATGAAGAATGGACGCCACATCATCCTCCTCGCCGAGGGTCGTCTCGTCAACTTGGGATGCGCCACTGGCCACTCTTCTTTCGTCATGTCCTGCTCTTTCACCAACCAGGTCCTCGCCCAGATTATGCTTTACAAGGCATCTGACGAGGCTTTTGGCAACAAGTACGTCGAGTTCGGCAAGACCGGCAAGCTCGACGTCGGTGTCTACGTTCTGCCCAAGATCCTCGACGAGCAGGTTGCTCTTCTTCACTTGGCACACGTCAACGTCGAGCTCTCCAAGCTCACTGACGTCCAGGCTGAGTACCTCGGTCTCCCTGTCGAGGGTCCCTTCAAGAGCGACATCTACCGCTACTAGATTTCTTTTTGTTCCGCGTTTGGGAAGCTTCAACACGACGTTATGATACCACTTCGAAAAAAAAGTTATTTGTCTTCAACGGCATAGCATCGAGCCTGGGGCTTGACGGGGTCCGGTTGTTCAAAAGGCGTTGTTTTGCATATCATCTACTTGACCCTTCAACCATGGTCAGGATGAGGATGATACCCAGTGTAAGAGTGTGATATGGAGATGATGGATTGCGTTTCTGCACGCAGCATAAGATTAGTTAACAAGTCTACCCGTTTAAACGGAGACTGCATAATTCAGAGTAACGACGGGCCTCCATACCCGCCTCTGGCTTATACTTTGTTCATTTCAATGTGTTTGTAATGTGATGTGTGCTGGCTCAGATGTTGTAGGTACGTGCGCAGATTCGAAGCATGCCTCGACGATACGCACCAGGCCGTTTGTGACAAGCTAGCATGTGCAATCGGCCTCTAACACAGCTATCGTGCAACTCCAAGGCGCAGTGCAATAGAGAACTGCAGCTAATGCGAAACTGTATGTTATAGAGACAAACCGTCGCGCCGCCTTCTAACTAGCCCCGCAGTCCCACCTTTGATTCCTCATCCGGCCTACTACGCCCTTGTACCCCTCGATCACGTCGCAACTAGTACATGCACTAAGCAGTAGTTATAGTTATATTACTTCAGCTTACTAAAGAAAGATATCATGACTTATGTGGCGTCTAAAGAACAAGATGCACAGGTCTCACACGGCGAGCATGGCACAATACAGAACGCCAAGATCCGAGTCTAGGCTTTGGGAAGCTGGGTAAGTGTTGCAGAGGTTCAGCTTTGCACTGCCACGTTTCGTATCTTGTGCCTTCACTTCTACTATTCCGCTATGCTTCTGCCTTGTGGCATTTATGCGCTTCAGTATCTCCTCTTCCTACTACTCTAGTCGAACTCTATAGCTCTATACTATCAGGAACAGGTAGCCTAACATGCAACTTCTTAGCCTTCAACCCTCTAGCTAATGACGAAATATTCTAGTGGAGGGTACAGATGGACATCTATGTCTACGAACCGATCGATCTCGAGCGTCCCGCATTCCGACTTCTACAGTTACTTCGAGGGAACGGGCCGGCCATCGAGTGTATACTATATCAGGCCTATATCGATGGCATCGATACTGTTCCGTACGATGCTTTATCGTATACCTGGGGCGACACGAATAAGACATCGACTGTGACAGTCAACGGGAAGACACTTGGTGTTACTGAAAATCTATACTCAGCCCTTCAACATCTTCGCTTAGAAGATATAGATAGGGTACTCTGGGTCGATGCTATTTGTATCGATCAAGGCAACGAAAAAGAGCGAGGACATCAAGTTCAACAAATGTGCAAGATTTATTCGCACGCAGAGGAGGTGGTTGTCTGGCTAGGTCAACCAACGGAGGAAACCAATATCCTTATGGATTGTCTTCGGCAATTAGAAGAAAACAGTTTGACGCACGCGCATAGACACTGGGACCTGGCACAGTGGACCACATTCTGGCAATTAGTTCCTCAGAATCCAGATTTTGAGCTAAGTAAAGGCCTAGACCTGCTCTTAAGGCGACCATGGTTTCGAAGAGTCTGGATCTTACAGGAAATAGCCAATGCGAAGAAAGCAAGTGTCCGGTGTGGCATCAAGTCTGTCAAAGCACGCACCTTTGCCCTTGCTCCGTCGCTCATAGGCATAAAGCCAGAACGCCATTGTCAAGCTGTCTTGGACATTATGCCTGGTCACTTGCGGGAGGAGACCTGGTGGGGCGAAAGCAGAGATTTGTACAACCTTTTACTAAAATTCAGAGAAAGCAATGCGAGCGACCCACGAGATAAAGTCTATGCCTTGCTAGGTATATCTTCAGACGCCTACGACACCGATAGCCTACGTCCAGCCTATACGAAAGACCTCCAGGCAGTCATTTGCGATACTTCGTTGTTCCTGTTTGGACAGTCAGATGTTTCTTATGAGACAATGCCACAGTTCTTAGATGATCTTACGTTTCGGAATTCTACATCCTTCTTAGAGCTTGTCCGAAGGTCTAATGTGAGGGAAGTTGAACTTTTCATAATGCGGCGAGGACTTGAGGTATCGCTGTCAGAGGATATGATCAAAGCCGCGGCAGAAAATCAGGAAAACGGGACAAAAATCATAAACTTTCTCATTCAGAAACGCGGAAGTGAAATCACAGTCACAGATGGAGTGATCAGAGCTGCTGCAAGAAACAGGACAAGTGGAAGAGACATCATAACCCTTCTTTTTCAGAAACGCGAAGGTGAATTCAAACTCACAAAGGCGGCGTGGGAGATGATGCACGATGTTTTCGGTGGGGAGTACGAGGAGATCTTGAAAGGTTTGCTACAAGGAATTTCCTGCGTGGATGCGTGGAATGAAGACTTTGACAGATTACTATACATAATGTCAGAGGGAGGCTATACGGCAGCAGTGAAACTGCTACTCGACAAAGGCGTAGACCCTAACGCTCAAAGCAGGTATTATGAGATCGCAGTTCAGACAGTGTTGCACAAAGGCCAGAGAGCAGCAGCAAAGCTACTCCTAGACAATAACGCCAACGTTAACGCAGTAGGTAGACTCCAAAAAACCGCACTCTACGCGGCTTCAGCTAGAGGCCACGAGGTGGTAGTGAAGCTACTACTAGATCGCGGAGCCGATGTTAACGCGAGGGGTGAATTCCATATTACCCCACTCTGTGCAGCTTCAGTCGGAGGTCACGAAGCAGTAGTGAAGCTACTGCTAGATAAAGGCGCTGACGTTGGCGAGAGGGATGTATTCCATCACACCGCACTCTATATGGCTTCAGCTGAAGGCCACAAGACAGTAGTAAAGCTACTGCTAGATAAAGGCGCCGACGTTAACGTGGGGGGTAGACGCGATGACACCCCACTGTACGCGGCTTCAGCTGGTGGTCACGAGGCAGTAGTAAAGCTACTACTAGATAAAGGCGCCAATATTAATAAGAGGGGTAGACTCTATAATACCGCACTCTATGCAGCATCGGCTAAAGGCTATACGGCGGTAGTAAAACTACTGCTAGATAGAGACGCCGATGTTAACGCGAGGGGCAAACACGGTGACACCCCACTGTACGCGGCTGCAGCTGGAGGTCATGAGGCGGTGGTAGAGCTGCTGCGTAGCAAGGAGCAGGAACAGTCGATTTGACAATAGAGAATCCCTGCTATTCAACCTAGCGTTCAGCAGTGACCATCTCGCTGATGCCAAGTTTCCAATAGAAAAGGAGTATAATATGACTTGCGGTGCTGATATGTACTAGTTACGACTGTTTCAAGCTACCTTGCTTACAACGTTTATTCGGACCTCTTACTCCTCTCTTACCAGCAGTGCCATGACGATGTGCATTTTGCACGGCTCAATAGTCGAGGCCGTCTTCATCTTGCTGCAAGAGGCATCGACAGTCCGAACTCCATTTTACCTGCAAAAAAACGATACAGAAAATACTTCGAATTCGTTGTTACTATACATACATATCTTTGCTTCTTTGACACATGTCCCAGTAATTGTTTCCTTAGATACGAACAAATCCATATTCGTAACATGCATACGTACCTTGTCACATGCAACATATATACACAGCATATGTAGGGCAGAAAGTATACAACATGGCGTGCATGCATGCGTGTAGCACGTTGTATGTTATACTGCATAAATGAAACAGCGGTAAGTGTCAATACGTTGGCTGTGCGTCAATGATACAGGTAGGAGTGTGCAGATGCCTTTTTTCTCGACTTGTGTGTGTGTTTGGAGGGGGGGGGAGCGTCATTGAATAGTGGAACATTGAGTCACGGTTTGGGAGGAAGAGGTGTAACGGTATTCTGCGAGGGGACTCAAGTGTTCAAAAAAAGTTCTGTTAGCATGTCTTGACTAACTATATACAAATAACATCCAGCCATATTTTTCACCAACTCTCTACCCTTGAAGATCTTGCTATTCACCTCAACACACTACGGAAGATAATCTTACCACACCCATTCTACCCGAATCCTTAACTACCATCCCTTCCTCTCCTCCCATTTTTCTCCGCAAAAAAATAAAATAAAAAAATACAACGATTGAAACTAAGTGTTACGTTTACATCACTTGTAGCACCATTTTACACCTGGCATGCATGTCCCCTCTCTTTTTACCCCCAAGCCCCCTGTCTCACACAAACAAGTCCACCATACAATGCAAGGTACGCGAAAACCAACACACCGAACAAGAGGAGAAAAAAAAAAGGAAAACAAGGCCAGCAAGCCCATGACTTTCTTTTCTCGCCATCACACGCACACTTTCAGCCTCATCATGTCATGTCATGCGTCCCATACGCATAACCCCACCACCACGCCACAATGCCCTATAACGTTGCCTAAACCGCCAAAAAAGTAAAAAATAAAAATAAAAATTGGAAAACAGGAACACGACAGCACATCGTCACTACGTGTCACACGCAAATTCACATTCATCGATGTCCAAAAAAAAATAAAAAATTCCCTGATTACAATTTCTATCTCCTGACCCTTACCCATGTCCTTCGTCCTTTCACTCTCAATTAACAACCACAACGTCTTCCCTCTAGCCAGCGCAAAAAAAAAGAAAGGTAATATATACGAATTAACCCATATATATTCTCGCACATGAGGAAAGAAGGGAAAAAAGGGATATGACAGCATCGAACCCCCCCTCACCCCGCTCCATTGCTCTTCCCCAAACAATGCAAACGCTCGCTATGGGAAAAGTTGTAGTAAGAAAAGGGGAGAGGGTGTCACAGAGCTTTCTCCTTGTATACACACATAAACACACAGACTAGACAAGATGAGGACAAATAGTAAAGTAAGTATGAGTATGTAGTAAGTACGGGAGCCCCAAACGGTTCCAATATAATAGAGAGAGAGGTATCAAAAAACACAGACACACGATAAGGTAAAAACAACGATGGGGGGTGCAAGAACCTAGCCGATGCTTTTTCTTCGTCGACAGTTACAAAATGAGTTTTTGATGGCCGAAGAGTAAGACACATCAAAGGGAAACGAACACAAGAGAACCACTACCAATGATTAAAGTTGCCAGAAAGAACGGGGAAGAGAGAGAGAGAGAGCGGTTTTCAACGAAGGCCAATGACGCTCTAAGATCACGTTAGCAAAGACAGCCAAAGAAGTTCGGAATCAAGGTAAACATACCATTTCCAGCGTCCAAACCCGCCTTATCCACACTTTGAGCTTGCCCTCGACGCCTCTAACATTCTCGAGCTCCACTCCCTCCCACCAGCAGCGACGAGCCGGTTTCCTCCAGAAGAGAAGCAGCTTCTGCGCCATTCCGACAGCGTTGCTGTTAGCAAGATCGTTGCCTTTGATGTCGGTCCTCAAGCGTGCAAGAGCGATACTGCAGATGACAGCCTTGTTGGGTTCGCCGGCACGGTGGCCCCATCGATCATCGTGGTTGAAGCCGCTATGTTTTATTAGCAGGTGAATTTAGATAAACATAACAGCGCGCTTACCCTGCAGTCAACATCTCAATCAGGTGCTGCTCGGTCGTGCCTGGTTCCTCGCTCTTCCTGAGTCCGGAGAAGATGCCATCTTGCCGTAACAAAGCTTCACCAGCAGCGCGCTTGACCTCAATCATCTCCGGCTGGGTGATGTCTCGGTGTGGTGGGATAGCATAAAAGTCAAGGTCTTCGCGGAGGACAATGATACCGGCGCGGTCCTGAAGCATGTCTCTTGCAGAGCCGTGCATGGGCTCGATAGGCACGGCTTCGGCAGGGTGCTCTGGCGTGGTCGTCGGGGAAGGCGGTGCGGGGATGGTCTGAGCTACATTGCGGAAGAACTCCAGCATGTACTGCAAAGAATTGGGATCATACTGTGAAGAATAGAGATTGTCAGATAAGTATAATGCGGGATTGGAAAGATGGTCTAGGATCCTGGCTATTGTGGCCGGTGAAGCTGGGGGAGAGGGAGGGGACGAAGAAGAAGAAACAGGTGTACCAACGTCGACTGGGTATACGTCTCCTTCATGATAGGAGTTCATGTGGCCATCAGGAAGCAGGCCATTGGGAAAGAGCGAGAGGAGAACAAACTCGGGAAGGGTTAGAAGCTCGTCGCGCGATAGAGTGAATCGCGTGCCCCTATGTACTCGGTCAGTTCATGGTAAATTCATGTGGTGAGGCAAGCGCGCACCTCAACTCCAACGTAATGTTCTCATCAGATCCACCGAGCGTGTTGATGGGTGGGCCGGCGCTTGTTTGCGAGACCTGAGTAATGATACTCGCGGGACCTCCTGCAGATGCCATGACGTAGGTAAACGACTCAAGCGGGCTGAATCCTTCACTGTAAGGTGGTGGTGGTTCTCCGTCGTCAATGTCCTTGCTGCTGGAGCCGTCCTTGGTGTCGTTTGGAAGCGCAGCTTTGGTAGCAGCTACAGCGGCAGCCGAAGATGACGACTGGGTAAAGGGCGGCGCAGAGGTGAATGCAGGCGGCGAGTCGTCCTCTGGGGATTCTTGGGACTTGTTGCGTTCCTCGGCGTCCTCAGACGGGAAGTAGAGAGAGGAGAAGGGAGGGGGATATGGTGATTCGCCGGCTGTGGGTGATTCTGAGGCGCTCTCTGCGGGAGCAGCAGTGACTAGATACGGCGAGGCAGAAGGAGAGCGATTGCTGCAAGTCGGAGACAAATGAGTGACTACGGACAAGCCGTCTGGGTCGGGAGCCTGCGTGCGAGACAAGGTGCCGGTAGCTGTGAGAGTATTGGACGGCACAGGTGATGAAGTTGCGAAGGGGCAAGCGCGCTAATAGGCGCTGTCAATTAAACGTGAGCGCACGGAGGAGCGACTACGGGACAGCAGCGCACATGGATCTACAGGCGATGGGCAGGCGGGGGGGGGGGCAGCGAAAGGGTGAAGGAGGCGAGAGTGGACTTGCTCGGTCGTGCTGGTGGCAGAGGTGGAGCGGGTGATGGACAGCCGTCGATGTTGGACGCGGAGCCCTGGGTAGTGAGTTCAGGTGTGCCCCGTTTGGGCTTAGCACGGCCCACCAGCCTTACTCCAACCAGAGACCAGAAGCCTGTCCGTACGCCATCACAACACCAACAAGCGCGTCGTCACATGTTTGTCCAGGCCGCAGAGCCGCCTGTCTATGTATAGTATATACTCTTCACAAAGGCTGCAGTCGAAACCAGGATTGCGTGTCGTTGTATCCGTCTGCCATATTGCACATCTCAGCTACTGTACTTACATGCAGTCTAATGCTTGGCCACGACACCCGCCTCATTTGCCTGTGCAGTGATACGTCGCTTGTAGTCCTTCACTGTGCCGTCAAAGTGCTCAATCGTTCCATTGTCGCACACCCACAAACTTGTGCATACATTCTGTAGCATCGTCACGTCATGACTGACCATGAGCACACCGCCCTGGAAGTTATTCAATGCGTCTGACAGCGCGTCCATGGCTTCAATGTCCAAGTGATTCGACGGCTCGTCCAGCACCAGGATGTGTGGGTTCTGGAGGGCCAGACATGCAAACGCGACACGCGACTTTTGTCCTCCAGATAGCAGTGCCATCTTCTGCAGACCCGTCATGCCCGTAATGCCAAAAGCGCCAAGATGACGCCGGTACTCTTCATCTGCCTTTCCGTGGTACTTCTTGGACATGAATCCCACGGCGCTATCATTCAGGTCTAATGCGTCGACGTGATGCTGTGCGAAGAAACCCACGCGTAGTCGCGGGTTCTGTGAGATGATGCCCGTGGTTGGTTGTAGTGCGCCAATCAGCAGCTTCAGTGCAGTCGTCTTGCCCGCACCATTGGGCCCGACTATACCGATACGCGAGTCAAGCTGCACGTCAAGATCTACGTTCTTCAACAGAATCTTGTCTGGCGTGTATCCAAATGTCACGCCGCTCATCTGGATGATCGGAGGCGACAGCTTCTCCACCTCGGGGAATTTGAAATGGACAGAGTACTCGGCCTCGGGGGCCGTCAGGACAGGCATCCTCTCCAACTTCTTAATCCTCGACTGAGCCTCCGAAGACTTGGCCGCGTTGTAACGGAACTTGTCAATGAAAGCCTGCAAATGCGCCCGTTCGGCCATCTGCTTCTCATACTCTCGCGCCGCCGTCTTGCGCCGTTCTTCTTTGGTCGCATAGAAGGAATCAAAGTTGCCACCCTTGTAGTAGTCAAGACGCTCAGAGTGCTGGTGGATAATGTCCGTGGCGACTTCGTTTAGGAATGCTCGGTCGTGAGATACGACGAGGACAGTGCTTGGGTAGCTCTGCAGATAGTTTGCCAAGAAAGTGATGGAGGGAACATCCAACATGTTGGACGGTTCGTCGAGAAGAAGCAAGTCAGGTTCGCAGAAGAGGGCACGCGCCAATGCCAATCGCATTCGCCATCCTCCGGAAAACGTCCTTGTGGCAAACTGCTGGCGCTCTTGTGAGAAACCAAGACCAGCAAGAATACTGGCAGCTCTGGATTCAGCCTTATCGGACTCCATCTCTGCAAGCTTAGAGTGAATGTCACTTAGGGTAGTGTCAAGACCCTCGCGCTGTTGGTCTAGTCTTGCAGCATCAGCTGAAGTATCTGCCATGGTGGCCCGCTCAGCTTCAATGTCGGCAAGCTCCTTGGAGATTTTCTATGTAAAGTTAGTTTGCTTTCTCTGTAACCTTGGGCCTAGTAACATACATCTTGTTCTTTGAGGAGATGCTTCCGCCACACGTCGGCATCCAATACAGCTTGCAGTGCCGGTGTGTCATCGCCAGTGATCTAAATAAAAGCTCAGTCAGCCCATCCAAAAGTAGTAGTGGCATGCTCATTCTAACCTCTTGTTCTACGTGGAGAATCGAAATATGCGTTGGAATGGCCACCTCTCGACGAGCAAGTGCCCTCAGCAATGTCGATTTGCCAATGCCGTTCTGACCAACAAGACCATATCTTCGGCCGTACGCAAGCGTTAGAGAACTGTCAGTCAGGATACGCAGGCCAGGCATGGAAAGGTCAAAGCTATCAATCTTGATGTCTTTGCTCTTATTGGCGGAATCGCCCAGTTGCAGCGGGTTGACGGCCATGTAGAACTCCTCGTAGCTCTGCGTCTCATTGGGCTCGTGGAGAAGCTTCGAGGCCTCGTATTCGACATTCTTGAACTCCTTACGGTCCTGCTTGGCACGCAGTTTGCGTTCGGCTTTCTCAAGCTTCTTACGGTCGACCCTAGACTCGACTTTGCGGGTGTTGGCAGACTCGAGATCTACAGCACCGCCTGCTAGACCCATGGTAGACGACATGTTCCTCGAGGACCCCACGTGAATAGCCTGATCGAGCTTCTTGGCAGAAGGCGCCATCTGGCGACGCTCCCCGTCGGCGCCATTGGCTGAACTCAAACGGGCAATGAACTTGTCGACAAGATTCTGGATGGCTGCCTGGTTCTCGGTCGAGACGTCCCCGGACGCGGATAAGAGCAGTGCGCTCACAGTGGCCGCGGCTTCATCCAGCGGTGAAGGGGCGTTAGGGTCCGAATCGGACGTGAACTGGTTGGCAGCATGCGTCAGGTAGCCCGCCGAGTACTCGGACAGGACCGGATCGATGTTGGGGATCTGTGTTCTGATTTCCGACTCCATTGTTGCAGGATTGAATGGGAGATGGTGGATGGGGCGCTGTCCCACCTTGTCAATGTCGCTGGCAGTCGATGGGGGGGATGGTGGCGTTTGTGGCGAGAGGGGCACACACAGGAACACACACCTTTGGTACCGATTACTCGAACTGCAAGATGGCCGGCGTAATAGCGGGGCGGTGGGCGTTCTGTGCTTATTGCGGTGCTACGGCACGTTGTCCAAAGCAAAGAACATTTTGACGTCGGCAGCCGAATGTGGACTCGCAGACTGTGTACGGCTGGGCTGGCAGCCAATCAGCCACGACATGATACCAAAGGCTGTTTCTTGCATACGCGGATGCGGAGTCGCAAGAGGCAGATCTGCACCACGTCTCTGCAGACGCTTCAAGCAGCGATGCGCTCCCAGGATTCTTCCGGACACTTGCGCATTTCTGATGTGTTTGCAACGAGAAAGACGCACGTCACACTCACCTTGGCCAGTATCGTACAACACACAACTCGCATCGAGCTGCTCCATTCCAGCTATAATACAGCCAGCCACACCAACCAAACGGACATTTCCCAGTGTCGACAACAGCCATTGTCCCAAGAACGAGGGGCACAGCGTTCCCAGAGCGTCCCTCCAACAAGCGTCCGATCTCTACTACGCCATGTTCCAACCATGGCTGCCAGGTGTTTAGCAGATCAGGGTCAGTCGACATGCCGCCTTGGCCACGGCACGCACTTAAGACGTGGACGAGTGATTGGACTTGAAGACGAGTGTACAGAAACCGCGGAGGCAGAGATGCTTGCCCGATATGGACAGCACCTTGGGACAACATGTGGTGGCGGCCTCGACGTCCCGCCTTCACCAAACTCGCAACCCATGTTCCTGCCCTCGTCGGTCGACTTCTCCACTCTGGGGCTGACGTGCTCTGTGTTTCGGGTATCATCAAGGATAATCGAGAATGATGCGAGCAGCCTGCGCAGAAGCGCAATTGGTGCGTCAATTGATAGGCGGCTGTCTGCAATTCTCTCCGCCTGCCATGCCATGCTGTCAACCCCAGACTGACGCATCCGCGTCCTTGTCGGCGTGCGTCGGGGCTGGCATGGACGAGGGGCTTGGTGCCGCTCCGCGTTATCAAAAAGTGGCCTGGTAGAGATGGAGGCAGATGCAGAGGCTTCCGTGGCTGCGTGGACTAGTGCTAGGCCCTATCGTCTCGCTACCATGGCCAGCTAGAGCATCGCAATCGTAGTACACAAGCCGGTTATAAGAGTTGGGGAGGCCGCGATCAGCAAACAGCTCCACTAGGCCGGCAGGGGTCTCTCCAGGCCGTTCAGCGGGCGGCTACCAATCAGCGGCGGTGGTGACGGGCGTCTGGGATACTCGCTGGTACACTATATTTGGGAAGCTGGATGCGGCGAGGGGTACCTTGAGCCTAGCTGCTCATGTCCCTGATTGCTACTGCATGCTACGCTGCGCTAGGGCTCGTTTACCGCCTCTGCGTGCAACGTGGTGGTACTGGGCACCACGGCCGCCTCCTCATGACTCCATGGCAATCTACCCCCCGTCCGCCCAAGAGCACGCTCACAGCACGGCAGCACGGCAGCACGGCGGCTCTGGGGCTCTGGGGCGGCCGTCGCACGTAGCCATCGATGCTCGCTGGGCCAGGCTTGGAGCTATGACGGTGCAGAGTGAGGCATGGGGTCTGTGTGGCCTCCGTGCTATGTTTCGACATGCCGCTATCAGCCCTCGTCGGCGGCTTCTCGCTAATCCCAATGGAAACTGGGTAGCCCTGTACGTAGATCCTAGCACCAGAAGCAACAAGCACTGGATTTCTTCAGTCTTTCGTCCGCTCCTCGTCGAGCTCCACCTCTCTGCTCCAGCCCACCGTGGTGCTTGTGCCGTCCTTCCTTTGCCTCTTCGCGCCGTAGTGGCTCCCTCCCCCAACCGTCTGCTTGCCGACCTCCGACTCGTACTCCTGGCTCGCGATCCGTGATCAACCAGGCACCTTGACATGCCATAATGCTCGACTTGTCGTCACAGGCGCCTCGACGAGTGAGCTTTCCCCGGCGGCCTGGTTCTCTGCGAGAATGAAAACGGTTCCATCGGTAAATACCACCCTGCCTGCACCCATATGTCCCATGGTCGCTGTATAGAAGACGCTACACGCTGCTGCATGGCACTTGTTTTGTTTTGATATATCACCACTCCTCTGCTGTCGCGGCTCGGGACCGCGCAGCTGCACTCTCCTCGTCCCCGCCCTGTTTTGCTGCAATTTGTACTGGCCACTATGACTGATGCGTTCGTGTGATACAGCTCTGTGCCACTGCCACTGTCGTTGGTGCATCCGCCGTTGGTCTCTCGTTTGGACGGGAGACGCCGAGCGACTCCTCCTCATCCACCCACCCCAACACCAACACCAAAGAGGCCGCGCCAACACGCCCTTTGCCCACCAATTCTATGCCTGCTGCCATGCCCACCACTGCGTCGTCTTTTGGTGGCCCTGTGCCTGTCGCGCCTTCTTCACATGTACCACTTGCGACTCGACCCAGCCAAAATGCGCTCCCTCAGCGACGGATGGTAAGGAGGATGACGAGCGACGACGTGCCCACCCTGCCATTGTCCGGTGGTATAAGCAACTATGCGCCTAGCGACCTATCTATTTCCGAGGCCGACACCTCACGATACCCCCCAACGCGACGGGGCTCTTGGCTTAAGCGCCTCTCTTCTATTTCCATTTCCTCGAGCAGAACCCCCAGCCCAGCGCCTCTCTCGTCCGCAGTCTCGTGTCCCCATGGCGCAATGGCCTTTCCCCACGACGGCTCAGCAGCCTCTATTTTCGGCCGGCGCTCGACCTCACCATCGTTGCGAAACAGGTTGGTCAAGCGCTCATCATCAATACGCAGATCCGACCAACTACCGGCCCAAGGTACTGCCACTCTACGACCTTCATTTCGCCGCCCGGCCACAAGTCACCAGCGCACCGCAGCGCTGTTTGCCAACCACAGTCACAACAACAACGAAGCGCAACTGCATAGTAATCCAGCCGAAGACTTGGCGACTAATAGGGAGTTCCTGCATTCGTCGGATATGGACTGCCAGTTTGAGTATGCGCAGTATTTCACCGCAAAGGTGACCAAAGAGCGGACAGTGTCCAAAAAGAGAGGGTCGACGTCGTTAAGAGGCAGTTACAAGAGGGTTGTTCCAGACGAAAAGCACTTGCCTACACTCGTGCTTGCGAGGTCGGTGGCAGCAGCCACGCCCGAACTCGACGATTCCACCAGCGACGAGGGCGACAGCGTCTTCTCCGTGAGTCGGCCAGGGACGCCGTTTAGCATAGCCGCGTTTGCTACCAAAGAAAGCACGCATACCGGCAGCCGACCGTCGATAGACGACCCCGACGATGCATTGCGAACCAAGCGCTCCTCTTTCACTGACTTTCTTTCCTTCTCCAAGAAGCAGCTGGCCGCAGCCGGAGCGTCAGGCACTACGATCCTGCGCCGGGCGAGCCAACGGGTCAACTCGGCACCTCTTGTCCCCACCATGCACACCCGACCCCATAGCACATCGTATGGAGAGTCGCACCGCCATGTCGTTGAACCGGCATTGGCTGCTGCTAGGCGCGCCATTGCGACGTCTGCCGGAACCACCGAGGCGGGATCAGCGGGCAGCGGGCTCGAGGGCGGCGCATCATCAACGCCCTTGCCCACACTCGCGGCTCGTCGTGCCAGTGCTGGCATGGTTCCTGTCCTGGGCTTGGCGTCAATGCCTCAGCAGCTCGAGGGTCCCTCAGCCGCACTGGGCGCCAATCAGGCGCCACCATCCCCTACTCTAGCGCAATCGGGCGTTCGGGTCTCGCGTCACTCCATGGCCCCCTCAGAACAAGCCTCGACATTGGTCGGCTCGTCTGATAATGAACTTCGCGCTTTGGGGTTTGGCGACGACGACAACACTGACGTCCAGAGCGAGACGTGTTTCGATTCGCTGCGCACTGGCGCAACCAGAAGTACATCGGGCGGCGCCCGGGGCCCTCGTATAGAGACGATTTTCGACGAGTCACCCCCCTCCAAGGTCAAGGTCACTGCCCTGCGCGATCTGCTCCCACCAGGTACTCTTGGAGATCTCGCCGTTGCTAGTGTCGCCGGCCACCAGAGTATCGCTGAGGAAGAAGAAAACATCACAACACCGGTGCGCATGCGCCACGAGTGCCCTCTGCACGATTCGCCCAGCTGCGCTCGGACACGAAGCGCTCCGCTCTTCCCCAACACTGTCTCGGCATCTCCCCCGAGTATGCCCAAGCCGCTTTCGCTTGGGACCTTGGAGTGGGATTCAAGACCGGGGAACGACGACGACGACAGCAGTAGGTGGTCACTAGAAGAGACAGATGCTGAAGACCCGTGGGTTGATGCTCCCATAGTCAATTGCCGACCGACAGCAACACTATCGCCGTTCCCCCAGAGCGCGCGTCGTGTTGCATCGGGCCCAACATCCAAGCCTACTACGCCTCATCACCTCACCACAGAGTTTGGTGACAGAGACACCCGCAGCAGCATCTTCGACTGGTCTGAGCAACAACTCGCAGACAAGAACTCGGGCAGCTGCACGCCGCCACGACCTCGGACAGTGCACGGCAAGAAAGATGCTGACCGCAGAGGCAGCCGTTCTGTTGGCCGCCGGGTACCCAGCGGGTTACACGCCCGCAGCCAGAGTGTGCCCGTGGTTCCCGATTTGACTGGCAAGCGTAACACCGTCGTGACAAACAAGTTTGGCACCTGGGGCGTTGGCAGCAAAGGTGTCACCGAAGACTGGAACGACGACTTTGACTTTACTGAGCTCAACGGCGATCCTATTGAAGAAGGTGATGCTTCCCCTCGGGTAGACAGTGGCACGTCAATGGTGGTACCAAAGAGCATACAAGAGCAACAGAACAACGTCCTGGCCAACATTGGTCTGCTTCGTGAGTGGGGCCTACTAATCGAAGAACTCAAAGAGCACCGCACACGCGCTCAAGCTCTTGGTATAGTGGACGGTCCGCATGCTGGTACGTGGGAGGAGGTGGACGCCATGATAGACCTTGCCGATCAGGAGGCTGGCCACCAGGATGTCGCTCCCGCCTCACCACCTTCAACACCTGGCTTCGATGACGATAGTTTTGAGGAGCCGCCCGCGAGCCCTAGCCTTGGTAGAGGAAGGGGGCAATCAGAAAACCCAGATCAGGATATCATGAAGAGTCGGATACCATCACCGCGCTCCCGCAAGTCTATTCTTCCACCAAACGACGACATTTTTGCCCCGCAACCGTCCTCAAAACTAGCCCAATCTACATCTGACCCCGACCATGAAATTCACGAGGCCAAGCCGACTACCACGCGACCCCGTAAAGACTCGGAAGCCAAAGCGCGCTCCGTGATTGAGGCGCTCCAAAAGAGGAGGAGCGTATACGAACCAATATTGGATACACCGCCTACGCCTTCTTCGAAGAAGGTTCCGTTTGATACTGCGACTCTACGACGAATTGTGCCATATGTCAGTTCACTGACGCACAAAGTAAAAGACACGATTAGGGATGCGGAAGGCTTGTATTCAAGCCCGCTCGCTAGCCCGATGCAAGAGCAGCCACAACGCGACGACATTTTCCAACCAGACGCGGATCTGATGGCTCAGATGAAACTCATGACGGTCATGTGAGCTCATGAATATTACCCTGTTATGGAGCTGGATCCATTTGGTGCTGGCCACACCTCTCAGGGCAAAAAAAAGTTTTAACGAAGGAACAAAAGTTTCCTCTGGACTATTTCCATTTGGATGAGAGCGTTCGAGCGATGATGGAGCCGCACTGGCTTCATCAACATTTCCCTATACTAATTTCGATACGGTCGACTATCAAGTACAGACCCAGGACTGGACTTTGAAGCGACACGGTACTTGCAATGTTACCTTGCATAATTGCAGCATATCCCCGGCCAGGATGCAGGTGGAGCAAGACGAGGCATTTGTTATCAAGAGCAACCACAGAGTATGCTCAGTTTTTTGTTTAATAGAGAACCAAGGCGCACCAAGAACCAAGGCGTCCTTTTGGGATCATGGCGCACATCATAGTCTCTGGGTGTGGAAAAGGTCTGCCGTGCAGTCCACGGCCCGTTTTCTCACCTGTCTGCATCGTGTACAAAAGCGGGTTAGGGGATTTTTTTCCTTTGTTTCCTTTTTCTCATGTTCTTGATGCTCTTGTATCTTGAACCTCATTGGGCGTTTGTCAAAAAAATCATAGCATTGATACACGACGGCCTCGACCCAGTCTCTCGAGATGCGAATACATACACAGCATTGTAACGCTAGCTCATCAAACGGTACTCCTGTAATTATGATGTAATGTCTGCAATCAACCTGAGTCAGAGAAATGTCGCGGCCCGAGGCCATGAGTGTTGTCCCTAGCAACCGCGTAAAGGCCTAGATGCACAAATAGCCGTGGTGGACCCGGTACTTGTTTTCTGTTACAAGACGGGCTGTATCCGGGACGGCGACTAACCCGCATAGCTCGCACGATGTGAAAGTGCGCGATCCAAGTAACATTTCTAGACAATGTCAACCATAGTTGCCGAGCCGTTGTTGGGCCGGACTGATGCACATGCGACAACCGAGCCACGCGCTACTGCTCCGATTCTCACTTCACACATGCCAGATCGAGAGGCGAGGTACGCAGGTACCGTCTGCAATGCGGCGCGGTTACATACATACTTTGAGAGTAATCACTTCCACTGTGATCATCTTTGCATGCCGCTCGCTCTCGGACCCGCCCGAGCGGGAGAGAAGACCGTGAGGATGCGGAGGATGAAGCCGCCTTGCTGCACGCCCCGATGAGCATACAACCAAGCGAGACAGGCTCCCTCCGTGCACACGCCTTCATTGGCTTCGCGTGTTTCACTCATTCTCAATTCGACAATAATCCAAGTCGGGTTATAATGACGATTCAGTCAACGAGCCCCGACGCCGCATCTCGGTCCCATGGCCGGCGTTGGCGGCAAATCCGGCACTGCCATGCACTAATCTTCTGCAGTCGCTCTGGGCTGCATATTCCGGTTTTCCAACATGTAAGTAAGACGGTGTTGCTTGCAAGGAAATACTCCTCGGGACTATATCGCGCCATCATTAAGTCGTCCGTCCCATCCACAAGTGCAAATGCGCAATCCGTGTTCGCCCACAGTAGCTTTGCATAGAGTTGCGGAGCATCCTCGACGTTCTCCTTCGAAGTACTTGCCTGGTTCAGTCAATAATTACTCGTTATAATGGCAGGCTACCCGGCCGTTACGATACGCGATTCGCACCACAGAGTGGGGTAACATTGGGGCCAATGGCTCCCATATATTGCCGATTGCGCAAGTATGGTGTGGTTGTTTGAGGATGCGGCCGTAGCCTAGCATCGGATGGATGAAGGCGCGGCATCCTTTGATTTGGAAAAGTCAATGACGTGGATCGCGTCTTGGAAGCGGCTACTAGACCAAGAGGAGGACGGGAAATACGCGACACCTCAGGTATTATCGTGACACCAACTCACCAAAAAAGGAGCCATTGACTAAAACACGGCCACCGGTGAGCTGCTTCGAGTACTTAGTAACATACGCCAAAGATCCTTTATTCAGAAACCCAATCTCCATCTTGCATTTTTTGGCTTAGCCGCCGAATCCTTGCTGACGCCCAGGGCTCCTCTTGTTCGAGCCTATCGTTGAGCTTAATCCATCTACGAGCAATTCTCACGTCATCCGACTCGTCCCATAATGGCGCCGAAGCAATTGGTAACAGTCGGCCTGAGCGCATTCTCCATTCTAGGAGCGGTCCAAGCGCAAGGCACAGCTTGCGAAAAGCCAATTGCCCCACAGAACGCGGCTCCTTCGGTCGCCCCGGGATTTCGCGTCGAGGTTGTAGCAAATGGTCTGAGAGACCCTCGCAGTATTTTGTTTGATCGTCAAGGTGGACTGCTGGTGGTTGAGCAGGGCTATGGAGTTAGCAGACTATCCCTGGCGGGCGATGGAGCTTGTGTTCGTGTTGAGGGTCCAGTGCAAAACGTTATTGAAAATGACTCTGTAAGTTTGGCCGTCGTCCGTTGCCATGACCATCGGGGTTTGACTAACAACGTCAGTTGAATCATGGCATTACATTCTCCGAAGATGGCAATACTCTGTACGCGTCTTCCCATAGCAATGTCTTCGCTTGGGACTACGATGCTTCTCAAGGCAAGACCACGTCTGATTCAAGAGATGTTGTTCAAGGAATGGGAGACAAGGAGGGACATACTACGCGTACACTGCTCATGTCCCAGAAGGTCCCTGGTATGCTGCTCGTCTCTCGCGGTAGCGTGGGCAACATCGATCTTCAGACCTTGGACGTGACCACCGGAGTATCTACCATCAAAGCCTACAATGTGAATAACGTAACCTCTTCGGCCTATGACCACGCCTCAACCGGTAGGCTTCTCGGCTGGGGTCTTAGAAACTCAGTCGGTATAGCTGAGGATCCAATAACAGGCGGTATCTACTCTGTAGAGAACAGTGTTGACAACATCATGAGAAGTGGCCAGCTCATCAAGGAAAACAATCCCGGCGAGGAAATGAACTTCCACGGCTCTCTCAACGGAACAGCAAGCAACGTTGAAGATGTAAATTACGGATATCCTTCTTGCTTCACAGCCTGGAACACCTCTGAGATCCCCGATTTCAATGGTGAAGTCGGCCAACAATTCGCCATTGGAAACCAAAACGCAACTGTAAACGACACTTTTTGCCAAAACGACCGCATTGCTCCCCGTCTTGCTTTCCAAGCTCACATGGCCCCCCTTGATATCAAATTCAATCCCAACGGCACCGCAGCATGGGTAACTATGCACGGATCATGGTACGTAATCCCCTCTCTCTCCTCAACAAGCCCACTGCTACTACTAACATTCCTCCGTCAGGAACCGTGAAGACCCCGCTGGCTACAAACTCACGCTCATCTCCTTCAACGGTGCCGGCTCGCCCGTCGCCCCATCCAACAGCACCACCGCAGCCATCGACGTAGTATCTAACCCAGACCTATCTGCTTGTCCTCGCTCGTGCTTCCGTCCTGTGGGCCTTGCGTGGGATGCTAAGGGTAGGTTGTACATGAGTTCTGATTCTACGGGGGAAATTTTCGTTGTTACGAAGGAGGATGGGAGTGGGGTTGCAGATGTGAGTGATGCTGCAGGTGGTGCGAGTGCGACAGCATCAGTGAGCTCAGTACAGAGTCCTGTACCGAATGCTTCAGGTGACTTAGTGGATAAATGGAGTCTGGGGAGTGGCGTGTATTGGGTTGTTGTGGCCTTTGTCGTGAGTGTTTTGGTTTGAGAATGGTTGTAGCGGCTCTTTGTGAGCGCAGCAGTTCGGTGACATGATTATGAGGGACTTGATATATAACGTTTCTTCCTTAAGTATATATTCAATTTCATACGTTGATGCTTCGAAGTTTGTTTGTGCGATTCGAAACCGTGAGATTGCAATAGGGACCAATGCCATTACGATTTACCGAATCATGTACTGTGTGACATACCAAAAGCGGCAGTCGTATATGAGATGCATGATTGTGTAGCTTCTTCTTTTTTGATTTGACATGCTACTTAGCAAAATCGGGAGTCATCGATTGTGCCTTCCTGGAAAGCTATGTGCGATTGCGATCATTACCACACATAACATGCTCTTCACATCTTACTCGACACACGAATATCACCTATGGCTTCGAATACTACGTTTGCGTCTTGCTTGTCCGGGTCTGGTACGGGACTGTCTTTTGTTTCACACTTCTGTCGCTAACAAACGCGTTCGTTCAGTAGTGCGTTCGTTTGCGACTCTTGCTCACCGCTGCTCGACGCAACTTCACTGAAGACGAACGATGCATACCTATATCGACCGTGGTTACCGATCTCTCTCTCTTGATTCATACATAATTCTGATAAATCAAGTAGACTTGGAAATTCATTAAATGTGTTGAACTACACAGTGAGTTTGACATATCAGTAGTATTCGGCTTGGACATCCCATTTGCACTATCACCTGCTGTCAGTGAGGCTCTACCGCCTTCACCTCTGTCATGAAGTGAGAACCCACTCTCGGTAACAGCTGGCTCGAGCGCTCTCTGTCTTTCACATCGAATCTACACAATAAGAGGCTTTCTTCTTCGCCAGTCTTGGGAACTTGCTCAATCTTCAGGACATTTGAACTGATCAACACCTAACCTTTCTGCTGCCTTTGGCACCCATCTCCGAAGCCGACATGTCGCGATCTCAGAGCCCGTTTAGTAACACTGCATTCAATTCTCTGCCCATCGAAGTATGTGATTTAATTACCGACTCGTTAACTGTACGTATGCTGACTATTCCACTAGCTCAACAAAGCCATCGTCCACTACCTTTACGACGACAAGGATATCGCGACATACCGGTTGATATGCCATGCTACAAATGATGCCGTCGACGCCGACCGTCAGTCATTCTGGCGTGCGAAGTTCCGTGAAAAGTATGATTTCTTGGAGGGCACACCTAACAACCAGCTGCGGCGCATGTATCAGCGCCGGTCCAAGCTGCTGCGATGCGGCAACAAGTACGGCTTCTTTCGTGGCCATGGTAAAACTGAAGCCCGGGTTGTGAGGGTGTTGAAAGATTTGATCGTTGGTACGTATATCCTGGCATAAGTCAGCGTATCTAACGAAAAATGCAGAAGCCTTCCACGGTGCCACCGAATTTGATGAGCATGGGCGCCTCCGTTGCAAGAACCATGCTCAACTCATACAATTCATTTTCGAGTCCCGTCTGCTAAATAATGACCGGCGACCCCCCACAGTCCGCCGTGGCGAGCCTGCCCATGTTGATGAGACACTGGCAGCTGTCAAGCTGATATGCTCTCAATTCATCTTCGATCTTCCAGGCCTAGAACACAACATATTCGCACTTGATGAATCACAATTTGCCGTTTATCAATCTGCTACTGACGCTCCCATATTCCTGGACAACTACAAAAGATTGAATTTGGAATGGGTTCTCCATAGCATGAATTTCTTCCGCCACCACATGATGAACGAAGAAGCCCAAACCCTCTTCGACAAAATCGACGAGTTAGATGCAACGCAAAAACCCTCACCCTGGCGAGAACTTCTCCACCAGGGTGCTCAGCCACTAAGCAGGTACTGGAAAGGCACATACGCCTTCCTCGACCACTCCGAAGTCCAACGCCTCCGCAAGCAAGGCCCAGGCCACGAAATCTACATTGACAAAAACGTCGACGAAGGCAAGATTCAAGTAAGCCGCAACATCCTAGTACAAATTTGAAATCCACACTAACAACATCGCCCAACTCAACAGTCCCTCGAACTCACCTTCGCACAAACCACCCATCTCCCCAACGGCCGCCCCCTTCCCTGGCCCCCTCTCTTCGAATCCTGCCTGCACTCCGTCCTCCCCTTCACCAGCGCCCAACCCCTCCAAACACAAGCCCGTCACTCCTCCAAACAGCCCCAAAACATCCAATTCGAAGGCCAAGGCCAAGACCTTGACGACGAATACCGCGCTCTCGGTTGGCTTAACGCTCTTCCCCCTCAAGGCGGCATCCCAGGCTGGCAGCGTATAACATTTATGAAGCATTTCAGTGATGATTACGAGGATCCTGATCAGGATAATCTCTGGGCGTATGAGGGGGTTGTAGTGCCCGGTGGGAGGATGATTTTGGGGAGGTGGTGGTTTGCGTCTGAGTCGGCGGTTACTCAGGTAAGTTTCCTTCCTCCTCCTCCTCCTCCTCCTCCTCCTCCTCCTCCTCCTCCTCTTCTTCTTCTTCTTCTTCTTCTTCTTCTTCTCCACTTTCTTTTTTTTGGGGGGGGGGAAGGATAAGGGCCAAATGTATGTAAACTGACGTGTGTTGTGCAGTTGGATTATAATGGGCCGTTTATTCTATGGGCGGTGGATGAACAGGAGATGGATGGGGAGGAGGAGTAGAAGTGTGGAGTTAGTGGCTGGTACCTGAATGTATGGGGGCGTTTTGTCGGGTGGGAATGCCATCGCTCGTAGAAGGTCCAAGGTGCAGTGGCATTGCCGATATCTTCCTCTTCAGTCTGTGTATAGGTGGCATGGTTGTTCCGTGATTCATTTCAGGCTTTTTAGCTGTAAGTGATCTCGAGTGTCGGGCTGTAATTACCAGAACACATGTCGACTTTCTCGGACATTCACATGATTCTCTATTTTTCACCATCATGAGAATAAGGTATTATGCATTAAACAAGACCTTCATCGATTTTCTTTCGAGCAGAGAAAATACATTTGGAGTGAATGAATTTTTTTTAAAAAAAAACAGGTCTCATGATTTGATATCTACATATATAATCGTCATAGAGTCGTTATTCATAATCGTGCCCGCATCCCTGCAATTCCCAATCCAACCAATGCCTCCTCATTAATCATACCGAAAGAAAAGACTTCATCATTTCCGCATGCCTGTATATATGTGTTCAAGGACAGTGTGTGAAAAAGGAGAAAAGTGAGCCGGCAACAAAATACAAGGAGAAAAGGTCATTCATAACATTCCCATTTCTTTTGCATCTTGCTCCAGAAAAAATAAGAGAAAAAAAAGGATATCGAACAATTGTCTCTAACCCCTGACTTCAAATGCGATGAACAAACAACAGCAAAAAGAGTTGAAAGGCCGGGAATGGAACAAGAAGGGAGAAGGTCTAGTACCTCGAACCCATGGGTGGCGGCGGCACCGCGGCACCGTATGGATTGGAATCGGCATAGGATGTAGCAGGGTAGGGCTGGTTGGCAGCTACAGGATATGCGTACGGATTAGCGCCTGGACCATTCATATTGCCAAGGGCATTGAGGCGGGCCTCCTTCTCTCGTCGTTCCCGAAGCTTTCTCCTCTTGCGACGACGAGCTTCGAGCTCCTTGACGCTGTGTCGCTGCTCATTCATTTCTTTCCATTCAGAGTATGCTGACTTGATACCAAGTGCAGCAATACCCACAGCAGCGGCGTCTTGGAGCATATTTTTGGATTTTCGTTTGCGTGCTTCTTCTGGTGACATTTCTCCTTCGCTGACGAGCTTGCGACGGTTTTCCGAGGCGACCATTGACGAGTATACTCCGTGGGCGGCGTGGATCGTGGCTACCGTAGCCAAACCCGCAGTGAGAAGCTCCTTACCTCGAAGTTTCTTGCGCTTTTCCTCCATATCGGTTGACGACTCGGAATCGCTACTAGGATTCCATCGACCTCGTTCTCCTCCTCCGCTTTGTGCTGCTAGAGCACCTGCGCCAGCCCCAGCGGGAGCGGCTAGTCTACGATCTGAATTAGTCCTGGAAGGGGCTTCGGAATACTGGTCGTCCATACCGCGGCCTCGGCTGTACGAGCGGCGGTTGCCCCTACGTGATGGTACGTAACTGTCGGAGCTGGAAGAGCGAGAGCGAGATCGCTCGCGTCGAGAACGAGACTTGGAGCGCACACGGTCGTAGAGAGCCTTTCCTGCAGCGAGTACAGCACCAGTGCCAGCAACCTTGGCGAGACCATTACGATTGCCGTCATCGCTTGAGTGAGAGCGGGAACGCCCACGGGAACGAGAGCGTCCAAAGATGGACCTAGACCTAGATTTGGACCTAGCACGAGAGCGGGATCGAGAAGGAGACCTGGAGCCATCGCGGCCACGAGCACGAGAGCGCGAGCGAGAGCCGTTGGCTAGGCGTGAAGCAACAAGACCGCCCAAGGCGGATTCAGCAACGTGCCTCTTCTCGTGCTTTCCGTCTCTGTCGATGAGACCGTCGATACCAGCTGCACCAATAGCGGCAGTGGCAATACGTTGGCCTTTGGCACCGGTCCAGGGGCCTGGTTCTTTGCGGCTACGGAAGGCTTCGACGGCACCAGCGACGAGAGCCGCTTTAGCAGCCTGCTCCCATTTCTCTTTGGCGCCTCCTCGGCTACGGCTACGTGAACGGGAGCCATAGCGGCTTCGGCGGTCATCGTGATATCCGTACCTGTCGCTGTCATACCCACGGTCGTCCCGACGATAGCGGGAACGGTCGCGGTCACGAGAACGAGAACGAGAACGAGAGCGTTCGCGGCCAGTGACGGCGCCGATGATTCCTCCTAGGCCTGCCGACTCGCCAAAGCTCTTTACTTGATCGACAATGGACTTGCGGCGCGAGGGCTTTGGGCGTTCAGAGTACTCGGAATAGTCATCGTAGTCGCGGTCACGGCCACCACGGTCACGGCGACGAGGGCGGTCATAGTAGTCGTCGTCGTAGCCACGATTCATGGAACGAGTGCGACGAGGTGGTGCATACTCTTCGCGGTACTTGGTCTGTCTGAACTCGGTGCCAGGGGGGAAGTCGCGGGGGATTTCCTCGATGCTGTCCTCTCGGGCTGCAGGGCGGTAGGCGAGATCACGCACTGCGCCTCCACGGCCGCCGCGCTCAATGTATGTCGTCTCAGTCACGTACTCGGGCTCCCGGTTTCGGTGCCGAGGTGGTGCATAGCTGTACTCGGACATGGTGCTGCTCTGTACCCGCGATGGGTGGATGCTCTTTGCGTGTGCGTCTGTTGTTCTCTCTCTCAAAGGTCCAAAGTGTGGTATGGGTGGGGTCGGCTGCGCATGGCTTGTTAGTTGGGGGCACAAGTGGGAGCAAGAAGGTCGGCGCAGGCAGCGTACCAAGGAGCGTGGTGCTCAGAGCTTTCTCAGTTTGCCTTTAGGGCAAATCTTTGTTGGGCAGGCGGTCGCAACGAAGAATGAAGAGTGCCTGGAAAGTGACGTGACAAGGTGGGTGGGGTGGGGTAGGGGAAGGTGTTGAGGGTCGCAAGGCAGCGGCAGGCAGATGTATTTAACAGGCCGAGCAATGATGACAGTTGGAATGGCTTGGGGCCCAAGGATGTTAGTATCGAAGTCGGACCAGGCGGAGTGGCGTAGAGATTACCATCTGTCTGATGCTGGTGCGAAGGTGGGCAGTGTCTTTAGTGCCCAGAGCCTGCTTATGACGTAACAACAGGCTGCCTGTTGGGCTTGGGCTTGTGCTTGTGCTTGCAGCCACGCCCACGACCACGCCCACGCCCACCTGCTGACTGACCATTGACCGCATGCCTCTGCCTCCTTTTGCTCGCTGCGAATGCGAACATGCACATGGTGCCCGCCATAGCCCCCCTCGGGCTCTATCCGCTGCCTTGACCGGTGGTGCTTCTCACCACCCCTCCTTTCGCTCACCAGCGCCTTCACTCATTTCGCCCTACTGTGGTGTCGCGCGGCTGTGCTGTTCTCTTCTCTCAGGTCGCAAGGCTCCCTAGCCACAGTTCCAAGTTTTGGCGCTGCATGCACATGCCTCCGCCTCCTACTCACCCGGCCTGGCTTGATGACGAAGCCTGGAGCCATCAGGTGTAGGGGTGCAATGGACACAGCACCATGTGAGTCGCTTCCTATTGGCCCATGCCGATGGTAGCGTGTGAACCTCAGCGAACATGCGAGGATACACCTGTCAGCTCGTGGCCTGACATGTCGGCATGGCCCAGAACCCTACAATCCATGAACCATGCCCGCCAGACGCTGCCTGATGAAACAAAAAAACACTCAGTGATGCCCGAAGGCGGCCTCTTATTTCTTGTTTTGCGTGGCAACTCGTGGGGTCATCTCGTTGCTTCTTCGCCCAGGAACCAGTCGGTAGTCACGCCATCTTGGTTAGTGCCCACGCGTAGTAGCCGTTTAAGCCCTATCCACCACTCAGGAACAGACCCTTTGGGCTCCATGTAGCAAGAGCAGCCAGCCAGTCACCTTTGATCTGTCGGCCCAAGAGACAGCCTCACAATTGCAATCATTCTCTGTTCCGTTGCCGTGCACTCTATGACACCATAGCGCATAGACATTCCAGGTCTATTCCATGCTATCCGCTCGCTTCGCTAAACCGCACATCATTTCACCGTGATAGCTCCGTCTGCAACACACTCTTTACCTCTTACGCTTTCTGCTTCCATCATCTTTCCCGTCCTCGTCCTTGCCAGCACATAGTCTCTCATCCCCTAGACTAAGCATCGCCGTCATGTCTTCCATCTGCCACTCCAAGTCTTTTGAAAATTCTTGTAGTGCAGGAGTGATGCTAAAGTACAACTTGCTGCTCTCGGCCACCAACCTCCACTTCTCGTGTGTAGCTTCTGTGTAGACAATTGTTCGTGTCATAATGTACTCTTGCTGTGAGGAACGGTGACGCGGAGTTGACGCAACCACAGGGCCCTGGCTATCAGCTCTACGCCGACAAATGAGCAGCGCGAAGCCGTGATGGTCTGGATGTTTTGCATCGTACAAAATGCCAATGTATTCTATCTTTTGTCAGTTATTTTTGTTTGCAAGCTGAGATGGAGCTGAGCCCGGCTACTGAAGGCCATGTGCCGAGGATAATCTCCTTGAGTTCTCGCTGCACCTGCAACTCTTCCACTCGACTCATATATACTTCTTGTTGGTTCGCCATTAGTATGTCTTGTATGAGGTGGTGATGATGATGATGGCGGTGCAACAAATCCACAGCTTGGCAAGAGGTTTATGATGTGTGTGTGTGTGTGTGAGATCACTCAGTCACTTCTGAGGAAGGAGCAACTACGTTACCACCATGTCAACCGCTGCGCCCTGTGCTGAGGTACCATGTAGGTCTTTTCTCTTGGAAGACGTCCATCGCTGATTTGAGACTCATATAAGCCCAGTCAATCAGTGTGCTGTCGGATGCATGTCCTGGTCATTTGTCATTTGCGCAATACAGATTACGACACACAGCCCAGCAGTAATGGCCCGGTTTTGTATTCCAGCATTCATGATCCTCTGTTCCGGCCCGATGCATACAATACAATCATACATACATAGCGCTCAATCGACTTATGCCTTAATGGCGTAGTGCTTGCGGTTGTCGCTTTCCACCGCCTTGCCCGTCCTCTCCTTCTCCCACAGTTTTATTCTTGACATACGATTCAGCATCCTCTCTTCCCGCTCCCGCTCCACCTGAGCCTCTGAATCCTGTGCATCCACCTCCTCTGATAATTGTGATCTCTCCCCGTGACGACCCACATCCTTGTATAATAACTTCTTTGCCTGCTCCCGCAGTTTCCGGGCTGCTTCGCGCTTGTCATTGTTATCTATAGCCCCGTTTGTCCTTGATGCCTCTTCAACTTCATTCTGCTTCTCTCGTTGCCCCCATGGCTCCAGGTCGGGAATCTCGGGCCACACAAAAGGCTGCTCCATCTCCACAGTCATGTACTTTTGAGATTCTGGGCGGAACCAGTGCCGTGGCTGTTCGCGCGTGTCCCGTACGGGCATTTGCTTTACGTACGAGCGGATGTTGAAGCATCTGACGTTGTACGCATGGTAGAGGTAGTCGCGGAGATCGTATTTTGAAAAGTCGAGCGGGACAAGGAAGCGAGCGTGGTAGGGCGATAGCTTGGGTGTCCGTACAAGCGCAACTGTGAATTTGGGACTGAAGATCATTTAGTTCAATTGTCTCGTACGTATGCAATATTTGTGGCATACAGGTAGATCTTCTTGCTGCCAAAAGCTATCAGCTTCTTCGAGATGGGTACGGCGTCCATTGCGGCCGACTGCGACCAGACGTGTGGATTCTGGAGAGAATTTGCAAGATCTTAGATGTGAATATTGCGACTATTCAGCGGTGCATTGGCTTTGGCACAGTGCAATGCGCGTTGTGATGCCTCGCGTGGTTGCCCTACAGTGGGCTTTGCATGAGACTCAGAAATTGGATCGGAGGCTGACCACATACCTCCGCGTCCGTGCGCATGCACTCCGCCTCCAACCTCTACCGCTGTCACTCACCCACCCGTCTGTTGCATTGTGGCAAAGTCTTATTGACTTCATCCAGAATCATATGCATCCATAGATAGTCATGAGAAGCTGAACAAAGTCAGCACCTAGAATGAAATACGACGCTGCCTAGTGTTGCACAGGTCTTATATCTATGTACCGGTTGGATACGAGGCTTGGCAACATGCCAAGGTATTGGCAAAGGCAAAGAGCAATCAGACAGGCTGTTTCCTGAACATCATTGTAATAGAGGCTTACATATGGACATCATTGTAATAGAGGCTTATATATGGATATCATATTACTAATTCAAAAGCAAAAAACCTTGGTGCGAAAGAAAGGATTCAACTACAGGCCAACTCTACTAACACCTTTCCTAAGCGCAACGTCTATCAACGTCTCCTGCATTCCTCGGAGTAGGCTCTCAGCAATATCCTTATCCCAGTAACTTTGATTGTAGCATACACTGAGCACAAGTTGGCCTTGCCATATCCAGGTGTGCACCATCATTCGTAGGGTTAAAGTCTCGGCACCGAGCCAAAAGTCCTCTACCTGGACAAGGCCATCGCGAATGTTGTTAGATAGCTTGTCGTCAATGGATCCCAAGAAAGCAAACCTCGGCTGCAACTGCCCGTCCGTCTCTCCGTTGCTTCCGAGATTTGAATCGATCAACCTCTGCTCAAGAAGCTTGTGGAAGTAAGGGGATGAGCCCAAGTACGGTGCGTAGCCAGTGGCATAGACTGGTGCGAGTTGAGCGTAATACGAGTCGAAGTCGGTCCATGGTGATACAACCACCTCGGTTGTAAGCACGCTCGTATAGCTTGTTGGCGAGTTCTCTGGAGCCTCACCTTCGGGAATAAGGGCACGGAGATTGTAGTGAAATGAAGCCATGAAGCTCCGCGCTTCTTCAGCTGGTGCCAGTTTTACCACCGCGTTCACCAGAGCCGCATGCAGGGCTACATCCAAGGCGAGCGCTGCATTATCACAGCAATCCATGACAAGTTTTGTGTCGCTCTTGGAGAGCTTGATAAAGTGCCTTTGTGTGTATCCCGGCCTCTGAGCTTTGATCTTTGGCTTCAGCTCCAGGGCTGGCTTGTGTGGCTCAAGGGCAGCGAGCCGGCTCTCTGCCTGAGCTTCAATGGCGGGTGTTATCTCGTCATTGATGTGAAGAGCGTCCTCCATGCTGGGAGTCAAGTTCTTGGCACATCCGCCAAACACCAAGTCTGGATTCATGTTGGCGAGTGATTCAACAAGATGGTTGAGGCAGAAGATTGCTCCCCGGGCGTCGACACGGTAGTGTGGCGACCAGATCATGACTTCGGATGTATCGGGAAGGAAGTAGCACATCATCTGTTCGTTCCTTGGGATACGCCCCAACAGTTCATCCACTGTTTTACCCTCGGCAACGGAGAAAGTGGCCGACAACCACAAAGCGATGGACTCAGCGTCGCCGACACGGTAAACATAGTTGCCGTTGTATGGGAAAGCGGCAATCTCGGGATGGTTGTAGCGGACCTGTTTCCATGCGATTTGGAGATAGGCAGCGGGATCCTTGATATCGGGGTGGAATTTGAGTTTAGCAACAGCGTTTTTGGCCCAGTTATCGCGACCAATAGCATTAGGAACATTGCGGGTGAGTATGTTCATCTTCTCGAGGTAACTTTGGGGACGCTCCCAGCGCCCTGGGCGGGTCTCCTTCCATCCGCAGTCTGGCATGTTTACAGAGTAGTAGGGATGAGTAATGAATAATGAGAGAATGAATTTACAGGCGAAGGCTAACGGTCGAGGGAGGTAGAGGGTATGCGACCGAGTGTGGTTCAGTGCAGAGATATTGCCCAGACTAAATACTCTGGCCGTCAGTGAGCCTCGAGTTAGTGTGTCAAGGAGGCCGGGGAGAACGACCCCTAGCCTTTGAAAAAGGCATATTAAGCAATTGTTTGCTGCAGCCACCAATTACCCTCGCTCGAAACACAAACCGTTCGTGGAGGTGTCGCCCTAGGCCCCTGTTCCGCGGTGTGTACATGGACATGCGAGTTTGGCGTAACTTGAAAGGGTTCGGCGGTTCGGGCGGTGCGGCGCGTGCTGAGGTTAAGGGTCTACGCGGAAGTCGCCAGGGAACTAGAACCACCTGGACTGTGGCCCACCACCGTCATCGTCTCTCCCTCTTTCAGTCTTAGTGCCTAACGGGCGAGGTCGGGCAAAGTAACGCGCTGAGCACGACGCGCAATACGGTCCGTCTACAAAGAGAGGCTAATGCAAGCAGAAGTGAACATCGATCGGCGTTTGGAATGTATTCATACAAGCAAATCTTACATCTTATCCACAACCCGAGACTTTGAAACATTCACAACGTCTGGCTGACAGCTAGCGTCGTCAGCTTGTGTACTCGTACTCTCGTAAGCACAAATGAAGCATCATCAACCAATGCATTGCAAGTCAAGAAAAAGCATTTTGCAAAAGCACGTTGGGATTCTGCTGCACTGTGATAAGGGCTGGCCAGAACAGTCACCTTGCATGTGAAGCTGAGGACGACAACTACGCTAGATGAACATGCTTGTGTATATTACAGAGAACATGATTCATTAGCCTAGTCTTCATCCTTGCAGAATAAACCCCCGAGACCCCACCTTGACAGGACAAGAATGCAGAATTCCCTGAAAGCAATAACATTCAATATATAAAACGAATCGGGGGTTTTGTTCCAGGGTCTAACGGCGGAAGCGCTAACTCCCGCATCCGCCGATCGGGGCGATGGAGTATGCTCGAAGCCCATCACACAACGTGAATGGCCTGCAGTATGGCTATTCGAGAGTTTATTCTTTTTTGCGTTCCCTGAGTTGCTCTTGCGCAAGCCGCAGTTTGTCTAGACGCAGCCTTCGCGTGGGAGCGCCATAAAGGTCTCGTCTGTCGAGAATATTGCCTTTTCTCGGACATGAGCGACAACAGGGAATGCTTTTTTCCCCCAACGTCTTACATGATTTCCGTTTTGGGATGCCGGCGAATCAGCCCTCGTCCACCTCGCCTCGAGGGGCAAGCGTATAGTGGACGCGTGTAGGGATGCATGTTTGATCGTCTTGACACGACGCTGACTAATCGCACTAGTTCATTCAAGGTAAGTAATGTATGCATGCCATGGTTGATTTCTGGGAACCTCCACCGTCCTTCTTACATCTAAAACAAGCTACATCTTCTGACGGCAACAGCACCCGATGGACAGGCATGTCTAACGAGCTTCCAGCCTGTCAAAAATGCAAGCTGCGCAAGGTCAGGTGCGATCGACAAGCGCCAAAATGTACGAGTTGCACAAAGGGAAATGTGGCTTGCATCATCGTCGATCCGGCATCAGGTGAACAATACGCACGAGATTATATCAGACAACTGGAGGTTCAGGAGGCCGAGTTAAAGGCAAGATTAGACGAAAAAGCTGCTGGCAGGCCTGAAACGAGCCATAGCACTATTGAAGCACCTCAGGCGACGCCAGCCGGGCTTCCGACGGGAGGAAGCCATACGTCGCACGGCGGGTTTGTTGGCGATGGCAGCGGCCTCGGGTTCTTGCGTAGCATACTATCTGAAGCGAAATGGCAACGCCATCGAACGCACATACTCAACCAACTAGCCACACGTCCTGGGATCCAGCAACTGCATCTTTCGCCAAATCCACTACCGGCAGTGCAGGAAGCGGAGCAGCTTTTGGAAAACTACTTTACTCGCTTCCACATACACCACACATTCCTTTTGCGCCAAGAGGTTCTCAGCACTTTCAATCGCGTCTACAATGCATCAGCAACTTCTTTGGACCAAGACTACTTCAGATTGCTCATGGTGTTTGCTATCAGTGCCACTACACGGTATCGCGCAGGGATCACCAACGATCATCCGTATGGCTACTTTATGGCAGCCGAGGACTATCTCGGACGAATACCACTCATACGTGATATCGATGCAATTCAGAATCTTCTGCTGGTAGCTAGATTCGGGATGTATCACCACATCGGTGCTTCGCTGTGGGAGATATCCCAGTTGTGCATGAGGCAATGCATCGAGTGGAAGCTACATTTGAAGCCGGCACATCCCTTGGACCCTCTCGTGGAGCAGCATCGACGCCGCGTCTTTTGGGAGTGCTATGTGCTTGATAGATATAGCTCCGGAATCCTGGGACGACCATTTGCAATTGCAGAGTCGGATATCGAGGTAGAGCTTCCTTTCGATGCCGATGACGATTACCTGGTCAATTCAAGCATAACGAGCCTTGATCTGATGCCTAAGCGTGGTCCGGGGCCTTCCGAAGTATCCGTGTTCATCATTTGCATTCAGCTCAGGCGAATCAGCTCTCGGATACATTCGACATTCTACAGTAGTCGAAGCGCAGTGGCCTCAAGCGCTAACAGTTTTGGAAGATCAACTGAGTTCAAGTCCATCGGTCACGTCTACACAGCCTTTACACGGTTACGATCTGAACTGAACGAATGGCGGGCAACTGCACCAATCTTCCTCTACCCACGATCCCTGTATGAGCGACCTGAATGGCATGATTTTTTGCATGAGAAGGATATGCTGCTCCTGGCTCGGGGCGCGATGCACAATGTGCCGTCCAAGCCATATGCTGGTGCTGCTGTAAAGGAAATATTGACAGCTTGTTATGTTTCTGCTAGTAGAATTATTGAGTTGTATTCTACGTTGATGGAGAAACGCGCAATCACCTGGACACGCAGTTATTTCCAGGTGATCTTCACGGCTGGACTGACTGTCACGTTCTGTATCAGTCTCGAGCTACTGAAAAGTAGCATAGAAACAGACTTTGAGCAGCGCCATCCAGCCAGGACACTGGCTCTATGCAGTGCTATTCTGTCTTACTTCAAGGACAAAATGCCAGATGCAGCATCCGCTGCCGTGGTCTTCGATGTTCTGAAAGATGAATGTCTCAAAGACAATTTGTCTAGAGTGGAGACTTCTAATCCCAACCAGGATTCAATGCACGACTCTGGAGCGCACTCTGTCCAGAACAATTCTAGCGTCATGACCGGAGACCTTGAACAAACTTGTGGCACAATGGCTGGCGCCATGTCGCAGGACAACATCGACTTGGGTCCCAGCAATGGTCAGTTTGACCCGCACTATGGACTTGGTTCTCAACAGTTCGATTTCAGCCTGACCAATAGCCTCATGACACAACTGGAGGCTGGACTTGGAGAGTACGCATGGGGTTCACTACCACTAGACTGCAATTTTTGGGATCAAATGTCATTCAACTATTGACTCCTTATGTACTCGGCCAATCGATCAATCGCTGCCATAGCCGTCTCCATCTGCGTTTGAGCAGTAGCGGCGCCAATATGTGGTGTACTTACTACGCGACCGGTACCCCAAAGCCCGCCATATCGCTCCTGTGTGGGCGGCTCTTGCTCATGGCAATCAAGACCCGCGCCAAAGATGAGCTCCTCTTTCAGCGCTCGCTCTAAGTCGGCCTCATTAATGATGCCGCCACGTGCGGTATTGATGAGAATCGCGTTCCGCTTCATCCGGGAGATTTGTGTATAATCGATGAGATTTCGCGTCTGAGGGAGGAGAGGGATGTGAAGTGTAACGACATCAGAAATCTCCAGAACTTCCTCCAACGATTTAGCGCGTGTGTGAGGTATGTCGGCCCACGCGTCTTCCGGCAGCAGTGGGTCATATGCGATAATGCTGCAGCCCAAGCCTCCCTGGAATATCTTGGCCACCTTCTGGCCTATGTTTCCCATGCCGACTATTCCAATGGTCTTTTGGCTTACTATGAGACCAGAACACTTTTCCTTTGGAATGGTCTGTCCAGCGCTTTGCAGTGCGATAATGCGGCCTACTTGACGTGCCACAGACATGGTCAGAGTGAGTACTGTTTCGGCAACAGCCTGTGCATTGACGCCGGGAGTATTGAAGATTTTGATGTTGCGTTCGCGGCATGCTGCAGCATCGATCTTATCAATACCTATTTCTTAGTTAGAATCAACCCATCTTGGGAACGATAGAAGTTTCATACCAACACCTTGCTTGCCAAGCGCCTTGAGTCTAGGGGCCGACTTCACATCATCCGCTGTCAGGTACGAGCTGCGGATGAGCAGATACTCCGCCTTTTCACGCCACTCAGCATGTCGACTATCATCGGGAAGAATGGCGTCAAACAAGGATTGCGCATGTTTCACGGCTGTAGGATGGAAAGTATCAAGGAGGTACACAGTCGGCTTAATTCCTTTGCTAGCAGATGGAGACTCTGCAGGCGAGTCTATGCGACCTGGTGCCATTGTTTATTCGTGCAGGAAGTGTAAATGCTAGTGCAACTTGGCCGCAAAGATGTCAGCAACGAGGTTTGCGTCTCTTTACTCTTGTGGAAGACATGGCTTGATTTTATGTCAATGTTTGAGTCACATCTACATGGTGACTGGTCCAGCCGGTAAACAAGACATGTCCGACGTGTGGAGCACACAGTGGTAGCCGGTGCCACTGGTACAGTACGCTGAATGTTCAAGGCATTGGGGCATCACGGGGCCCCACAGTATCGCCCACTGCCGAAGAATACCCCTCGGTCGTGTCCGATGGCAACCTCTTCTTGCAGCCGGAGTTTTCGGAGGGTTCCAACGGCGCCGAAGGCCCACATACTTGGAAAACGCCATTGGTTAAGTGCGACGATAGTCTATCTGCGCTGTGCATGATCCGAATGCACCTTAAGCTATAAATCATTGGCCATAGTCGGATCGCATCGAATACCCCATGGGGTGCGGTCGTTTGATTGGTAGATGTACTCGAGGCTTTCTACTAGGCCAAGCCGAGGCGAGCCTCGGCCTCGGCTGCCAATTTTGACGTTCAAGCGTAGCGCATCCTTTGTATAAACACCAACACTGATGACATATTCCAAAACCATGGCACTGAGACGTGCACATGGCATGCATTATGATACATGCTTGCGAGAGGTGCTGGAGGAGAAAGCAGAAGGTTGCCTTGCCGTTCCCGTACAGACTTATCGCGCTCATGACTTCCTCTAGTGCTCGCGCGACTTTCCTTGCACGCAATGTCGTGAAGCCTCAACCACATGTGTGCAACGCGGACTCGGCTCTACAGCTGGAACACCTGGACTGAGCGGTTTGAGTTACATAGAGTCCTTGAAAATTAGGATTCAAACACTCGAAACACAACTCCGGGAAGAGCCGTTGCAAGATACCACACTATCGAGACGAGGATATGATTCACCTAGAGATCAAGATGACACTCAGCAACTCACTAACGTACCAGGGTCGTCCGAGGTCGTGGATAATCCAAACGGTGATCTACATGATACGATAGAGGAAGCATCATATCTGTCACTAGCTGCTATGGGCGCGCAGCGGGCGGATCGCCAACCCTTCCCAACCCAGGGCCTCTCTTTCCTGACTTTACTGTATGCTGCAATCGGCGTGTCAGGAGAAAACCCTTCAACGTCTCAGGATAACCATGCTGCCCATTCTGCCACTCTGGCTCATCTTCGCAACAACTTTGTTGTGGCACATTACGAGCAAAGTAGAACCGTAAACAGCGCCACACTCGACAAGTACATCGAGTTTGTGCAGCAGTTTTATCCATTCATAGCCAGTGGAGATCTGAAAGATGTGTTCAACATTGCTTTGCAAACTCAACAGTGCGATAGAGATGCTGCTACTGGTAAGTTTTTCAGAGACTGCATGTTGTTAGCGTGATTCAAATCATGATACGAAAGCGGCCTTGAACGGTTGATGCTATACAATCTTTTTTCGTGCTCTTCACGCTCATACCTAGACTAACCATACAATTAGGTAATACCGCAGTTGATGCAGAGCTACCCGAGACGACTGTTATGATGCTCTTCGGGCTCGCCACAGGTCTTCTTGTGTCGCCAAGCTATACGTACACTGAAGTCATCGCGACCAAGTATGCAGCGTGTGCAGTAGATCTACTACCTCGCGTATTCGACCGCGCGAGTGACTTATCAACCGTTCAGTGCTTAGTCGCATTGACAATCTACTCACTATACACAGCACTCGGGGGTTCAACTTGGCATTTGCTAGGCTTGGCAATGACGCGCTGTGTTGCGTCCGGTATGCACACAAGTAGGTTATCTGACTTGGGGTCAGACAACGAGAACAAACGAAACAGCTGCAGAGCCTTTTGGACGCTCTACACATTAGACACGTACATCAGCACTGCACTAGATCGACCATTTTGTCTCAGTGATAATGACGTACTGGTTTCGTCGCCGACTTCGACAGAAATTGGCAACGACGATGGGCGACTTCACTGTCTAGTCGAACATGCTCAATTGCTCCGGTCCAATCGTTCAGAGGCTATGACAGACCCTTGGGTTCACTATATCAACCTTCGCCACTGGTACGATATTATGGATACACCCGCAGCTCCGTCGCTCTCGCATCTCCAGATGCTAGTCCGTGGCCTTATCGAGATAGTCAAGCGAATATCATTCCAGAGCGACCAGAACTGGAATTTGATATTGTGTGGAGCCGAACCAGATATTGAGAACTACCTCAATCTCTTGGAAACCCAGCTTCTAGAACAGCGGTGTGCGCCCACAGCTTTTGACGCTTTCGATGTGTTCGCAGCTGGCGTCATGATCATGCAGTTACGCATGGCAAATGAGCCTAGTGTGAATCTGGTCGAGCAAACTGCGGCGCGCACAGCTGCACGGAAAAGCATCGTATCACAAGCTATCAATGTCCTGACGATGTTCTCAATGCGATATCCCCCCGTACGCAGCCTGAGAGATGTGCTCTCGGAGTATCGCGCTATCTCGATGGACAGCCGGCAACTTTCGTCTCCGTCACACCTTCGCGATCTTCTTGGTCGTTCAGAAATATGTATTTCGAAGCCCTTGCAAGATATGATTTTGAGGGGATTCACACCTTGAACCTGAGCTTTCTTTCGTCATTGCAAAGCTTGGCCGGACATAGTTTCATCATGTGGGGGATGCTGTGGCAAATAAACCTCCAGGCTATCTTTAACTAAGTGACCTTTTTTTAAAGAAAAAAACCCCCTTGTTTAGGGACGATATAGGCTACAGGACTACACGATACTCCAACATGCATCTTACGAGTATTAAGGCAAATACGAGTGGCACAATTCACGAAGGTTCAGCCATTGGAGACACTACGACTTGAATTTCTCTCGACATCTAATGGCCATCTACTGGAACCTCCGCTATCTGAATAGCATTGCTGTTCAGCTTCTCTGAAACACCGTTACTTACGCCATTACTCACACCATTGCTCTTGGTTGCCTTGACGTCTGCGGCCGAACTTGAAGTCTTGACCCTTTGGCTTAGTTGTGCCATCTCTCCTGCTCTCTTTGTAGCACCTCCAAGTAGCAGTGGGCCATCTGTGGCTGCCATGACCCACCTGGCTCCCATTGCGCAAAACTTCTCTACAAGATCCAGCCTTGAATGCAATCCTCCAATTCCGACATACTTTCCATGCTTCCTGCATGCATTGATTGTCTTCTCGTACACTTCAGTCAATCTTGGGTTATCATACTCGCCCGGAATGCCCATCTCAGCTGTCATGTCGTTGGTGCCGATAAGTAGTGAGTCAACGCCATCAAGAGCCGCAAGCTCTTCAACACACTCGACGGCCTCTAGGGTCTCCACCATGGGAATGACTAATGTGTTGGTGTTGACTACAGGATTTGTCTTCTTCGCCGCAATGTGACGATATTGGAAGTGGGGTAAGTTGTTGACAGAAGATCGGTGGCCTTGTGGCTGGAACTTGGCAGCGGCGACGACGTCTTTGGCATCCTGAACGGACCGTATGTGAGGTACAATGACACCAAGCGCGCCACCGTCGAGTACTCTCGCGATGAACCATGAATCTTTGGAGGGCACACGGACGATGGGTGCAATACCTGCATAGAGTGCAGCAATGCATATTTGGCCTGCATCTACTGTTAGCCTAACGACATAATGTTGAAGGCAAACGACTCACTTGTGGTGTCTAGGTCGAAAGATGAATGCTCCATATCAATCAAGATACCATCGAACCCAGCAGTCTTTGCCATCATTGGCAACTCGACGCTGCGTACAAGCTTGACTGAAAGTGTGTATGCCACCTCATCTCTGAGCATTTTCTCCCGAAGAGAGTTAGGGAGGGTGACTTCCGCCATGGTGTGTATAGTAGTCAAGCGATGATTTAGCCGGTTCAGGGAAGCTCAAAACAAGCTGGAAAGGTGGGACGACAAGACAATCTTGAAAATGTCGTTATAAGAAAATGACTATCATAACACGAGATTCAAGCCATCTTTTGTACACGTCTTGGTACACGCAATGACTGTTCAAGTCATAGGACACCCGCCTCGGAGCCTCGGACGCCTCGACACGAGTCGCGCACCATCCGTCTCGGTCATGTCCGAAAAGTTTCCCCGCATCGGCCGCAGCGCCGAGCACGCTTCCGACATCCCATAAGTACTAAGGCAAAAGTCCAAGCCAGAATACTGGGTCGCGGGGAGAACATCTGGGGTCCGGAGATGAAGTTGCCCAGGAACTGCCAAGCATGGGGACGACTATTCGACAGATAGCACAAGCGCTAATGTGAGCGACAACAAGTATAAAGACGATCAGCAGGTCGTGGATCTCAGTGTTCAACCCACAGAGTCTCGATTGCATTTCGAGCTCGACAATACACATCTTTACCCTTTCAAGTCTCTTTCAGCACAATGGCGATCGACTCTGATTCAAAACTGAGCGTCGAGATCATCAAGGTCGAAGATGCCAACGTCAACGCCGAAGCGGGCTACCTGCAGCGATATCCACTCCTGGCGAACAAAACCGAAGATGAGCTCAAGGCGTTGAACAAAGCTGTTCTAAAGAAACTGGACTGGAAGTTCCTGCCATGTATTACTATAATGCTGCTTATGAAGTACGTTTCACTTCTCTTGGTACATTGTAATCGCGATTGTGGCACTGATGTACCATTTCTTCAGCTACCTCGATCGAATCAATGTCTCCAACGCACGACTTGCTGGCATGCAAGAAGACCTGGGCATGACAGATGTGGAATGGAGTGCGGGAATCTCACTCTTCTATGTTGGCTACATAATTTCCCAGATCCCGGGTAACGTGATCATCGCCAAGTCTTCGCCGCGGGTCATTATGCCTTGCATCATGCTTGCCTGGTCTTTCGTCACTATAGCTATGCCGGCAGCGAAATCACCTTGGGTTTTTATGCTGTGTCGTTTTCTCGTCGGATTCACTGAAGGCCCATTTCTGCCGGTGGTTGCGCTGATGACTTCGTCGTGGTATACCAAAGAAGAATCGCCTCTTCGCATGGGTATCTGGCACGCTGGTAACATCATCAGTAATGTGTTTTCCGGTCTCCTTTCTGCTGCTATCCTTACCAACATGGATAATATCGCCGGTATGCATGCGTGGCAATGGTTCCTCTTGCTAGAGGGAATCGTTTCTATCGTGGTTGCGCTCACTGGATTTTGGCTGTAAGACACTGTTTTATTTCTTCTCTGTTAAACATCATTAACACTCCGTAGTCTACCAAACTTCCCTGACAACACCGGCACATACTTCTTCACAGAAGAAGAACAACAAATGTCACAATACCGCGCTCTCGTCTCCGCTGGTGGCAAGAGCGAAGACGACGAAGGCGACATGTGGGGAGGCGTATGGCTAGCCGTCAGAGATCCCTTCACCTGGTTCTTCGCAGGCATGCACTTTGCCCTCATCATCGCACAAAGCTTCAAAGACTTTTTCCCTTCCATCGTCGGTACACTTGGTTTCGGAAAAGTCGAAACATATCTGGTGCAGGCACCGCCATACGTCATCGCGTACTTTGTCACGCTTCTTGTGTCGTGGAGCTCGGGTAGGAGACTCGAGCACTGCTGGCATATCATCGGTTCAATCTCCATGACACTAATCGGCGCCATCATCATGATATCTACTCTCAATGTCGGAGCACGATACTTCTCCCTCATACTACTCTGCTCGGGCCCCTTCGTCGGTCTCAACATTCAGCTCTCGTGGGAAACAACCGTTGTCCCACGTCCTCGCACCAAGCGCGCGGCGCTCATTGCCATCGCCAACTGCGTGTCGTCTGTGTCGCACTGGTTCAGCCCGTATTTCTTTTTGCGCAGCCAGGAGCCGAGGTACCAGATGGGCGGTGGCATTATCATTGCTGGGTGTGGACTTACGATCATTTTCTCGTTGCTCGCGAAGCTCTGGGCTGAGAGGAAAAACAAGGCGATTGAGCGGGAGGAGGATAGGACGGGCGAGGTTACGACTTGGCGGTTTGCGACGTAATTGGGAATAGCAATGGTATGAGAGTCTGGCTTATTAATTGTAATGTAATGATATTATGTTTATATGAAGACATGCATGATTCTGGCGATGATATACCTGCATGCCCTTTCAATAGTGACTATTCTCTGTGCCGTTCGATTCTTCGAGAACCCTGACTGAGCACTGTAGTGCATTTTAAAGTCGCCGTGGATGCTCTGTGAGTAAACTTCTATTTATTGCTTGTTAAAATCAAGTATCTGTTACGTAGTCAGTACTCAATGTTTACTTGACATCTTTTCGCACGTGATAAGAGGGTAAACATTTTACTATCTTCTGCGCTTGCTATCAAAGATTGCCTATCCATCGGTTCGTAACAGTGAATTTATAACGCTTTGCTGTATTCATGTACGACTATCTCGTCTAGGTGAGAGGCAGCTTGCCTCTCAGTGTAGATGTTTGGATCACTTCCGTGTATCACATGAATCATCCTCTCGCACTTTCCACGTTTCATGCTTTCCCTGTATACTCATTGATCGCAAGTCATTCGGTATAGGGAGTAACGAGCCCATGATACTTGCTATATGGACACATCCCAATTAGTTTCCCTTATTAACGCTACAAGGTTTTCTACATGTCATTGCGTCTCCTGTGCTGTCTGGTGAGGGTGAAGCTTGTTAGCACACAGCACACGTGCGCTTGCAGTTTCTGGGCGCGATTGCCTGTTTGCTCTCACCCTCTCACATTATATCGCCTCACCTCTGCCACTTCCCAAGAGCCGCACGCCACCACTAGAACTCTACTGTGTCCCATTGCGACGCCTCTTTGGCATAACAAACAAGCGACAACCATGGACCCACGAAAAGCTAGACCACCAAACCCAACAATCGATCAGAACGCTTTCAAAGGAAAGAAGCCGAACAAAGTCATCTCTGTCCCTGTCGGGTTCCGCCGTCCCACTTATGCCAGAGAACGTGAGCAGATCGTTAGCGATGTCAAAGCCAGTACGGGATGCGCCGTAATTCCACATTGGAATTACAAACGGGATCAAGACCAAAGCATTATCTATCAATTTGATATCTTCGGGACCGGCACAGCCCTGGAGAAAGCTGTTCGTCACATCAACCAGTGGATATCAAAAGCGCAGACCAAGACAAAAGACTCGTCGGCATGGGCAAAGACACCGGCGTTCGACTCGAACAAGTGGTATTACGAGCAAGTTGATGATATGAAGCAGAGACACAAACAAAGCTTCAAGGAAGCACCATCTGAAGATAGTAGTCTGGAAATGGTAGGTATTTCAGGATCACCTAAAAATTCCTGACTGACAAATGCAGATGATAGTACGCTGGCCTGCCGAACTCGACGACCGTAATATCGCGCCTCGAGATGCCTTTGGCAACAAGTTAGAGTTCTTGGATGCCCTCAGAACGCGCAACGAAGTATTTATTACTCTTTTGGGGAACAGGAGCAGCGACTGGCAAATGAAAATCCAGTCTCATGATGCTGCAAACCTTGAAGTGGCTGTAGAGGAGGTGAAGAACATGATTGAAAAAATCAAGACTGAGGAAATGGGACTCTGCTCAACCAACATGATTCTGGATGATCAAGAAGGCATGGAAGTCGTTTTCAGACAAGCTGATACATGGTGGCCGCAAATCGAGAACCGGACTTCACCCCGCTTTCTTTCAAGTGACATGATGGAGCCTCCTGGCAGTTTTCGCGGACAGACACTACATTTATTGGAACTGTCAACAATTCAGCGTTCTTTCCAATTGGCTCTCGAAGCTGTGAGGCATAGAAAAGGCGCATACGACTTAGTCATCCGCTTGGGCTGTCTATCAGTTCGCTCAGACGATATCAAGAATGAGAAAGTTGAGGTCAAATACAGTAAGGGGACATTTTTGAGATCAATCAACGGTCATCTTGCACTGGGTGTTGAGAGATGGTAAGTGGATATCCTATTAAACTGTGTCGAGACGGTGGCACTAACTGAATAGGCTGGCTGACGATACATCCGGTCAACAGATGCTGACATCCCTCTGCTCATCTGACAAACTCCTCGAACCCACCAAATCCTCTAGCTACTCTGGCTATAGACCTGACACGCTCGAGAAAACTAGACCAATGTTCAGAGGGATGTGGATATTCCGGGATCCAAACACGTCCTCCGTTGACCTGCCGCGTGAACGCATCCGCCACTCTGAGAGACCAGCGACTTCTGGCCAAACGCCTGTGACTGCGCCACCAAAGTATATCCTGGTCCAAGTTGACTGGACTGATGATAACGAAGGTTCGTATGAGAAGGACACGCCGCGATTCTATGAGCTGGAGACAGGCGCCGTAGGTCCCAAGCAGCACATGGATATCAAACTATTGGAACTAGGAGAGGGCCGTGGGTGGCACTTTGCACTGGAGTCCATAAAACCTGTGTCTGCAAAGAGCATGTCTCCCCTCCTTACCCGATTTATCGAGGGTTTGAGGATGAAACATGGTTACAATCCCCAGTCCGCTGACCTCTTTGCTGAATGGGAGAAATCACCGGCTGTCAAGAATTACCTAGTGACTGAACGTTTGATTGTCATCTACTCTTTCGGAATCAAGGAGACATCCTACAAGGTCGAGCTCGCACGCATCTGGCACACGGATCGGCAGCCAGTGTGGAGTCTTGCTGTTCGTCATGCCGAGTGGGCAAACCGTCTTTCAGAGCTGGAGCATCTCCCTACAGGTCGCAAGGCCAACTGGGGTAATACCATTACCAGTTTTCTACCAAATGACGGACAGTCTTCGTACAACACTGGCGACGAAGACGAGGACTTGGGCTTGAGTAACCTCGATCTTGGTTCTGGCGTTGAAGCGCCTGCTCAGGATGGTATCCGCATTCTGATAGACAAGCTGCTTCAGATCTCGGCCGTTGTCAGCTCGGTCAAGAAAGATGAGGGGGGTGTTGCTATATGAGGATAGGAACCGGCACTATGCGAACGTCGGAAACGGATGAGAAGGTGTGCATTGAGGGGTATGCATTCGGTTTCGAGATTTTGCAACCTGAAGTATAGAGTATACTTCATTTACACCATCCAACTTTAGTTTCATAGGCCATTTCCAGACCTCATTGTACACAGCTACAACTGTCTTTTCTCCAAGTATCCCATGTTTCCAATCAATGCCGTCAACCAAGTAAAGAGTCATACTCTCATTCCATGACTCTCTATTTTCAGCTCCCCTGCTCCTCCCCCTTACTCTCCTGAGCACTCATAACCTTCAACCGAATCACCTCCTCCACCATCCTCACATTCTGCGCCTTCCCCTGCACCACCTGCTCCAAATCCTTCAAACTCTCCCCCAGATCCTTAACTTTTCTCTCGTAAAAATCTTTCGCACCCGGAATATCTTTTTCCACAAAAAACCCCGTACCAACGTCTACAAGCACATGCTCATGGTCTGTCAGCTTGCCCGGCACGTACAGTGATGATGTGAGGGGCACGAGCAGCGGCTTGTTTGTTGTGCTGGCCGTGAGGCCCGTGGTTATGGAGGTGAGGCAGTCTTTGAATTTCGACTGCGCGGTGCGCAGGGATTGGAAGGAGTTGGAGAGGTGGGTGAGTTCGGCGTCGAGTTGGGTTTTTAGTTCTTGCAGGCGGGGGACGGGGAGGGAGGTTATTTCGACTGCGTGATTGGTGGTGTTAGCACTGTTGTCTCTCTTTTTGTTGTTTTTTTGTTATGTTTCGTGAGCTTTGGAGAATTGAGGAGTAGATAGGGGGAATTTACTTTGGCCGGGTTGGCCGCCTTGCTTTGAGGCCATGGTGTGCGGGTTAGTGGTGGTGGTTACGCGGAGCTTTGCTGGGCGCGGGTTTGTGAAGGTCGGCGGAAAGTTTACATGGGCAAGGTTTTGGCGGGGCGGGTTCGGTGTGGGGTAGCTTGGTAACGTGAGAGCGTGTTGAGCTCTTTCTCGTGCGCTTGAATAACCATTGTAGCGCTTTGAGGATTTACTGTTTGTATCGTGATTTCTTGCTGAAAAATAGCTGGATACTTTCTTGTCAGAGTTTGCAGAAATAATAGACGATTGTTGATTCAAAGTTTGCCTAGATTACGGAAAGTCGCACACGATGCCGCTCTCATGTTCTGGTAAACAACGCATCTGTTCTGCAACCAGAGCAGCTTGAAGGTGTTTTCTTTTAAAACAAATATCATGTGCAATTATAGTTTAGGGTTTAATTGCCCCCTTCACCACCTTTTCATACTCCTCCTCGTCCACTCCCTTAGCCAAAATCACAACACCTTTCCCCGCCGTCCACTCCGCATCCACCAACACCTGAGCCAACCTATGATCCCAAAACCCCGACTTACGATACTGACTCTGCTCCTTGGCCCATTTCCACAACAGATTGCAGCCTTCGGGAACAAGATTTCCATTTTCATCCCCAAAAATAAGGATGCTAAAAACACGAAGCTCGACTCCCTCGTTCACTTCATGGCATCGCAAGTTAGCGACGAGCTTTGAGACCATCTTTGCATCGTGTGAGGATGTCTGGAGATGCTCAAGCTTTTGGCGGAAGAAGCTTTCGAAGTCGGGTTCGCGGGCTGCAATGCGTACTATGCCGTGATCTTCATGGAATTGGACGAGTTGGATCTGAGCTGGATTCAGGGTTGTACGTAGTTGAAAGTGATATGGCTGAAATCCAGGCGGTGCCCAGTAGCTGATTGTACTTGCTGGACCGGTTTCTGTAGGAATGGTTACGAGGAGGGTATACGGGCGTGTCAGCCGTGCTAGATCTTGAGGTTGGCTTAGATCCTGGGAGATTTAGCATGAATCTTCATATATAGATTTGGGGTTTTACTAGGGATTGTAGTGTTTTCTGCATTGCTGCAGTTCTGACTGCAGCGTCATGTCATGGCAAGGAGTATTCAGATGCATGGATATGCTGGTGGCTAGAGATGCCAAGCGTGATGTAAGAAAGTACGTCAATTACATGTGAGTATCTGCGTCGTCATCGTACGCCAATATCGGTTCTTCCTGCGTACATATGTACAGCGATTAGAGTACAGCTGCATGATATCGTATTGGTTGCCATGTAAAACGTTTACGCGCGGTTGCACTATGGTTCTTCATTCATCCACAAGTTTCGCCTGGAGCCGAAGGATTTAATCAGGATGATAGTTGAAGTCTTTAGTACCATAGCCCTGGAAGATTAATAGTGCGATATTTACCTCCTTTGTAAAGATGTGATGTTCCTGAAAGATTTGCAGTGTCGTAAGCGGGGTACAGAAGATGCTCGGAAGTGACGGCATGTCCTGTAGCTTGATAGCTGAATCTATTAGATCACTGCTTTTAATTCTATAGCACTCTAAGCAGTAAACCCGTGTATCAATGACTTTTTTTTCTTGAATTCTTGCTTCTCAATCTCTTCTTTCAACCCCTGAATATTTTCTCTATCGATATCGCACATCTTTGGATCAACAAATGTACTCATAGAATCGATGAATAGAACTAAGCGCTGGTCGGAATAGATGCCGGCTTGAATTATATCTCTCGTATGTTCTAAAAGTCTGAAACTATGCTGCAAGAGGATAGATATACGCCAATTTTCAGTTCAGTGCAATCACTTCAGCTCACGTGCTAGATTTCTTCCTTTAACCATAGCTTAGACTTAGAGTAGAAGGTATATACTTACCGTATAGAGGAGAGTACAATGACAAATATCTATGCGTAGATTCAAGCATAGTTCTTAAACAAACGCTTGGTAAGAGAGATCAATCACAACCTATCCTAGTGTGCGATCGTTAATTGGTGTACAGCTATTGACACGAATCGATTCTTATAGTATTAAGGGATAGTAACGTTAGTTGTACAGAAAGATCAGGGGCCTGGGGTTAGATATGATATGCAATAAGATTCAACAGATATCATCGTGGTATTTGTCTCTGTGCGCTCAATGGTAAGCGTACAGTTTAGTTCCGCACGGGGCTGCGTTGAAAATATTGATTTTGCTATGCCGGTGTAGAATTAAGTATGATCTCAATATGTAATACTAACTTGTAAACCACATTACGTTTAATCTGGAATACGATTTGTTGGTTTTGGGGTTGATTGAAGCAATCTAGGCTCCTCCAAAAATTTATCAAATGTACCTTTGGCCTTAGATTAGTTTATCACTTATTGGGGATTTGGTGAACGTAGACAGGATATTCATAAATGTATAGATAGATGTGGGCGATTAGGAAGATAAAGAAACGGAGGGAGTTAACTGCTGTATTTTGTGTTAAATATGTTCGTGTGGATTATGTTGATTACAGGATAATCTCGAGCGAGATAGTAGTTTCTACGTGAACATATACAGTAGTCCAAACATTTTGGATTTTGAATGATTACAAGGATACAAAGTTGGAAAGAGTTTGAACTACATCAAATGCAGAGTACGTAACTATACGAGAATCTCTAAGTGCAAACGAACTGTTGGTGATTTCTCAAATCGCTTCTCAGGTAGGTCGAATATCAGCTTTTGAATTCTAACAGGCGCAGCACACAGCATACATTCACAGTGCTAAGCCCATGCTACTCTACAGGCACTCTAGTATTCAAGCACCTTTTATCTTACCTACAACAAACAATAATGTGAATATGTTTCACAATAAACTCTCAATTCTTGCACGCACTTGAAATCCTCAGTACCAATCCACGAGTCTCTGTGGTACTCCGATCCAGCTTGCAAAAACGCTATATACGCCCATCGACTGTAATATGGCTGCATAACGTCACACCAGCCCACGCACACGTCGTACTCCGTTAAACTTTGGGCGGTTCCTGCATCACTCCCCATCACCCAGACCTGACATTAGCGTGGATCTGTACCCTCGGTCCCACAGATAAATCGCACAAGCACGCTTTATCTCCATGCAGAACCTCGGTACCACAAAACAATGGAACCGAGAAACACGCAGCATTCCGCACCAGTATCGTTGGAGCACAGTCGTGCATCCCTTCAAATCAAGAACCGGCAATCTAAGTGGCGTCTGACTTGACAATCTTTGTTTTGCCTCATCGAGATCCAACTTCGTGTGGTGTCTAAGTAGATCGGGAGATCTCCATTTCCACCCCCTGGTATTGTTTCTATCTCTAGACTGTACTCGTCTTGATATGCACTTTGCTTTCACCGCGGAGGCACAGTACAGACAATGCTTCAGTATTCGGCTAGCTGATATACATAGATAGTATCAATAAGACTGTTTCATGTCTCGCCTTGTTTCCCCGAGGTCTTTGGTTCACCGGTGTATCCGAGAAAGGAAGAGTGAAAAAACAAAAACAAAATAGCTTGGCATGGCGCCGGTAGGGTCGGTACCACGGCGATGGTGGGCGAAGAAGCTTATTCCCTTTGCTTTGGGGACCCAAGGTCCTGGTGCTGACAGGGCCGCGCCTCCAGCTAGTTGCTTACACGAACCTGCATCTTCGGTTTGCCGGGCTGAGTGTTACAAAGAATGGGAGCTTGGTCGTCATTTTTGCGTATATGCAAGGTACCGGGCGTAACACCAGGTACTTTGTCAAGTGTTATCATTGTCTTGCAAGTTACACGCAACCATCTGGTGTGAACCATGGACTTGGCAGGCTGGAATGTTCTTTTTACTTTCTTTTGTCGCTTTTAGTGCCTAGCTGGCATGATGGAGAAGTTTATCCGAGTTTGTGACGTGGCTGAATAAGAAACGGTAGATGTGACATTTGTGGCTATTGCCAAGTTGACCCAACTTGAATCGGGAAGTTATCACGGCAGTGGCTTAGATCCGTCATCTCGGTGAACAAAAGCAAGCTCGTGGCGGTACAGGACGGCTTTTTCAAAGGGTGTTGAGGGGTCCGTATCTGGTCCAAGACATGTCCATTACGGGGTACTTCGGTACCTAACTTTGATGTAAGCAAAGACCACCACTAGAGACAGTCTCATCTGGATTCATTGTTACACCTACTGTTGAGGTATTCGGTTTCTCGGAGTTGCTGAAGATAGTTTTTGTTACAGTGATGCAAATACAAGTATAGTCTGATCCGGTACGATCAGCCCCATTGAGCATCAGATCCCCAGAATACGAGAGCAAACTATGACAAAAGAAAAGGCAAAGAATGACGAATCGCCCTAGCCAAGCTGCACTCAAAACCACGACTTTGTGAAACACTAGGAAAAAGAAAGCAGTACCATGTTTCATGCGTGACGCGAGTGCGTCCAGCCGTGCCCCAGGATTCTCAGAGCGCATTTCGTACATTTCCCATCTCGACTGGACCCGGATCTAGATTTCGATCTAGCGCATCCCCGCATGCACGGTAGGTGGCCCGAGTCGCACATGTTAGCAGCCCAATGCACTCGACTCATTACCCCCCCGTCCCGTCTCTCACTCACCGATGACAAGCGGGGAAATCAATCTCTCTCCCCCTCAGCCATCCAGACATTCAGCTTGCACAAGCGGCCCCAACAAGGCGTTTTTTCCCTCCGCGCATTGGCAAATCGTCCATTGTACTAGAGTACCAGTGGCTCAGAGGCTCCAAAAAATTGGGTTACGGTCCGGACATGGTGGAAAAGGAAAAAGACAAACCACATGACAGCTCCAGCTTTCGGGACTAGTAAGGGAAACCCCCAAGCCTCAACAATAGCGCGAGTGCGCGCGCGCGTCGTGACTCACCTGCATACTGTATCCGGGCCTGCATGACAGTCGGTCGAACCTAACCTTGTCCGCGACATTGTCATCATCAGTCAGAAAAACAATGCCATGGTGTCTGTTTTGATGTTGACGGGCGGGGGTGGGGAGGGGCTCAAAATACAGGCGCAGCGGGTAAAGCAAAAAACTGAAATCTCGCTGTTAGATTCCCGACGTGCGGATAATGTTTGTCTTGCTGCTTGTGGAAGGAGGGGAGTTTGTTCCAGCCACACGTAGCGTGCCGATGGTATCGTAGTAGGATGCGATCCTGCAACGGGCGGCCATGACATGTCCAAGGGTTCATCTCATGATTCAGACGCCGCTGTCGCCGTCCCCCGCGAGCTGGACTAGTACCGATGATAGCGCTTGGCGAGTAGCTTGCGCTCGCACTTGGGAGCTGATCAGAGGATACGTAATGACATAACTGGGGGGGCCTGAATGGCTGTGCAGTATAGTGGCAAAGGATAAGATAGAGAGTTTGTAAAATTGAATGTCAACCTATTGGATCGGATACAGTATTTGTCAGGTGGCGGCGTGCACATTGTTCAGTATAGGCTTGCAGTCGTAGAGAGCTGTCGTAGTGCTAATCTTTAGCATCTGTTTGCCCCATGGTGATACCTTTTACGGTTCGTATTTTCCTTGGACTTAGTTCGTATATACTAATCATTCCAATCACTAGCGGATTGTGTACCAAGTAAATGTACGAAATTATGGTCCGTTACGCACCAGACAAATGGATATACACCATGTCTACAATTATATTTTGCCCGGCCAGTCTGCCTTGTTCAGACCCCACAAATCCCCAGAACAAGGAGAATTGAGTCAACTCCATGTTGCTACCTAAATCGCAGACCTAAAAAGCTAACTTTACTAGCACTAGGGTCTCGTTTTAGATAATACAGAGCTCTTTTAGATACCTCATTATCATCAGCAGGGCATAATACGTTTGCAAAAGTTCTGTGTGTCTGTGCGATCAAAGCTTCTGAGAGTCGGTCAATTGATATCGGGCCGCGTATATCTGCAACCCTTTTCTTAACGTTCTTACTGTGTATCTTACGAAACGGACTTTGGTTTGCAAGGAGTGCAATGCACGAGAAAGGCCGCGTCTAAGGTGTTGTGTAGTGACTTGGTCAAAATCATTTCTTACATTGGTGCCGAACATCTTTATAGACCCTGCTTGAAAGATGTAGACAGCAACGACTCAGAACTATAAGGTATTGCTATTGACTCACAAAAAAAGTACACTGACATCTATTCCAATAACAGAACATTCTTCCTCTCTGTTTTTCGATATACTCGCACATTAACTTATCCACTTCTCGATCAACATGAAGAGCTTTACTCTCATCACTCTAACCGCTCTGGCGGCTGTTGCCTCTGCTGCCCCAGCGCAGCATGAAGCCCTAGCAGAAAGACAGACATTCATGCCAGGGCCATCACCACCCAGGTGTGGCCCATGCAACCCCCTGGGTACGACCATTAAGTGTGGTCCTGGGCTCAGAGTTACGACGTTTGTAAGTACCACTTTATTAACAATAGTCTCGTTAAACCTCACCTTATATATGAGAGATGGAGTCCACATGTATTCTAGCATTCAAACGCTGACCTGGTTTGTGTAGACCAATTGCATTACCTGCTGTATAGTTTAGGGCTTAGGACGAGAACAAAGGGGACCAAACTGATCGGATGTGAGATACGGTGCTATCCACGAGTAATGGTACATCGCCTCACAGGTTCACTAGAGAGCTAGCTCAATAGCGATTCGTCTTCATCAACAATACATCATCTACTGCACACTTATCCCCACTCTCACATCTGCCGTATACAGACATCTTCCAATTATGTCTTCATGTGATCTTAATTAACCCTGCACAAAGAGTGGAGGTCACCATCAGGCCATGTCCAACATCCAGTCAATGACGCAGCGCCACCTGTATGGATGGATAATATAATGAACCCCGCGATTAGCCACCGCGCCAGGAAAAGCACCTTAGCCAAGGACCGCCTGCAGAAAAAGGGTTCAGCCACATTATACGTCGAACCCCAGCAGCACCTGCTTCCTCTGGCCCAAAGCCGGGTGCAAACGTAGCGTGGCACAAAGATACGCAGCAGCAAGACCCTCGCAGGACGACGCAGGGCCCGCTTGTGGAGAAAGCAAGAGGCACGGGAGGCAGGGAAGGAGGGAAAAAAGGTTTGAGTGGAGAACCAACGGAGCGACTAAACTTGATCGATGAAATGCCCTAAATTCCATGTAACATAGCCTCCGCCCACCCCTCCAAGACCATGATAGGTAACACGACAAGGAAGAAAAAGTAGCGAGCGAGACAAAGACAGAGACAATGGCGATATTTTGATTTACACCGACTAGGCCCCACGATGATTACGTAGCGTCAATGATTCGATGCGGAGTTCAGCTCCGCCAACAAGAAATGAAGGACATGCAAAAAGCGATCAAGACCTACTTGCTAAGTACCAGTAAAAAGAAACAAAACCGATAGACTGGGTACAGCGCAAATAAAAAACTGTTGCGCCAACCGCAAACTCAAACAAAGGAAAACAAAAACTCTTCTTGCGAAAAAACTGTTGGCGGGTAGGATGTGTATTGCATAAAAACGGTCAGATTATGAACTACACACATGTACATAGAATCTTGTTCGCTCACCGGACAAAACCCCTGTTGCTCATTTACTCAAACATTCAGCATTCCTAAAAAGGACTAGAGCGCAAAAGCAAAAATATCCCAAAAATCGGTAAGTAAGGGCAATGCCAAAAAGGCTAAACATTGGAAGAGGAGAAGGAGGCGGCGGCGGCGGGTGGAGCGAAGCAGGGACCCGAGGTAACGATACACAACAAGTACGTTGAGCCGCACAACACGCGGGGGACCCGTCCGCCTGGGGAGCAAAAGAGAGCAAGAGGCAAAAGAAGAAGGAGGAAAGGCCAAGCCAAAAAAGTGAGCCCTCTTCCTCCCCAGGCAGAATTTCCTAGGTTGACCCATTCGATTCTATCGTTTCTTTTTTCCTATTTTATTCAATGGACCACTCCCGGCTGGTAGGCTCGCGCAAGCTGCAAGCTGAAGTGGTCGAACGAAACTTAGCCAATTAGATAGCGATGGCTTGAGAAATACAAAATGCAAAAGTTATGTTATTAAACCGCAGACAAACCAACAAAATGAAAAGAAAAAAAAGAAAAAAAAAGACCAACTACGAAGATGACGACAATGACAACGACAGATGACGCCACAAAAACAAGCTGATTGAGTTTAAGGTTTGAGGGGAGAGAGAGAAAGGGGATTGGAGGCTGCGGGCGACATGGAGAGAGAGAGAGAGAGAGAGAGAAGGGAAAACGCAAGCTTGCATATTCCAATGACATGCCTCCCCCGAATAGCCGAGCCCTTGATTGCGCAAGTCCATGATGCATGGCCTTTGGTGGTCTGAGCGGCGTTGCCGCCGTCCGTTCCCGCATCCGTTCCACGATCTGTTGCAGAACCCATGTACCATGCCCGCTCTTTCGCCGCTTCGAATGCAGGTTGCAAGAGTGGTCCCCCACCGCCGCCGCCGCTGCTACTGCCCACCCCCCAGTCGAACGTGCGCGCGCTGCGGTGGGACTGCGCTTGTACTCATAAGATGCTGTCATTTGTAGATCGATAAAGCAAACCCTCCGGGATAGCCTTTGGTGAGACGGACGAAATTCCTGGGGTGCAGCACATGGTGAGACGACTTTGCTTGGTACCTGCCATGGATGCTATTGTGGCTAGGCGCAGATAGGCACATGTCCGAACACCAAACGTTACTTGAGCGTAAAAATCTTATCTTGCGCAAAACGGGGCGGAGATTACTATTAAGGGAAGGATGCAAAAGGCCTCCGGCTATGTGTTTCGAGCCCCCAAGTAGTGCCTGTCTAGACGTTCCTTGAAAATCCCTACCCTTAGCCCATGCCAAAAGCATAGAGCCTATTCCCTCCAATATACAATGATGCCTACAACTGTAAAGCAATACCACAGAATAAAATAACACAAAAAACAAGGTGCGGGGAATCTGGGGGGAATCTTGTGCAAAGCGACAACTAAACCATCACTAATGAGACGGGTACAACGGGGGGCAGCTAATACTCGGAGAAAATCGCAGAAGATAAAATAGCAGTAGCAAGAAGATGTGACAATCTGACCAAGAGCGGCGCCACTGGCGATGCAACGTAGAGAACTCTGCCAGAATATCCAATCGTCTGTCCTGCTCGCACTGAACCCATGCAATTACTGTCAAGCCGCAAAGGAAAAAAACTGGGGAAGTCCGTTCCATGCCAAGCAGAGTAGCATGAACTGACCTTGCGAATATGGTCGCTGAATAGAAGGTGCGTTTCAAAAGTCGCAAATATACGGGAGTTGGAGCCGCCGGGCTCCGGATAAAAGAATGGTTTCCCATACCGCCGGGTCTATGATGCTATCGTGTCATCTTCGTTGCTTGGCGTACTCATAACCAACTCGTGTATCGTAAGGTCATTGTCGCCGATGAGTAGGGGAGCCAAGTGGGGCGCAGGGTTGAATGAGCGTAGTATGCGAGATGAGACGAAAAGCAAACAGTAGGTGAATATCGTAGCGACTGGCTCTTGGCATGACATGAATCTAAATCAGTAAACGCCGCGGGCTTCCGGGAATCATATCAATCCAGAGCGAACTAGATGAGTGTCCATGCAATCTCCAGTGACGGACATGGCGTCGCAGTGCAGGTCTGCATTGCGCTTGATGAGGTTAGGCTGGACAGTACTAGCTTCTCCTAGTAAGATGACCATCCTCCTTGTTGAGAAGCCTGAGGAGGTGCCCAGCCAGGCATGCCAGGCTGCTGAGCAGCAGCACTCTGCTGTTGCATGAATTGGTGAGGGCTTGGACTAGGCTGGTACGGGTTTTGACCTATTGCCTGGTACCCACTGTCTCCGCCAGGCATAGAGCCGCCCATGGCTCCCATGGTCTGGTATTGCTGAACGGGAGTGCCATGCATCGAGGCGCTACTTTGGGCGTGGTGGAGCTGTGGCGAGGCGTGCATCTGAGATTGCTGAGGAAGTGGCGACTGCTGAGGAGGGCGCTGGGCGTATTGCTGCATGTTGTGCTGCTGAGAGAGGGGAGATGGCTGTGAGGGTCCCTGCCACATGTGCGATGGTGGATAGCCATGCCCCGCAGTCTGTTGAACACTAGGGAGCATGCCTCCAGGCCCCATGCTTGAAGCGTTCATACCTTGAGGCATGCCGATACTCGGTGGTCGACGGTGCATCTGGTCTGGTCGGAGTGGAGTGTGCTGTTGAGCCATGGGCGATGGGACCATATTGTTCTGGGGCATGGTTTGCGGGCGGTAAGCCTGCGCACCCATGGACTGTCCTGGTCTTTGTGGCGTCTGTGCTGGCATGCCATATTGACTTCCTGACATGGTCACAGATGTCGAGGATATGCGCGGAGACTGAACAGCTTGTGAGACTTGTGGAGCATGCTCTCCCTCGGCTGTTCCTGGGCGGTTCGGCTGCACTGGCGGCTCATGCGGACGTGTCCAGACATCGTTCAGATACTCTTTTCGGTTCTTGCGTTGCTGTTCGAGCTGCTTGTTAACCTCGGCTGTCTGCGCAGCTGCATTGAGGATCTCGCCAGATGGGCTTGGCCTCGTCATGTCTTGGTAGGGGGTACCCTGCATTTCGTGTCGTGGGCGTTGAACACCACTGTAGTCCCGAGGCTGTAGGTCAGCAGTGGGTCGGTGGCTATACGCATCCGGGGCTGTGGTCGGCATGCTTCCTGGAGCGGGGTTGAGACCACCAAATGGCTGCAGAGGGTTGATCGTAGAGCCTAGATAGTCTTGATTGTTACCCGTGTAGGCTCCAGGATGGGCAAAGGCCATGGCGTTGGCGTGGTTGGCTTCGGCGGCGGCTGCTTCTCTTGCCTTTGCCGCGCCAGGTCTCTTTTCTCCTGCAGCATCTTCCTCGGTGAAGCCTTGTTTTCTAGCCTTGCTCTCCCAGTAGTCGTCGCGTACGCGCCGTCCGTTGACAATCAGCCTGCTGCCAAATTGCCTGAACATGGAGCGGGCGGTCACGATAGCGATCTGCCTGGAACGGTAAGAGTAAGGAAGAATTTCCTGGTGAATAAGATCGTCCTTCTCGGCTTGGGTGGCAATGATCTTGTAGAGAGATCGATTCTTGTTAAAGAGTAGATACGAGTCTCGGTATCCCAAAACGCGTGCGCACTCAGTGGCAAGCATGAAGAGCTTGTCAGCTCGGTTAGGTACGAAGAAGGTACGGCATCGGTATTCGCGCCCATCAAGCGGGTGGCCGGTTTGTGTCACCTTTCGCTCTCCCGCCTCGTCGATTTCGCGGGGGATGTATTCATCGCCTTCTGCATTAAGCTGATCAGTCGTATGGTCGCGCACAGTGGGCAGCGCCTTGATGACTGTGGGCTTGGCAGGCGTCGCTTTGGCAGGTGGCGACGCTTGGGGAGGGGAAGTTTTAGGCAGCGATGTGGCCTGCAGCTGGGGGGTTTGCACGGGCGGCGCGGCGCCTGAGTGCTGCGATGGAGTCTGCGGAGGTTGGGAGCCGCGGTTGGGAGAGCCGCCAAACGGGGGTCGCGCGGCGGCGCCCTTTGAAGGGCGGCCACGACTGCGCTTGTTGTTTGGAGTGTCGTCGCCCTGCAGCTCGTAGCTGGTATCGGGAGAGCGACTGCGCTTCAGGCCGCGCGATTGCTGCTGCTGTTGTTGTGCGACAGGCTGCGGGGGGCCGGAGAAGACATCTGGCCAAGGTCAACAATTACTCGCGGGAGGCTGCGTCGGATGTAACAGACGCGCAGGCCGGTGCGAAGGAAAAGGGCAGCTGTGGGAGGAGGGGACGCGACTACTTACGCGACGGGTCAATGGTACCAGAGTCCATGATGCCGTTTCCAATGCCACCATTTGACATGATTTGTATGGGCTGTTGCACATGCACTGAGTACATCCAGGCGGCGCGGGAGCGACCAAGCTCGAGGGAAGCTTCCGTCGAGCGTCGTGAAGCTCAGGGAGGGTGGGCCCAATCGGCGCAGGGAGGTTAGTAGGGCTAGGCGCACAACGGGCTTGAGCTGTGGGCGGCGGTCATGTGCTGGTTGGTGATGGAGAAGGACGGGGTGTCGATGCGGTCGAACCAAGATTGAGGTTGGGGCGAGAGAGGCGAGGGCGAGTTGGAGGGCGCAGGTGGGGCCAAGGCTCGGACAAGGGCACGCGCTTCGTGTTTTGGCCAAAGCAGCGAGAGGCCGAGTTCAAGTACGGGCAAGTGTGGGCAAAGGCGATGGCGTCTACTTGTTCGATGCACGAACAGGTGGCACAGCCTAGGATTGCGGAGGAATATGTAAAAAAGGCACGGGTTGGCGACGGCGACGGTCCGCGCGTGCTGATCGATAGACACTAACAAGGCGTTAAGTTTGAGTTTCAGGTGTTGGCGCAGAACAAAAGTGCGTCGCGCGCCCGGTCGCGGTGCGCGATCAGTGCCCGTAGATAGGAGCCGACGGTGGAGCAAAAAGACGCCACGTGAGATGCAACCCAAGGCGTGTGTCTGCGAGCAGCCGCTGTAAGGGTGACTTGCAGCACTCGAGCGCGCGCGCGTTGCGTTGCTGGCTAGGGCGGGATGGGTCCTGGGGCGGGAGCGCGACCAGGCCGGACAAGCAGGGCAGCTCGCACGCACGCACGCACACACACACACACACACACACACACACAGGAACGAGTGTACGAGCAGCGGAGCGAACGGTTGGGGGATGGGGGGTTGGGGGAGCAGACGAACCTTGGGTGGTGACAGGCTGTCTAGCCAGCGACGACGACGACGGGGGGGCCGCGGCGTATCTAGGAGCAGGACCCCAGGCGTGGTTGGTAGAGGGATATGGATAGGGATGGATGGGGATGGGAATGGGAATGTAGAGAGTAGTGTAGCGTCGTCGTGGGCGCGGCTATTCTGGCCGAGGGGACAGACACGGGCAGCGGGCAGAGGCTGGGTGGCAGCGAGGCGGGCAGGAGGCGAGCGGCGAGAGCAGAGGCCAGGCCGGGTGTGCGTGTGCTGCGCGTGCGTGTGCGTGTGTGTGTGCGGACGGAACTGGAGCGACGCCCTCTGAACTGTGGTCAATTACGAAAGATGGGCGAGGCCCAATCTGATATGCCCTTGTCCCCCAGCAGCTGACGGCCCGCACGGCGGAGACAAGACGTCGTCTAGTGAGCAAATGGCACGCAATGACGACGGCGACAAGCTTCAGGCATTAGAGGCGCTGCAGTGTGATAAAAAGTGGCTCTCCTACGGCCCTGCACGACCCGGTGGCTTTTTCGCTGCTACTGCTAGGAGCTGGCTTTCTGGGCAGACGCGCCCATGCCGCTGCCTGTGCTTTCTTCTTGTTCTTCTTCTTCAACGGAGCGGAACAGGATTACTCGCATCATGCTGCGCGATAGCGACCGCTAGCTTGGATCTGCTTCCTGCTGCCAGACTCCGTCGTCTCCACAGCGCCCTTGGGCCAAGCACCCGAGCATGCCGGGCCTGCTGCCTCAGCTCATCATGCCGCTGATAGTAGAGCAAGTAGTACTATCGCGGCTGATGCTCCCTATCCTGATCCGTAACCTCGTCTTCTTCCTGTTCCATGCATATTACAGTTCCGTCCATTCTCAGCTTTCACGGCCGTGGTCATTGCCCAGAGCTGCCTATCATGGCCGCTTCCGGCTGCCGATGCGACCGCCGCCGGCCAGCTCTGAGCGGCCATTGCGACCAGTTCGCTCTAACCCACCCATGTCGACCAGTGAGCACGCCTGTCCACCTGCTGATGGACCGTCTCCCAGCAAGGCGAACAAAGTGTCAGCAGGCTGCCGTCGAATCATTGATTTTGCACACCCATGGGCCTGCAGCTCGCCCAAGACAGGACTACCCTGGATACGTGCATTGGCGTCCGCAGTCATGCATCTACCTTTCTCCTTCTATCAATCAAGCCGTATCGTCTGACTTACTACCAGGCCCAGAGGGAAACACTTGCCGCAGCAGCCGAATGCGGAAGCCCAAGTTTATTGCTGTGGAGCTGTTCAAACCCGCGTTGCCCTTGGCTTGGCTCTGTTCAATATCATTTCCTGCTGCCTTGCCCGTCGCATTCCCGCGACCCCGACCCTGCCTGTCTCTTCCTCTTCTGACAAAGCTACGCTGATCGCCGAGCTTGGATGCGTATTGCATTTTCCTCTAGTAAGTATGTATTCCCTAGCCGGCTGCGCCGTCGTCGTCGTTTAGTAGTGTACGCGTAGCGCCGTCGCCCGGCGCTTGGCTTATGAGCGGCCATGGAGTGCAGACTGCTCGACGCCATTCCATGACTCCGGGTTTCCAGTTTGCCGTTCGGCCCAAGCTCCCCACTACTCAACGCTGCCTCTGATTCGAAATCGCATCCCCCATGCCCTATGGCCAAAAAACTAAAAGCCCTCTTTATTTTGACTCGGCGATCTGTTCCACAAAGCGACCCGCTCTCCCGCTGAACAAGGGCACTTGGTCGAATACCCCAGCAGCTTTTTTCTGCCCGTGCTGCACCCGATCCCCACCATGCTACCTTGTCCGTATCTGACCGTACAGCCTTTCCGCAGCTCGCGTCACTGTCCTAGCGGGGGTCATTACGCCATGCTTGCCTTGCTTACTCCACTATATCAAGCGCTCCCTCTAACTACCCTAAACCCGGTCTGTGCTCTTTGACGTCCACATGGCCTGAAACTGCGCGAAGTAACAATCTACATCCATATGCCAGAAGATCTCAACCGTGCTGTCTTGTCCAATGCAAATGCCTGCTCCCGCTGCGGCTTCTTGTCCCGCACAGCGACCCTGCTCATCGCGCTCGTTGCTTGTCGTCTCTTGCCTCTTGACGCGTTCCCGGGAGGCTGTGCCACAAAAGTCCCATGTCTTAGACCCTGAGGCAAAAGTTTTGCTATCTGCCTTGTTGCCCTGCAGGTGCAGGGTCTTGCCACTAATCTGGAAGTATTACCATTCTTTGTCTGATCAAGCGTCCTCGCATCCGAACTCGGTCCTCATCACTGGGGTTCTGGAGAAACAATATACTAGAGCATCCGGTTGGTGGCTAATACCTACTCTCCATTGAGTGATTTCCACAAAGTGCGCCGTCGCTTGTATCCACTCCTTTCGTAACCCGGAACTACTACATGAGCGGAGCTTGGAATCCGTTCTCTATGGCTCTCAATCTCCACAGCTGCAATGCGTCCTCTGGGCGCGAGCGTCAAAGTCGCCACGGGCGCCTTACCTGAATACCACGTCGTCCTTGTTGAGCCGGCCCAAGACCTTGCTCATTACGCTACTAAACCCGTACACCGCTGTCATGACATCTGTAGCGCGCACATTGCAAGGATTAGTTGAAACATTCCACTGTGAATCATAGTCATAGGCTCAATCGACTGCTTGGCGGGGCACTGCTATTGAGCTAGGATGGCTGTTTGATCATCATATGACAGCTCTATCCACTGTGCTGGATTGCAACAGCAACAGAAACCAGACACGATGACGGGGTCATGGTCAGTCTCGACTGGCCTTGCAGCCGACGGATGCAACCGTCGTACGTCGTCCCGTGCAATCGTTTTGTTTTCCATACCTCGTTTCATATTCCCGGCTTGTTGGGATGCAATTGACAGGACCGCTTAACGAGCGAGTGTGTCCGTTCCCGCAACCGTCAAATGGAGCACTCAAAGCCAAACCCTATGTTTGGCTTCTAGTTTGGCTTTCGGTATGGGAGCCGACTGCTTCGGGACCATACAGCTTTAGCGGTGAAGCTTACATGCTCTTCTTCTTCGGCTCTTAGGACACCGAAGTAAAAACAAATTGCTTCAAAAAAAACATCAATAGTCCATGCCATTCTGCTCTTTTGAGGCGTCGTCATTCGCGTAACCATGCCATCTCCGACTCTTCACGGGGATCTACACGCACATGCTTTTGTTGCCATGCTGTCTAGACTCCCAAATTTGGTCGTATCTGAGTTTTGAAACAAATAAGACAGCACAAGCTAATACTCTCGGCATATTCCCGAGCATTTGTAAGATAGAGGCCGCGCATGCACTATCCTTGGACAGAACCCTGCCTCTTCGGAGCTTCACGTAACCCTGCAGTCTTGTTCTAGTATCCTTGTCTGGGCGATTTGCAGGCTAGACATCAACTACAATCGAATAGTGCCGCGATCCGCTCCAAAGTGGGGAGGTGCGGCGAGGCTGCATCAACGAGTGAAGGAGTTGCAGCCAATCATCATACTAAATCAACGGTTTTCTCCATCAACAAGCGGTCAGGCGCTACTGGCTGCGTGAAGGCTTGACAAGACCGGGGCGGTTATCGCATTTACCCATCCATAGGTGTCAGATGATCAGCCACAACACCCGTAAATGTCTTCGTCAAAGAGCGTGATGGCTGATGAAGCTGGTCATGTCTAACGTAGCACTCATGCGTGCTGTCTTTTGATTCCGCCTAGGGCGTCTCCTTCAATTCATGGGACCTAGACGGGGGTCACTCATGCATTGACCCTGACGGGTAGAGTACGAGGTGTGGGAATCCCTGAGTTATCGTGCCTACTCACAACACGTGGAGCCTTGTTATGACTTCTGCAACGAAAAAGAAACCATCTGCTTGCTTACCGCCGTCATCAATTTCAAGATGAGAATCTGAATTTTTGGTCCCAATGTCGTGTATACTTAGACAGGGAAACAGCCAGCTTGCGTACCCAGTAGAGGACAGGGTTAGACCAAGCATTGCGGCTGTAGATCAACGAATCTCCGAAACAGTCCCTTTTGGTGCATATGACTTTTTCCAAACAAATCATCATCGGTCTGTATCACGCTCAGACTATCCAGTCAAGAGAGCAGACATGGTCAAATCTCAAAAAAGCAAGATCGACACGTCTTTTTGTTGATCAGCAACTCTAAGGCATCTAGTTTCTGCATGTCTGTCTCGGAGAGACAAGCTGCAGAACCCCTGTCGATGGATTGGTGGTGGTAGTACTCCCGCAGATGTGCACCTTTCACAGGGAATCTCTGGATTGGAAAGACGGCAGGAAAAACACAGGCACCTACATTTGCATACCACTGCGCCACATCCCCTGCAAGCGCGAACCAGATATGTGTAATGTGCTGTACAACAATGGACTTACGCGTCGTTTCATAGAGAAAGTAATGAGATGCGCCAGGACTGATAATATCGAAATGACGGCGGACATGATCGCATCACTAGATCATGAGGCAGGTCAATGCTGAGGCATTGACTGGAAGGTAAAGTTTTGAAAAGGTCGAGGCTGGAAGCGAGGAAAGACGGTGAGAGGAAGCTGCGGCAGGTGCTGCACACTATCGATACCGATGTTGTTTAGGGAAGGCACGCGAATGCAGGCGATCAGCTGAACAACACAATACTGAGCAAGCATGTTTAGATGAGTTCTGGAAGGTATGCAGAGGCCGAAACTGCAGAAATATGTCTACGATGCGTTAGTATTCACCTTGAACAAATATATATTGTCACGTGACTGTATATACAATGTCAGCAGTCGCAAAGTGTTTGATGCTGACGGTACCGGGACAATTGTTGGATTCACTCTTGGTCTTTGATAGTCTCGACTCAAAGATTTGGAAAGATTCTGCCAATGGCTTCTTGATGTCAGATTTGTATTCATTATCTTGCAACTAAGGGTTTACATACACCAACTTGGTTCCATCAAAATCAGTGTCTTTGTTGTTAACAACGCCATTACAACGCCATCAATTCGAAAATGCATAAACAGTTGGTGTCGTATGATCAAGCTAGAGCTCGCTTGCCTGCCTCAAATTATGAATCGTGTCTTGCCGGAAAAGCCATCAAACCTAAGTCCCAAAGCAAAACAAAATCACCATTGGGTTGGTTTACTTGCGGCCGGGTGCAAGACCGGGAACTGCACTGAAACGTTCGTCACGTTCAGTCTTGAACAGGACCTGGCACCAAAATTCCTTGGCGTCTTCGTCATACCAGAACCAGAACTTGCCCTCTCTCCTGTCGATATCGCGGGACTGTAACTTGACCGCAACAGTCTCATAAGGCTCTCCCGCAACAATGAGATACTGGTAGTTTGGGTCGGGCTCTTCAATCCTCTGCTCGTATGCGCTCATGATACGGACCTTGGGGGTTACGCCAGGGGTGAGATCCGGAAATTGGAACTGGAACAGCAGGCCGTTCTGACGCGTATTGGGATCGCGTACTTTTGTGATGCGGTATCCAGGCCGCCCAATCTTGATAACGTTCTTCTTGGGCACCACTCCAGCAAGCAGTCCTTGCTGACCGACATCGTCTCTTTTCCCTTCTCTCTGCTCCTTTGCAGCACGGCGTGCCAGATTTGTTTGATGCTTCCTTCCCTGCGTATGTGCGAGATATGAGCCATCGTTCTGATGGACTGTCAAGCAGAGACGGCACTCGAAGCTACCGACGTGGTTCTTGAAAAAGTACGGGTCCTTGTCGAGGTCAATCGTCTCGAGTGCAAGCTTGCGGAGACGTTCTCTTCGATCAGCGTTCGTTGCGGACTGTGAGGCGACTCCTCCTCCACCAAACTTAGAACCTGCGCGATTCTGTGAGAGTTAGCAGCTGCTTTCAACTTTTTCGTGACGTGTGAACATACCTGGTAATCCATATTTGATCGCTTTCAGAGAGGTTTCGTTGTCAATCCAAAGAGCTACGCGGGGTTTAGATACTATACTCTTACGCGACTTCTGTTTGCTGAGTGCAGAGGGTTGTGCAGTGAGGCGCGTCGGTCGTGTATGTACTATGCGCATGTCAGGACTTCTCGAGGCGGCGATCAGGTACCGCGCTAGCGAGGCTCCGCTTGCCACATCACGTGCATGGCTGCCTTATACCTTCATCATGCAACACCCAAATTTGATGCCTACGATAGTCAGTCTGCATTAATTTTAGGACAAAAGTTTGAGCTCTCCAAAAACCATTCCGGTAAGACCGACAGCTTTGCCGGCACAACATAAGGAGAAGGATCACGTAAATATTATCAAAATTACAGTACACTATTAACGTTGCTTCACTGGTCGACGTCAAGGTCAGCAATGACAACAGGTATCTATCTCGGTAAACGCCTTTCGTATGCTTCCCATCTTTGTACGGTTCGTTATCACGGCCCCGTAGAGGGAACCACCGGTACATGGCTTGGGGTAGAATGGGACGATCCTACCCGTGGGAAGCACTCGGGCTCGCACCAAGGCACTCAATACTTTACGTGTTTGAATCCCTCTCCGACCTCTGGATCATTTATCCGACCAGCCCGCAAACCAGATCCGCCACGTTCTTTTGTAAAGGCGCTCAAAGCAAAGTATGCGTCTGAAGAGGAAGAAAAAGAGTATGGGGAAGAAGGACCCCAGGACCCAGATGTCCAAGTCGTGTTTAATCTTCAGGCGCCGCATAAACAACAGGATCGGAAGCCAGTAACTTTCAATGGAAAGCCAGCAGAGGAAATCGGGTTCGATAAGATTCGACGGCAGCTCGCTCAGCTGTCAGAATTGAGGATTATCATCTTGGATGGGTTATGTATGCATCGTCCAGAAGCACGGGGCACGAAGTGGATGGAAGGTGGTGAGAAGAGCGATGTAAAGGACGCTTGTCCAAAAGCCATCGAACTTGATTTGAGCAGGAATCTGTTTGAGGATTGGAGAGAAGTGGCAGCAATATGCGAACAATTGACAGAGCTGAGGAGTTTGAGGGTGGAGTAGGTTTTGCCTTTTCTTTCATCACTACACCCATAGTTTAGGCAGCATGCTGATAGAAGAGAACAGCGGCACACGTTTCCGAGATGTAAATCTTACGGACGCGGAACAGGAAAGGTGCCGGAAAGCCTTTACACGTATAACATCTTTGAAGCTAGAAGACACGCTTCTTCCTTGGGCAGACATAGCACGACTTACTCATCTCTTCCCTTCCCTCACCACGTTTTCCGCCTCGAGCAACCTCTATACAGCCCTCACGCCACATACACCCAACCCAACAATCAACGACCTTACACTCGAAGACAATCACATCACATCCCTTTCATCCATCGAATGCCTATCAAAGCTACCGAACCTCAAGCGACTGATCCTGAAATCCAACAAAGTCTCCGAGATAGCTAGCGTCGGCGCATCGGCACCGCTGTTCCCAAAAACAGTGCGAGAAGTCGATCTCTCATTTAACGAGATAACAACATGGAGTTTCATCGAAAAACTCATTCACGTCTTTCCTGGTCTCCAGAGCTTGCGAGTCTCGCACAACCCCCTGTACCAATCGCTCCAGGCACCAGACGGCCGTTCTCTCACTGCCGACGATGGGTACATGCTTACGCTTGCGCGACTGGGGCAGCTCAAGACGTTAAACCATAGTCCGATCACCGAAAAAGAGCGGCTGAACGCAGAGTCGTACTACCTTTCTATGATCGCAAAGGAGCTTCAGTTTGCATCCGAGAACCTGCGAGAGGAAATCTTGAAAAGCCATCCGAGATACGAATGGTTGTGCGAGGAGTATGGTGAGCCTGATATCCAGTGTTCTGCAAATGCTGTGAATCCAAACTCCTTGGCTGCCCGGCTGCTTCGTATCAAATTCTATCTCGCAACCTCCCCATCTACGATTTTTGAAACGGAGATTCCAATGGGCAGTACTGCATACACCACTCTTGGTGTTGTAGGCAAGCACTTCAACATCAAGCCTATCAAATGCAGATTGATCTGGGAAACTGGTGACTGGATGTCGGTACGCAAGTCGGCTACGGAAATTGTGGAAGATGATTGGGATTCAGAGGATAGCGAGGCGGAGATAGGTATGGAACGTGTGATGCGTGAAATAGAGATTTTGCCTGGCACAAGGTCGATTGGGACGTGGATT